TTCCGCCACGGCTCCGTGCATGCGTGTTGCATCTTCTGGTGCTGTGTCGGTCTACTCTACTGTAGAGAGGTACGGCAATTGGAAGGAAAGGATAGAGCACAGGCCAGCTCCAGCGGCAGCTGCGAGGCTCTACAGCCGGCTCTATGATCTCTGGGTCGTTATCATGTCAACAACTTGTGCAACCCCGTCTTGCGTAAGAGCACAACAAACTTGCGCCATGGAAAAATGCGCAGCATTCGCAGCAGCACTTTTACCAAGGGCTGGCTAGCGCAGCACCTGCAGCACTAGCTGTAGAAGGATGGAGGGAGGAAAATACGCGAGAAGGCGGCATCTTGTTCATTCCCTCTCTTCCTCTCTCTTTCTTTCTGCATGTGCGGGAGCAGCCAATGGCGGTGTTTGTCACTTTTTGCACGGCTCCCGTATTCTAAACTACTCCTAAGTTGGCAAAGCCACAATTCCAAAGAAAACGCGATGAATATACACTCTAAGGCACCGGTGCCCGCCTGCAGAAGTACACGGAGGGGAGAAGACTGAGATGTCTGGCTGCACACACCCCTGTTCAAGTGCTATTTGCATGCATGCGCCTCCCCCTTCGCAACTCGCGCGGACCCTTGCAGCCCCAAAAGATTTCGCGAGACTAATAACGGAGTGGCAGTCCGACGGACTCCACGACACCCCATCCAAAGGGGAGCCTTGCTCGTCTGCCTGCGAACGGGGGACGAAAGACGTCTAGACAGACGCCTTGAAAGCCGCCTCTAAATTGTATCCAGAAAGGGGAGAGCGAGTCGGAAGGGTGACTTAAGTCGCGTCAAGCACCCACTCGCCCCCTGCTTCCAGCCAGCTTCCCAACGGTAGTTTCGCTGGCGTAGGCAACTCCACACCTGCAGCAGCTCTTCCGGAGGCTTCCAGTTGCCTGTATACTTTTAGCATTCAAAAGGCCGCCCATGGGCCTTCATTGCGCAGAGCGTCTTCTGTTTCGACGAAAGAAACAGAGGGTGAATGAGACTGGCCTTCACCGCGAAAAAGTAGAGCCATTGAGGGATCATCAGCAGCTGACAATCCCCGTCTGCGCGCAACCCCGACCCCCAGCACAACCACATATACATATATACATGCATACATAATATAGACACCTATACATAGATATACATAGATATAGATACATATATACATTTGTATATATATATATATACGTGACGAGACGCAGATGAGGGAATCTTAGAAAAGCAGGAGAACAAGAGTCAAGAACGCAACAGGCAGAAAGCCCCAGCGATGGAGCATGCAAGGCAACCAGAAGCACAGTTCTGAATCCACAGAGGAAGAAGCGGCAACCGTTTAGTATTCGGAGGGGACCATGTGATGCAGCATGCGCCGCGCAAAAGTGCGAATCTATCGAATATTCATCTGACCAGTCCTAGAGCCGAAGTCTGGGAAATACGCCGTCTCTTCTGCTTGTACAAAGAACTTGTCTACTGCAGCCGTAGCTTCTTCTCCCCAGCCGCTTTCGAGGAGCAGCTGCTGAAGAGCTGGCCCCCTAATGGCTTCGGAGAGCTCCTGCACAACTGCACGCAGCTCCTTATCCTGAGCTTCCAATTGCTTCTGAAGAGACACCCCAGGATCTTCTCCAGCCTCGTGAGATTCTCCTGCGAAGGGGCCTTCAAAGCAAGTCGACGGTCCTGCCTTACTCCGACCCCTCTCTTGAGCCTTGTCAAACACCGTATCACCCCGTCCAGCCCCTGTGTCTCCTGCTGCTGCTGCTGCTGCTGCTGCTGCTGCTGCTGCTGCTGCTGCTCCTGTAGCCGAAGCGCTAGCGCTCAGCGGGTAGTGTGCGTACACCCGAAACTGCTGCAGTCGAGCGTGCGCTTGCTGCCTCATGTCATCCTCGAAGACATATCCCTTCGCTAACGTGGGAGGTAGCGTCACTCCGTGACGAGGCTCTCTCACTAAAACTCGTGCAGGGGTGCTCTGCCCCTCCGCTGTGCCTCCATACAAAGGCTCGCCCCCCCCCGCACCGACAAGCCCTCCGGCAGAACAATCCTCGTCCTCCTTATCGTGAGCTCCCGTGGATGTCAAATCTCGGAGGGAGGAACTGCTGCTGCTGCTGCGCGACGTCAACGCACTCCCACTACTGTCCTCCTCAATCCCAGATTCCCCCTCTTCCGAGAGAGCAAGAGCACATCCCTCCTTTGCGCTGAACGCAGAGGAGGGAGCTCTGGCCCTTGACGCTGACGCTCCTGCTGCTGCTGACGATGCCTGAAAGGGCTGCCCAAGACGCGCTTTCAAAGCCGCTGCCTCAAGCAATGTGGAACCTCTCGACCTTGTATCCGCCTCACAGGCACCCGTGCGAGACTTAGAACGACCTACTCTAGCCGGATGTCTACGCAGTGCTCTGTAACCCCTAACTCCGTCGCGAAACGCTCTGCACACCAGCCGCTTGTTGCGATTCTCGCCTCCTTTTGGACCGCGTCCTCTCCTGCTGTTGCGAGAAGCCTCTGCGCATGCCCTTGCTGCTGCAGCTGCAGCTGCGTCATGCCCCTTAAAGGCACCTTCTCTCGAACGCAGGGAACTCCCAGCTGCTTCAGCCCCTTCCCGTTCTCCTCCACCCTCGGGGAGTGGCGCTGCTGCACGAGCTTCGTACCCCGACGCATCCGACGAAGGGGCCCCCCCCTCCACTGTTCCCGAAAGGCAACGACAGGGTGCCACAGGAAGATGCGCGAACGGCAGGCGTCTGACAGGCGAGTAGACAGCAGCACCAGCATCCGCAGGAGCTGCACTTGCACCCTTCGCCTGTGGGGGAACAATGTTCTCAGGAACTGGAGAAGACGTGGGGCCCCCAAATATCGGGGCATAAATTTCTGCACAGAAGGGGGGCCCCCTTGGTACACCCGAGAGGGGGCCCTCCAGTCCGGCACCCGGGCTGCTGCCCGTAGCAGCCGTCGCTCCTGTGGGGGGGAAAAGCGTTGTGCTTTTGCTGCTTTTGCTGCTGCTTTTGCTGCTGCTTTTGCTGCTGCTGCTGCTGCTGCTGCTGCTGCTGGCAGATAAAACGGCCTCTCCGACTTGCGTGTGTGGCGCCGGTAAGCCTGCATCGGGGGGCAAGTCGTCAAAACACGCCCTTGGGAGCGACGGAGAGCTGCTCGCTTCCCAGGAAGGCGGTCCGAGCATAGGGAGGAGGCTCTGTTCGGCTGGCGTCTGGGAAGCCTCCTGTTGCCTCTCCGATTTCGCAACAAAGTGCAAGCATCCAGAGACGCCTGCTCTCGTTGCCTCGCAATGTCGGTGGGGGCTCTCAGGGATGAGAACTCGTGGATGCCACAGAAGCGGCCTCGAAGGGGCACTCTGCTGCTCGGAATTGCTTTGGCAGCCATTGTAGTCACAGCGATTGCTGCTGCTGCTGCTGCTGCTGCTGCTCAGAACCGACGGCTGCTGCGCAGTGTATCCGTGAAGGGCTGCAGTACGGAACCGCAAAACATCTCCCGCCTTGTCGACTTCGCTAGAGCACGACCCACAGCCGCAGCTGCCAGCCGTGGGGGCATCTGCGTATGTCAGCCGCTTCAGAACCTCCATTTCCTTGAATGACGCAAAGTCTTGATCGCCGATAAGCTCCTGCAGCCTAGCTCTCTTCGCCTGAAAAGCCTCCGGAATCGCGTCCATGCTTAAGCACTGCATCCGCACATACATACATATGTACATATGTACATACGTACATACATACATATGTACATACTGAAATACATATGTACATACATACATATGTACTTACTGAAATACATATGTACATACATACATATGTACATACTGAAATACATATGTACATACATACATATGTACATACAGAAATACATATGTACATACATACACATATACATACAGACATACATAAATATGTACATACAGGAATACACATGTACATACAGAAATACATATGTACATACATACATACATACACATAAACATACATGGATATATACACACATCCACACATACATATATACACACATCCATATACCCATACATACGTATATACATACACACATATATACGTAGATACATACATACATACATGTGTACATATATACGTAGATACATACATATATACACATGTACATACATACAGAAATACATACATATATACATGTACATACATACATATATATATGTACATACAGAAATACATACATACATATATACATACATACATAAATATGTACATACATACATAAATATGTACATACAGGAATACACAAGTACATACAGAAATACATATGTACATACATACATATGTACATACATACAGAAATACATACATATATACATACACACAGATATACATCCATCCATCCATACATACAGCCATACATATGTACATACAGAAATCCATGCATACATACAGAAATACATACATATGTACAGAAATACATACATACACACACACACTCGTTCCACCAGTGGCTGCAACAGAAGACGGTGGAGCATGAGACAGCACGGAATGCCAACAAGGAACACGGAAATGAAGAGCGCCCTACGCTGCAGCAGAACGCAGAAAAGCTGAGGGAGGCAGCCAGGCAAGAGGGGGAAGAGGGAAGGGGGCTGCGTACTGACGAGAAGCCTTATATTAGAGGGAAACGCATTTTCAGCAGTCCTTAATTTGATAGGACTAATCTTAAATAGCCAGAAAAAGCGATAAGCGCCATATATGGCATACTTACGTGCATGCCAAGAGTCGTCCACGGACCAACACGACATGCAATCCGCTCACTGCCAACTTCCAGCTTGAGACGTCCCTGAAAGACATCGAGCAGCTATTTGACAGGTGCAAATGCAAAACTCCCCGCATGCCACTCACCTCTTTGGCAAGTAACAGCATCGCCAGATGCGAGAAGAGGAATCCGTAAGAGGGCCATGCCGCACGGTGAAGCAGCAGAATGTGTTTGTGTGTGTTTTTTTTGAAAAGCAGTCTTCAAATACACATGAAGAAACCCCTTTTTCCCCCTTCTCCCCCCCCCTCAAAAAACGCGTGCAGCCCAGGAGTCAGTAGCCTGCATTGTACCTGCAATACGAGAGCTGCGTGATAGGCTCTGCTGCCTCGACTGAAAATCTGCGCGCAGAAAGAAAGACATGTGATGCCTCGTGGCGTAAGGCACTCACTACCACTAGCCCTTCGAAGGGACTCATCTCGAGGCGCTTGCTACCAGCGCAGCTGATGGGGTCAGTTATACCTGCACGCCAGAGCGAATGCGGATCAAACGCATGTGCTGCAACAGGAGCAACAACAGCATCGGGGAGATGGTTGGGGGCTGGAAACAGCGCTCCGCGCAACACAAGAACGTCGAGACAGCAAGAGCTTCCGAACGGCTCAGAGACGCCCCCATGCGGCAGCTGCACATCACATGAAAGACTCATTCATGATCTCTTTCGCAGAAGAAAAGGCATACATATACACACACAAAAGTATTTATGTGCATAAATATATATCTATATATGCATGTATGTATATATGAGCTAGCGCGAAATATCTATGAAAGGTTCTCTTTGGGGCAGTTTTTGAGCGACAGTCCCCACAGTGGATGCGTGTATCGCTTGCGCTAGCCGTTGATTCGCATGTATGTTTGCGAAGAACGTGGTGGTCTACGACCTTTTGACATTGCCATGGTTCCCAAAGAGAAGGCAAAGCGGCCACGATAGACGGAGAAAATATGTATTCGGCAGCCACGACAGAAGAGGCAGGCTCAGAGCAGCTTCTACAGCACACGTAAGGCACTGCTGCAGCCTGCACCCCCAGTGCAAGCAACGGCAGCAGCTAGAAGGATTCGCCACTGACTGATCGATCAGCTTCATGCGGCCCCTCAGGATCGTGTGCTCGTCAATCACTCTGGTACAGACACACACACACACGCAAAGACTCGAACAACAACCCCGTAAAGACGAGACGGCGATTTTGTGGTTGCAGAAACAAAAAGGCGAGCGAGAAAAGAGGACTAAATAGCGCAGGCTTCCCCGCGAAAAGGAACTCTCTGAGCTGCCCTTTATTTCCCCTCTTATCTCCTTCTACTTTTGTTGCCCAACTACTTTTCCTTCTCCCTTCTTTCACCTCAGCCGTCTCCCGCCCTCCACAGTGCAAGCGCATCAGCGCGCCTCTGCGGGAAGCACTTTCTCTGTCTCACCTGTTCGGGGGAGACACGTTCTGATAGACGGGAGATATCATCTTGAGAGGCCTCCTGTCGGTAGATAGCGCCTTCGAGAGACCACAGCCCAGCATGTGCGCCCTCTGACATCCGTCACAACTCTTCCAATGCGCGTCTTCTCCAAGTACCCCCCTTCGCTGGTGCTGCAGCAGCAGCGATTGCTGCTGCTGCTGCTGCTGCTGCTGCTGTTGCGACTGCTGCTGCTGTTGCGACTGCTGCTGTTGCGACTGCTGCTGCGTCGGTGAGACGCTGGCGGTTTCCTTGGGCGCCGCCTCCCAAAACATTTTCTTCAGCGTTTTCCAAGAACCCTTGGCTTGCCTTTTCACGGCTGTCATTTGAATGATGACTGCACTGGAAGCTCCCGTGGGGGCGTTTGAGTCCTCCGGGGGGCACTTCGTTGCCTGCTGTTGCGAAGGCTTCGTTTTCGAAGCAATCAAGGTTGCTTCTTCGGGAGTATGTGCGGCGAGCTGTCGCCTGGAGTCTTTCGCTGCAGTCGCCGAAGAGGACGGACCGACAATCTGCGGAGCCTCCGCTTGCTGCTGCTTGTCGTGGTCGAATTCATCGTGAATTTCGTCCTGCAGGATCTCCTCGATGATATCCTCCAAAGTAATAATGCCGACGTGGCGGTAATAGGGATCGCCAACACCAACACATTCCACACTCCTCACGACGGCCAAATGCGTATGGCCTGCGAAGAGAGAGACAGACGGAGGAGGGAAAGAAAGCAGGCAGGGTTGAGCAGACGCACGAAAAATTTTCTCTGCCCCCAAAATATCACGCGAATCGCGGTACAATACGATGAGGCGGTGCCCTCTCAGGGGAAAAGAGGGGGAGAAGGTGCATGCAGCCGTTCGAGAGGGAGGACGATTCAAAGTCACGATGACGGCAAAAATGCGGAAAAAAACAAAATTGGGTGCCCCAGCCCTTCTTCTTCGCGCCAGAGGCGAGAAAGTGCAAAGGGGAGACAGACACCACCGCACAAACAGCAACACGTGGAAAGATGCGAAAACACACACTCAAACAAGCTCCTGTAAACGAAAACGCAGCAGGAAAAAGTCCTTCTGAAACGGATATGCAGATAGATATACATATAAATATATACATATACATATATACATATACATATATACAGATACATACATAGATATAAATATACATGTATATATATACTTGAGGTGTGCAGGAGCACATTCCATACAAGAAGAGTCATCGATATTTTCACGGCCGTCCAATGGCTGCTCTCATGATCGGCTAGAGATCCTAAGGGGTTGAATGCATCCTCATACCCTTTTTAAATGCAGTTAGCAAATCCAGAAGAGCTGTGTCTTCGTCAACAGCATAAACATTTCGACCAAAGAGATGCAGCAGGGTTCGCACCTCAACTGCATGCAACACACAACGACACGCCATTAAACACGCAAGACTTTCAACAACCTGAAATCCTCGTAACATCTGGATGCTTTTAGATCCTCAATATTGCCATGCTGAGAAGACAGTCCTAATATTATTTCCAGCTTCCCCGTCTTTTCAGAGCCAAGTCTTCTGGCCTCCCCAAGAACGCCCCTACCACCTCTGATCTCACCTTCCGCGTAAGGATCAAATAAAGCAAGATCTTTGACATAGAGCAAACCAACGATGCATTGCGGGGTAGTACGATCTAGAACTGGAATTCTTGAGAATCCACATGAGAGAATATGGGAAAGCACATCAAATGTCAACTTTGTGTCAATCTCCAGCCTAATAAATCACATACATACATATGTATATACATATGTTTGTATATATAGATGCATGTATATACATATATATTCATGATGTATAGACATATATATACATATATATTCATAATATACATACACGTATATGTAGTTAGGTATTCAGGAGCACACCTCCCAGGCCTCTTCCTTCCCCCCGTCTGGTCTATAAAACGCCTTAAAGCCTCTCTAGCCATCCAGTTTCAGATACACCGTAAACGGCAAGCTTACCCGCACACTCGATCAAGAGGCGTCATAACCTTGTCAACCCTAACAAATGCAAAATCCAGACCCCCTTTAAGGATGCGAGCCTCGTCGCTCGTGAGGACATGCACGACATTATCGTGGTAGTCTACAAGAGCACGCAGCTGCGTTCGATCGTAGATTGTGCCAAGATCCTCTCCTTGAAAAGAGACACACAAGCAGATCCGCATGCGCTGTGAAAGAAGGGGGTCCCTCAAAGATAGGACGACACAAGGAACAAAAGAAATCCGATATAGAATGCCACAGCAGCAAAAAACAGCAGAAAAGCAGCGAAAACAGCAGTATCCGCAGTGAAGACAGAAGCAGCAGTAGCAGCAGCGAAAACAGCAGTATCCGCAGTGAAGATAGAAGCACCACTACCAGCAGCAGCGAAAACAGCAGTAGCAGCAGCAGCAACGCAAGCACCACTACCAGCAGCAGCGAAAACAGCAGTAGCAGTAGCGAAAACAGCAGTAGCAGCAGCAGCAACGCAAGCACCACTACCAGCAGTAGCGAAAACAGCAGTAGCAGCAGCAGCAACGAAAGCACCACTACCAGCAGTAGCGAAAACAGCAGTAGCAGCAGCAGCAACGCAAGCACCACTACCAGCAGTAGCGAAAACAGCAGTAGCAGCAGCAGCAACGCAAGCACCACTACCAGTAGTAGCGAAAACAGCAGTATCCGCAGTGAAGACAGAAGCACCACTACCAGCAGCAGCGAAAACAGCAGTAGCAGCAGCAGCAACGCAAGCACCACTACCAGTAGTAGCGAAAACAGCAGTAGCAGCAGCAGCAACGCAAGCACCACTACCAGCAGTAGCGAAAACAGCAGTAGCAGCAGCAGCAACGAAAGCACCACTACCAGCAGCAGCGAAAACAGCAGTAGCAGCAGCAGCAACGCAAGCACCACTACCAGCAGCAGCGAAAACAGCAGTAGCAGCAGCAGCAACGCAAGCACCACTACCAGCAGTAGCGAAAACAGCAGTAGCAGCAGCAGCGAAAACAGCAGTAGCAGCAGCAGCAACGAAAGCACCACTACCAGCAGTAGCGAAAACAGCAGTAGCAGCAGCAGCGAAAACAGCAGTAGCAGCAGCAGCAACGAAAGCACCACTACCAGCAGCAGCGAAAACAGCAGTAGCAGCAGCAACGAAAACACCACCACCACTACCACCACTACCACCACTACCACCACAACCACCACTACCACCACCACCAGTAGCATCAAGAAAGGCGCCCTTCCACCAAGACCATGAGGTCTGTCCACCATCCTTTCAACCCTCCTTACCCAGCATCCAATTCAGCATCAGCGCTATTGGCTTCACCACAGGATACAGGAGCCACTCTAAGAACCAAACAAACCATGAGAGATTGCCTCCCACACGCAGTCCATGACGCGCGCAGACAGCTTGGGGGAGGATCTCGCCAAACAAAGTGATCACGACAGTCGATACCAAGAAGCCCACAAGACTGCGCAACAAAGGCAAGAAACAAACCGCGAAATTCTCAGAGTCGCAATACATAGGAAGCCTTTTCCCCTATCCATCCCTCCCCTGTCAACAATCTGCCGCCACAGCGTTGCTGCAGCTGTTGCTGCTGGCGCTTGTTTGCTGCCTTTTCATACAAGCATTTCTCCTGGAAATGTCTCCAAGGAATGTGGTGCCTGCCTCAAACCAAGGCTCTCACCCGTCAGTTAGACCCCCCAAAAGCAAAGAGAACCCTGCGTTCACAGCCACATTGGCACTAAGGAGGGTAACCAGCAAGTAATTGCCGTCTTTTCGCAATGGCAGAATCCTCCGAGCATAGCGCGCATTCGCTTCGTCCGCTCTGCTCTCTTTTGGTCTATCAACTACCAGCTTCAGCTGCACGAGATCCAGCGTCAACAACCCTAAGTCGCAAAAACACACCACCAAATCTCCCTCCCCATTGCACCCATCAACTTTGGGACCCACCCCTGCGCACAACCCACGCATGCAACTCCACACACATACATCTACACACATACATTCACACATACATACACATTTACACACATATATACACACATACACATATACACACATATATGCACACACACATACATACACATACACATACATTCATACATTCACACATACATTCACACATACATACACATACACATATACACACATATATGCACACACACATACATACATACATATATACACGCATACATTCACACATACATACACAAACACATTCACACATACATACACACATACATACATACACATACACATACATACACACACATATATAGACACATACAAACATACACATACACATTGACACACACACATACATACATACACATACACATACATACACACATACACACACATATATAGACACATACAAACATACACATACACATTGACACACACACATACATACATACACATACACATTGACACACACACATACATATACATACACACACATACACATACACATACATACATACACATACACACACATACACACATACATATACATACACACACATACATACACATACACACACATACACATACATATACATACACACACATACATACATACACACACATACATACATTCACACATACACACACATACACATACACACACATACATACATACACATACACATACATACAAATACACACATACATTCACACATACACACATTTATACACACACATATATACGCACATACATACATACACATACACATACATATACATACACACACATACATACATACACATACACACACATACACATACATATACATACACACACATACACACACATACACATACACACACATACGTACACATACACATGCACATATACACACATACACATACACGCATACATACACACATGCATACGTCCCTCCTGCAGCTGCTTCGACGTCATGAGGGCTTTCTAGGCTGTGCGAAAAGAAGCGCCTCCCACCAGATGCGAGAGCGAAAGCGTCAGCAAGCCAGCCACCGCATGCATGCCGCTTTTCCCCGAGCTGGCCCTATACACCGTCCATAGACACCCCCCCTCAAGAGGAGGCTTAGCTTACGTACCAAGAGTCAAACCAGAAAAGATGGCACTGCCAATTGCACACAGCAGCGCCAAGCAAATCGACACAGCCAAGGGCAGCTGACTTTCGATGATCGCATCATCGGCCATCCTGCGCTCAGGAGCGCCTTAGGCTTAAAGCCTCTTGCAGGGTTTGATGGTGGTGATAATAATGTTGATGGTGGTGGTGGTAATAATGGTGGTGATGATAATGGGGGTAATGCTGGTGGTGGTAAAAATACGGTTGATAATGCAGATGGTGGTGATTAATGTTGATAATGCTGGTGGTGGTGATAATAATGTTGATAATGCTGGTGGTGGTAATAAAATGTTGATAATGCTGGTGGTGGTAATAATGGTGGTGATGATAATGGGGGTAATGCTGGTGGTGGTGAGAATAATGTCGATAATGCTGATGGTGGTGATAATAGTGGTGATAATGCTGTGGTGCTGATAATGATTGTGGCGATAATTATGCTGGTCAGGCTGGTGGTAGTCAGGCTGCTGGTGGAGGTTCAACCCGTACTGGTCGTAGGAGGGAGAGGGGGGTAAGCGAAGGCAGTGCGACAGAGGCTTCCTCGAAAAATCTGGCAGTGCACGCAAGCCAAGCCTTGGAAGAACGTGAGGTGGCTGCGTGGAACTAGCGAGATCGGATGAAAATATAAAGAGCTGAAAAGGGGGAAGTGCCAAGGACGTTCTGGGTGGGGAGAAGTCAAACTTGGAAGAAAAAAAGAAGCCTGTGTTTCTCCCGCCTGAGGCTTGAAGAAACCGTTTCGAAGCAAGGTCCAAGGCTGTCAATGGGCAAGGAATTCCGAAAAGCGTCGATGATGATGATGCGCGCGATGTATATAAATATATATATACATGTATACGTATGTATATGTATGTATATATATATATATACGTATGTATGTGTATAGCAGCGAAGACAAGGAGGGGACTGGGAAGGTCGTGCAACAGCACTTGGAGCGCCTCCCCCTTGACAGGAGGCTCTAAGCGACTCCTGTGAATCAGCAGTAGTAACACTACCTGCGCTAGGTGGCTGTCTACTGCTGAAGGGGGAACCCCCCGTTTAGTAGCGGTGAAAAAAAAGGAAAGGGGGGGAGGTACAAAGGCAGAGGGAGGTGCGCAGCGCAGTCCTGAAAGTGTAGGAAGATCTGGAAGCGCCAGGATAGCGACGGCAAAGAAGATCTTCGAAGTGCAGGGTGCCAAGTCAGGGAGTCTGAGAGAGTCGCGGGAAGGGATGAGACAAGCCAAAGCGAAAGACAAGAGTTGCGAAGCGGCGTTGGCAGTCAAGACAGGAGGTCAGCGCTACTGGTGGCGTTGCAACTGCTGCATTTGCTGCTGCTGCTGCTGCTGTTACTCCCGGTGCCTCTGGTGTTGCTGCAGTTGCGCTTTCTGCCGCTGGTGCTAGCAGCGTGGCAAGCGCGATTACTCCGTGCAGCGACTGCAGGTCCCAGATGTAAACAATCTGTGATTAGGGAACAGATGTCTCTACAGAAGAAGAAATGGGAGGGGCTTATGTGGCTCCTCGACAACTTTGGCAGCGTCTGCTGCAGCAGCACCGCTACACTGATGCGGGTCGGCATGCGAGGTTGCCGCTACTTCCGCGTCTCCTGCTGCCCTTGCGCCCTTCTTGTCCTCAAATCCAGAAAATACGTTTAGAAAAATGCTCAAATTTGTCCAATCAAACAGAATTGCTGGAAGGTCATAGGGGAGTTGGCTGCCACGGACCTCTGGATTCGCATACGCCGCGTATAGCCGTAGTAGACTCGGGGGCTGGAGGGGGGCCCCTGTGTGGCATGTGAAAGGGTAGGGGCCCTCACACAACTGTCGCCTGCACTCAAAATACGAACCTCGAAGAAAAATGGACTTTGAGAATGTGTTCCTATTTCTGGTGGGGGCTGCGCAAACGCTCCATGCGCCTTTCGACCACTTCTTGCACCCAGTCCGCATTGGCAAGCCGGTCCAGAGTTGCCACCTGGGGAGCAGACGCCCAGCCATTGTGCGCACTAAATAGCCGTCCGAGTACTTTTAATGGGGGGCAGCAGTTCGTGCTTCCCGGGGACCTCATTGAGCTCTGCCACAAGTCATGGGCAGGGAGAACGGACTGGTTCTGAGACACGTTTTACGATTTCTGAATCGCGCGGTCTTCCTACGCGGCCGGGAGGCTTCAAAAAAGGCTACGCTACTCTTTAAAGGGCTAGGAGTCATTCTCTCGCACAAAAGCAGGGGCTCTAGGCGGTAGTGTATCTTGTATTCGCAGTGCCATAGCCACACAGCGAGCGCTTTTGTCATGACACACCGTCAGTGCGTGGCTAAACGCCTCACTAAAAGGAACGCGGTGTACCTTCCTGGCCGTATAGAGGGTTTAGATGACCGGAAGCGTCCTTTCGCTTCCTTCTTTTTTCGCCTGGTGCTGTTTTGCTGAGGACAGTTGTGAGCGGATGCGCCAGGGTTCCTTCGCCTAACTGGCGTCGCATTCCGCATCTAACGTATCTGTCGGGAAAGACATAGCTCCAAACTTAAAGCATGCTCAGCCCAAATTAGTGAGAGTGCCCTTTTAGAGGTATTCGCCCTCTCCATGATGCGCCTGCTCCCACGGGCTTTGGCGTGAGGAGAGAGGGATAGCTTGGGCTCCCCGTGCTGCACTCGCTAAGCGCGCCTAGCTCCTCTCACAGCTGATGAACCTGGCAACCGATGAATTGTAAAGAGCCATCGCTTCAGCGAAGCGAGACCCGCTAATTCTCAGTGATCAAATGCGTTCAGCCGGTTCCTACCCTTCCTTGCCTTTACTCAGTAGTGGTAAAAAAAGTGACCATCAGCTGCCGCGGCTGCGTCAAGCCCCCATGGAAATATGCACAATGCAGCAGACTACCAGCCCTTTCGAAGTGCCTTCTTATTGGGGTTGCCTTAAAGTTTTCTATCACCGGGGGCACAACACAGTGCTTGGCATGCTGGTGTTTGCAGCATCGCGCCCTCTGGTGCCTCTGCAAGTCATAGCAATAGGAGTCTCCTGCGCCCAGTGAGCGACAAGCAAATACATACCAAAGGGCCACCTGTTTCCAGCCCTCAGCTCTAGAGGTGGAGCAGAGGGCCATGCCTCAACGCAGCCACCCAGTGTACTAGACACTCCTGCTTATGCTACAGTTTGTCTCTCACTGGCGATGTCTCTTGGATCTGCATTAGACTGCCGTCTTCCAGCGCTACTTGAAGCGCCAAGCTGCAGCGCTAGCGGAAGCAGCCGGCCGTGGGATGCTGGAAGATGCTCAAGGACCTACGCGCACTGGAAATCCTGCGGCTTTCTACAGGCACCCGAGTTGAGCTTCGTAGCAGCCACAGAAGGGGCGCCTTTCACGCAGACGTCGCTTTGGCTTTGTAGAAAGGGGGAGGAGCGCTCGGTCTGCTACAATTTACTGGCTTCTTTTGCAGGCCCAACGTACGTTGCAGTCTGAAGCATGTGCTGTTGTAAAAAGAAGGCAGGCTGCTAACAAAAGCGTCATCCTGAGCGGTCCTCCCGTCGACCACTAGGTTCAGAAAAGAGGGTCTTTTGTATGTGCATCCACGTGCTGCGCTGTATATACACCGCTCGATGGCTGTAAAGGGTCGGGGGAAAGGCACACCCCGGGAGGGCTCCCCAATTGTGAGTCAAACATTGGGGCCCGCAAGCGATCCTTGTTGATGACTCTTATTTTCGAGTGACTTTGGACAAACAATCCGTAGCTTGAACGCGTTTGCCACCGCACTGGTGTTCCCCCGACTGACGAAAAGGAGACTGCAGGCAACTCCATGCAGCTCGCAGCGCAACAACGCGTTGCTTGCCTTCGGCTGCTCAACTGAGCGAATTGGAAAGGTAAATCGTAGATGCCGCTCAGCTGTTTGATGCCTGTAATCAAAGCCAGCATCGGCGGAGGCAGGCCTAGTAGCATCGGCCCAACGAGCTACAGAGCTCATGTATCGTTCCTGATTACCAGAGAGGCTCTGACTGTGTGGTAAGCAGCTAGTGTGGCATCCCTAGGAGCCGCATACAGGCTGCCCTGTCTCAAACAAGGACAGCTGAGCTGCGCCGTTTTTATCGCATGTGGCCGTTCCAGTGGGTCCCCCCTGTTGTAGAGTTGGTTGGTTGAGAGGGCTTACTTTCTACGTCTTTGAACTAATGTGGCCTGCCCCCCTTAGGAGGAGTGCATGCGTGAGAACGCCTCCTAGCAAGGGTGTTGAATTCAGTATCGACGGCGGGTCATAGTGGAAATGCCAGAGAGTGATGACGTGGGGGAGGAGACGGGGAGAGGGATCGGCAGGTAGAGCGAGGCGTCACAAGCTTTTTTGCGCGCAGGCGTATTTATTCGCGTTTCGAAATACTACACAGCCTATCCAACAACGCCGGCCGAACTCGAAACTGTAAAATACCTACACCCAACTTGTAAAAGGTCCCCCAAAGAGGCCCCTGCGCTACGTGGGGCCCTAAAATCCTCAGCGGTTGCCTGTGTGCCCGTAGATCTGCTGCAGTGCCTCCACGGCTCGAAGAGTCTCCTGAGCGTCTGCCTCCAAAGTGCAGTCTGGCTCAGCAGCCTTCACAGCAGAGAGGGGAGGGGGGGCATCAGAACGCTGAAGTCTGTCCGAGAGACTGCGCGACTGCTCCGGAGAGACGGGAGCGCTAGAGGGAGTTTCGGAAACATCCAGGGGGTCCTGCAGACGGCGTGATGCCTTAGGGAGACTCTGCGCTTCTGTGTCGTCGTCGTCGGCGAGCTCGAGGAGCTCTATTTTGCCCCGCTGCGTGCGACAACGCCAGGGAATGTGCCTAGAGCTTCCGCGCTGGACGTGCACTTGAGCCAAGAGCTCTACTAGGGACCGACAGAGCAGGGGAAGGAGGGCAGCAGAGAGAGGGCGACAAGGGCGGCAGTCGGCAGCAAAGCAGAGCCTCACTTGGAGAGACGGAAAGGCCTCAAGTTCCCCCGTGTCACCGAGCAAGAAGGCACTCACGGAGCGATCTTGTTTCGCGGCTTTTTCAGGGGGCCCTTGCGTCTGGCTGGGGGAGGGCGAGAAGGAAACAAATCTTGCGGCTTCCGGGCAGCATGCAGCAGCGATCTGGGCAACAAAACTTCGCAGATTTCGATCAAGAACTGCGCTGTATAAAGCTCGCAAGTGTACAGAGTGCACAGTCCACCCTGCAGCAGCACACAGTGCCAGCGAGGTGTTTTGCAGCACTGGCAGCCCAGGTCGAATTGCCTTTTCCTGTGTATGTCCATGCCAGGATCGGCTCTAGTCTGTCTTTGTCTCTCCACGTGCTCTTTGCCCCCACCCCCTCTACCGCCCCTCCTGCTAGCGTTTCTTTCGAGTCTTCCCCTTCCCGACGCTTCCCTCGAAACGAAGTGCCACTCGGGAGGCTCAAAATGTGGCAAAAGGCTCGCGTCTCCACGCGAGACACACAACCCCGAACCCACGGTCTCACGCACCGAGGAAGGTTAGCTGCCTTTGCCGAAGCTCTGCACTGGCAGTCGGTTTGCTTGAAGGAGCAAGTAAATCCTGAGACAATGGATGCATGCGAATAGCACTTCATCAACCCCGAGGGCTGCCTAGAACGCTTCCTCACCACCAAGGCCCTCTTTCGGGGTAGCTATGCACTGCCTGGTTTGTCTCGAACACCTCGGTGATCCTTTTAAACGGTGAAACAGATGCGTAAAAGAAGAAGAGGAGCCCACAGAGCTCTTCTCCTATATAGGAAGCAAGGAGGGGCTTTCCCTACCTGGAAGGTCAAAACATCTATGAGATGCTTTTCCAAAGGGAAAGCCGCGCTGACACGGTAGATGCCGCCTACCACAAATGTGACTTTATGGGGAATCTTCATCTGCGCGGAGGCACTCACACAGACACATGCACACACATAATACACACACACAAAGCCGCTCCCAACAGCACGAGGTAAATAAAGAGCGTGTAGGCCATGCTGCACAGCGCTGCCCTTCTCTCGTCTTCACCCACGCAACCTCTCGCAAGAGCGCTTCTGCGCGGGTAGGCGTGTGCAGACACGCTCGTAGAGGGCCAGGGATTCAGGCAGCTAGACAAGAAGCAAGACGATCGACGCTAGAGCAGTTTGCAGAGGTCATTCCCATGAGGAGTCGCCTGCAGTCTCAAGCGGGGAGCCTCAACGCGCTCTTGCGAAGCTGCAAAAACAAATCGAGAAGGGGTGAGGGGGAGACTAGGGGCGGAGAGCGAAGGGCGCCCGACTTGAATGAGGGGTTCAGACAGCCAAGCATCATAATTATAGTCCTTGACGCGCAGACGAGACGTTCCTGGGCCGTATTTGTTGCGGGGTGCCCCCTTGTGGTATACATCGTATCGCGGAGCACCTAACACCAGAGACAGCCACTCTCGCAGCTGCGGGGAGGGGCGGCGTGGCTCTCCTGCCAGGGGGGGTCCAGCGAATCGAGAGACATGCAGACTGACTTGCTGGGCAAGCAGCAAGTCGGAGGGCAGTCTATTGCCGTACAGCCTGAGAGGCGCACATGCAAACGCACGCATGCAAACGCACGCATGCAAACGCACGCATGCAAACGCACGCATGCAAACGCACGCATGCAAACGCACGCATGCAAACGCTTCGCTGCAGCGAGGCCCCACTGGACAAAGCGGCAGCGGCGCTCCAGTGGGAAGGGTGCTTGCGCCAAACAGCAGCATGTCTGTTCTCGCAGCAGCAGCCGCTGGCTGAGAAGGAAAAACTCAGCTCACGAGGCGACCTCCTCCATGAGCGGCAGCAAGTGGTCTTCTTCACCGAGCGACACGCAGGAGAAGGCGGCCCTAAGGAGACTCTCTGCAAGGGCAGTTTTGCCTGCAGCGTCCTGCACACGTTCCTCCTCTTTGCCTTCATCCTCGTCCTGAGGATTTCCTTTTTTCGCCGAAGCCTCCCCTCCTGCGCAGAGGAGGCGAGGGAGCACTTCGCCGCCTCTGTATCCGCCAAGGGCATGAGCCGCAGAAAACATCTCCCGCTCCTTTGGGGCAAGAAGAGACACGCCAGAGAAAGAAGGAGTCTCTGTCTCCCCATACCGCCGCGTCAGCATGTAGCGCAGCACGCTGCGGGTCCAGCCTAGACTGATGTGCATCTGCAGGCAGGCAGATCGCAGCACAGACTTCCACGAAAAGAGGTGCTACGAGCAGCGCAGACCTGCCGAGACGTCTGTGCGCACAGGCAGGCGCCGCAGGCCTAGTCGTGATCTGCTGTGGAAAGCTCTCCCTGAAGCACAGAAAAGCTCTACGCCTAGCTTTCTCGACATGGGGAGGAACGGGAAAGCGCGAAGGTGAGAGGAAGGAGGAAGGGGCGAAGAGAAGGGGAGAAGAGGAGGCTCAAGGGGCCTCCCCCACCCCACTGCAGCAGCAGCAAAAGGAAAGCCTCTCGGAGCAAGCATCAGTCTCTCCTGTTTCACACCTCAGTGTTTGCCCAAAGGAAGTGGCACAGGGAAATCAGCGAGAGGAGTTCTCCCTCCATTTCCACCTTGTGCTGCAGCCCCCCAGCCATCCTGCGCATGCACGTATACGCATTGCGAACGCAGCTGCATGCGGTGTGGCTTCTCTCCATCCTGCGTTGCACTGCTGCGCTCCCTCTGCGCCAGCAGACAGGGGGGCCCCGGGGGGCCCTAGGGGGCCCTTGGGGGAGGGGGCCCCTCCGACCTTGTCAGCGTCCGCAAACTTTTTTGCCCCTCACACCACCACCAGACGAGTGTTTACGAGTGGCGGCGCAAGACTCTGAAGTGTCCATACAGGCCAGGAAGGCAGTCTCCGTATGGATGCATGCAATTGCACGGCAGCTCTTTCTGCGCCTACGAGAAGAACCTCATCGGAACTGGCTTTTCTCCCCGTATGCTAGCTAGCTCGCACGCACTTGAGAACAGCGTCATCAGCAAACCCCAGTTGCGCGCATGCGAACAGGAGGGCGGCAGTCGAGTCGGGATCAAGTGCCGCCATCGCGGAGAGTTTCTCCAGGTGAGTAGACAGCGCAGCCTGCACTTTCAGACGCCGATGTATGTGCGTGCGAACGAGAAGCCGGTCTTCAGCAGGGAGGGCAGCGCAGGCACCTAAAAGACGCAGAAATTCCCTACTGGATGCCTGACCTAGGAGGTAAGCCACACGTCGCATGCTCAACTGCAGCAGCTGCTGGTCGGAGAGCCGCAGCTGCTGCAACGCATACAACATGTCACTCAAGCTCTCACAGTCCAGGCACCAGTGGGCCCTGAGCTTCGCATGCAGCTGCTGCTGCAACTGCTGCTGGAGCTGCTGCTGGAGCTGCGGCTGAAGCTGCGGCGCGCCCTTGTCACCAAGCTTGCTCAGCAGCAGCAGAAGCTGAACGCAGTCCTCGGCAAAGAGACTCTCCACCTTCTTCCCCACAGCCTTCAACAACTGAGGCACAACGCGATGCGAAAGGTACTCCGCCTCGGAAAGCCCCACAAGAGCCTGCGCGAGGCCTTCCGGAGGAAGCGCATGCAGCCGCTCCTGCAGCCTGCTGCAGCATCCGTCTAGCACTCGGGTGTCTAGACACCCCGCCACTCCCAGGCCGTAGACGGTTCGCGCCAGCTGCCTGTCAGAGAAGGTGGGAAGACGGCTCAGAACCTTCTGCCCGAGGGCCCCCATGAACTCCTTATTGCTGAACCCTAAAACTGCAAAGCCCACTGCCACTGTTGCGAGCTGTTGAGCCGTGCACGCAGACAAATGCGGCAGCAAGCTCACGCTCAAGTCAGACAGCAAATCCCTGTCTTGCACGCCTGAGCACACATGGACAGAGGCAAAGTGTGTATGTTTGTGTATATGTGTGTGTGTGTGTGTGTATGTGTGTGTGTGTGTATATGTGTGTGATTTTTACGGTTGCATGCCTCCCTCGTTGCATGCCTCCCTCCCTCGTTGCATGCCTCCCTCCCTCGTTGCATGCCTCCCTCCCTCGTTGCATGCCTCCCTCCCTCGTTGCATGCCTCCCTCCCTCGTTGCATGCCTCCCTCCCTCGTTGCGTGCCTCCCTCCCTCGTTGCATGCCTCCCTCCCTCGTTGCATGCCTCCCTCCCTCGTTGCATGCCTCCCTCCCGTTCACTGCTCTACGCGGACGGCCCCAAACACAGTCGTGCTTTCTGCAGCAGCACGAGATCTCGGTGTTTGCCCTCATGGCAGCGGCGAATTTGCTGCCTCCAATTAGGCGGAGAGGAGGGGACTCCCAATGTGCCCCTAGGCGCCTTCTTCGCTCTATGGCTTATGGGAAGAAAGTATCGGGGAGCACTCTCCAGGCAGAGCGGTTGAGCAGCGCGACAGGAGAGAGCGCGTCTTCCCCTCCTCCTCGACAGGGAGAGGGAAGAACGACCTGGTCCAAGCGCTTACCTGCTTGCGCGTAGGCGGAGACAAGCGTAGCAAGCTGTCTGGCGTTGAGCTGGGGAAGACAGCCTCTGATGATCGGAGTCAGCGTGTAGTTGAAGAGATCGACTGGCTCTTCAGCCATGCGCGCCAACGCCCACGCGAACTGCACGGCATCCCCTGGAGAGCACAGCTCGGCATCCGTTTCAACTCGTCGTCGTATGGCAGCAGCGAGGCTTTTGTCGAAGAACGCGGAAGCTGCGAAAGCCCACGCCACTGAAGCCAACTCCGGAGTGGAAAGCTGAGGCAAGAGGGCACGAGCTCGCACCGCCAAGGCGCCGAACAGCCGTGAATCCTTCACGCGCAGTCTGGAGAGCCCGCAGCAGATGCACGTCAGGTCTAGTGGTCGTTGCAGCTGCGGAACCACGGCAAAAGACGCCTCCAGGAGCGCCTCCCGCAGCTCCTCGGCGGTTGCTGCAGGCAGTGCCAGTCTGCCGAGGCAGTACAGACACGTGGCAACTTGGTGGGGAGACATGTCGTGGCTCAGAGCGGCGCAACGGGAGAGCAGCTGCGGCAGCCACGCGGGTGTGTGCTCTGCCCTTGTAAGACCCCAAAGAAGATTCGAGACGCCTTGACAGTCCAAAAGGGGCAGAGACTCTCGCGCTGCAGCCATCAGGGAGACGAAACGAGGATCTGAGAAGAGCAAACCACGGTTGTAGGGAGACAGCAAGCGGCCCAGACGGTGAACGCCTGTGACGACGTTGATTGGATCCATTCCGAACTCCACAGACAGCCGGGACCGAGTGGCTGCTGCTGCTGCTGCTTCTGTTGTTGCTTCTGTTGCTGCCAAATCCAAAGAGGGCGCACTTGCAGCGGAAGCACCAGCTGTACTCCCAATGGAAGTTGCATTTGTTGTTGATGATGGGATTATTGTTGCATTCGCTGTTGATGATGATGGGATTATTGTTGCATTCGCTGTTGATGATGATGGGATTATTGTTGCATTCGCTGTTGAAGATGATGGGATTATTGTTGCATTCGCTGTTGATGACGATGCTGCACTGTCTGCGCATACACTCGGCTGTGCGCCGGGGGGAGCGAAGGCAACGGAGTTTCTAGCAGTAGGACTCCCCCCTACTGCCTCCAAGGCGGCACCGACTGCAGAAAGAATATCCTCTGGAGTGCGAGCTCGCAACAGTCGTTGTTGCGTGTGCAGATGTTGTGGCGAGAGCCGTTCCCAGACTTCCTGGCGCATACCCGCGGCTTGCGTCGCTCTAGCGATGGGGTTTTCTGTCTCGATGAACTCAGCAAGTTGTGGCGAAGCCGTGAGCGTCCGTGCAGCTTCGCCCGTCGCGTCTGCCAGCAGGTGCCGCTCGTCGCAAGCCGCGAGGGGGGGAGGGGAGCCAACGCCTCCCCCGTCGCTCTCCGAGGGGGGGCCCCTTCCCAGCGCCTCCAGAGTAGCGTCATCCGCAGCAGTGTCGGGGGGAGAAGCCGACGTTTCTGCATGCTCCTCCGAGGAGCTGGAGAGAGTCTTGCGCTGCTCTCTGGGGAGAGCAGCAGCTTCCACAGGCCGTATTCTTGCGCTGAGCTCACAGGTTTGCTGCAAGGTCGTTAGGTTGTCGCGCCAGTTGGGCCCCCCCCCCCCCGTTCAAGAGCTTCCTTCGACAGGGCCCTTCCCCCCTCGTGCGCAGTCGCTGCTTCCGCGAGACACGGGGGCGCACTCTGAGGCAGTGGGATCCCCACGCCGCTGCTGCTGGACGAGCTCGCCTCGAGGGAGGCATCCTTTGACGCGGCGTGGATTGCTGTTGCTGCTCCCAATACGCGAACTGTGCGCTTGGCCGTGCGCGCGTGCCGCTGCATGCGCCGCTCCTGCTCTTCCTTCAGCAGCTGCTGCCACAGGGAGGGCTGATACAAAGCCTCATGCTCCTTGAGCCCCTTCACGTTGAACTGGGGTTTGCCGAATTGTTTTTGCCCCTGCGTGGAAGCGCCCTTGAGAGGAGATGCTGCTGCCGCCGCCGCAGAAAGCCTCCTCCCTTTGTCAACACGCACGGCTGGCCTGTAGGAAGGACTGGCGTACTCATCTAGGGGGAGGAGGGCCTCTTCGAACTGCTCTGCGAAGGCTCGCTGCGCCTCCTCTAGGGAGCAGGGGGCCCCCCCCCCCTGCTGCTGCCTTTTCGGGGGCCCCTCGGAGGCAGTCGCTCCCTTCCTGCCTGCTGCCGAGCCTCCGGGGAACGCGGGGCCTCCCCCAGAAAAGCGGCGGAATCTCGCCAAGAAGCGCAGAGGGGGGGGCCCCCCCGCAGATGCGGGGGGCAGGGGAGGTGGGCCCCTCATAAGGGCCCGCATGGATGGTGATACTGCAAAGTTACAGCCGCAATCAAAACAAAAAAGTCGGAACGGAGCCTGCGCTGCGGCCTGCGGCAGCAGAAGATCCCTGCCGCAGCTTCTCGGTGACCTGTCCGTACACCGCAAATGGCTTGCTTTAACCTCCGAACGCAGAAGAAGGCAGCATCTCTGGAAGGTTTTTCTGCTGTTGGCTGCTGTCGCGACACCTGAGCTACAGAGACCCCAAGGTTCCCCAGGAGGCTGTGGTGGGGCCCCATCAGGGGGGCCCCACGGGGCCCGCTGCGTGACCACCCGTTGCACTCAGGATATTTTGGCGAATTCGTCAGGATCTCAAGCAGGGACGCCTCGAAAGTGCGGGAAAAAGTGCAAAACTTTCGATCCGCCGATTGTAATATGCACGAGCATTACAGCAGGCCTTGAAAGACTGGCACCTTGATTCGCGGGGAAGGCTTCAAACCCTGTTGCTTCATGCGGCCTGTGATGTGCATATATACCTATACATACACAAATTTTTAAGACTCGATATACAGCCTGCTCTCATGTGATATACAGAGACGACCACGCTTGCAAGAGCCAGCGGAAAAGCTGCTGGAATCAACGGCGAAACTGCGCGTTCCTGCGGGTAACCGCGAAAAGCCTCGAGCTTCTCTCCGAAGAGCCACCGTGGGGGCCCCCCCTTGTTGGAGGCCCTTTCAGGGGAGCCACAGCACGTGCACCATCCAACGCAGCACGTACAGCGTACATCGATGATCTAACTCCTTCGCAGCACCTCAGGCTGCGTTCAAATGCACCCCCGGGACTGATACAAGCAGCAGGGATCTTCGGCGACTTGCCCCCACATTACGTGTGTGAAATCAAGAGTCGAAGTGCAGGCACTTGAGGGAAGAGTGTCTGTACACGCGCGAATCCATGGGGGAGGAAGTAGGCTCTTCCCCACGCCTCAGGGGGCCTCATGGGGGCCTGCCTCGTGAAGATCCTCCCCGCTCGTCGGGGGGCCCCCCTGCTGCTGCCTTAGGGGGCCCCCTCCCTCTGGCCTGCATTTGCCCTCCACACGCGTTGTGCAGGCGCTCCTTGCCCAAGTTTGTGGCAAGAGCAGAGGGCACCAGCAGCTCGGTTGGGGGGCCCCCTGAGGGCCCCCAAACCTGCCTGGAGGACTGCCAGCTGTGCCGCAGCTGGTTCGGATTTATCAGGGGGTGTCGTGTGCCGCCTACTGTCTTGAGAGGCTTCGTCTCGCTGACCTTCTACCCCTTCAAGCTCAAGTATAGCAACTCCCCAATGCGGCATCTCCTGCAGCAACAAGAGCAGCAGCAACAAGAGCAGCAGCAGCAAGAGCAGCAGCAGCAAGAGCAGCAGCAACAAGAGGCCGCAATTTTTCATGCGGGCAGCAAGCAGACTTCCAACCCTGCTTCTCTCTCAGACACGCCTTCTTCCCTTGACCAAGGCAACATCAACAAGGGATTTCCTATGAGCTGCTGGCAATGCAACCCCTACAGAGGTGTCTTCGAACGCGTGATGCACTGTGGCATGCGTGGCAAAGACGGCTTTGCTGGCCGCTTTCATCGCTTACTTGCTTCCCAAGAATTTGGCATTCGTGTGTTTCTCTCTATAGACCCGCGGTACATCCGAGGCGTCTCTTTCGCCGCTCGATCGCTCGCGCTCAAGTGCCTCTCCAAGTTCATCCTGGCTCTCCTTTACCAGACGCTTTTTTACAGCTCCGCAAGCAGCTGCGGCAGTGCGACGTGCCGCTGCTCCCGCGCAGATTTCGAAGATGCCACCGATGACGATGAGGACTGGCCGTTCCGCACAGTCCTTCAAAGCCCCCGCATTTTGCAGCAGCAGCAAGATGCAAAAGCGGAAGCTGCTGCTGCTGCAAAATGCAGCAACAACAACAGCACCGACGGCGCCAGAGGCAGCAACAGCAGCAGCAGCACCAACAGCACCAGAGGCAGCGTTTCTCTGGCAAAAAAGCGATGCAGCAGACAAAATCACGCATACCCCCTCCCCGGAGGGGCCCTTGCTGCGGCTACAACGGCAGCAGCGACGATAGCCGCGACGGCTGCTTCCCCCTTCACTCCAAGGAAAGGCAGCACCAGTTCTACTCCCGTGAAACACCAGCAGCGTCAGCAGCAGGAACGTCGTTCGATGCCTTGTTTAGGTTGCTGTGGCAGCACTGTCTGCAGCAACGGCTGCTGTTGCTCCAGCAGCTGCTGCGGATCCCTTTGCTGCTCTCCCAGCGGTGTCTGGGGTGTACATGCAGTGCAAAGGGCTCTTCGCGCTGCTGCTGGGGGGCCCCTCGAGGGCCCCTCCCCCGCCTTAGCGATTCGTAAAAAGTATCGCTGGTGGCTAAGAGACCGCGAGGGGAACCCTGCGGAGCAGCTGCTACTGCAGCGTCTGCGCGTGCTGCTGCCGGATGTGCTGCTTTTGCGCCTTGCGCAGCTCCTAACGGCTGCCGCCGCTGCAGTCGCTGCTAAGTCTCAGCAGCGGAGGGAGACTCGGAGAAGGCTTGCTGCTGAACTCGCTGCAGTCCTTGCAGCCTTCCCCCTTGATCCGAAGCAGCAGGAATACCAGGAGCAGCAGTTGTTGCTCCTCCAGAACAAGAACGACGACTCCGTGTTGTGGGATCCCTTCGCTGCAGATGAAGAGCAGCCGGCTCAGAGTGGCGGCAGCAGCGTGAAGCGAAGAAAGAAGCTGGGCAGTCCAGAAGACGCTGGAGGCACTGCTGCCGCGATGGGAGTATATGAAGAGCTGCGCAGCTGCTGCTTGGATTTCCTCTGCGTGCTGCTCCACCTCAGTTGCTGCCACACAGAGCATCGACGCTGCTGCGTTGTAAGGTGCAGAGACGTGGCCGTCGCAAGGGATGCCTTAGGAAGCGAACAAGAAAGGCAGCTGGCTCTGTTTGCTCGGCAGCAACAGCGAGTGCGCCGCTGCAGCAGCGACAGCGAAAGCAGCAGCGCCTCCTCTAGCGACGAGAGCTGGCACCCAGCTTCCCCCGCCAGGAGCAGCGGCGACAGCGAAGGCAGCACCAGTGGCGAAGACTCCGACGGAGCCTCAGAGGCGGAGGGGCCCCTCCCCAATGTGCAGGTGTGTGTCACGGACTCTGGTGAGTGCGACAGCTTTGGGGGAGTTAGAGGAGTTTTTCAAGGGGCTTCAAGCAAGGGGGGGGGGGGCCCTAGGCTCTCCTTGCAAGAGTATCTGAGTAGCGTGGTGAACTGCAGATGCGGTTGCGCTGAGCCGGAGTGCGACCCGGACGAAGACACGGAAAGCGAGGCAGGGGGGGAGGCCCTCGAAGATACCACTAGCTCGAGCGAGGAAGAGCAGTGAACAGGCTAGCCGAATAGAGATGTAGTTGATCTCGTGTCGAAAGTGCTGCGCCTCATCTGCTCACCACAATGCTAATCCTCCGGCGTGAGTTTTTCTTGAAGCGGTAGATACAGTAGCGCAGGTCTGTGCGCACTCAGGGATCTTGGTGTCCATACCTCAAGCCAGTTGAAATCGAGTCTGGCCGCGTTTGCAGCCTGCAGAAAGCACTTTCCGGCACGATACACGCTTCTAGAATTCAATCATGATGAGCACACCAGAACAACCTGCTTGGGAGAAGCTCAGTTGATACAATGCAGAGCTGTGTTGAGGCGTGGAAGCCGCCCTGTGGAAGAGAACCTATGTCCAGACTTTTTGTGGGGAAGGGAGGTTTCTAAGGCTTAGAGGGGCCCTAAGGGGGTGAGCAGCTGGCTGTCTGACCAAATGATGCCATTGAAGAATGCGCTACCGGATTCCCTCGTACCACCACAACCCCACCGGTGTACATAGCCCCCAGGCATAATAGTGCACATAGATCCCTGAGAGTGAAGGCGAAGAATTCGCCATTGAAGCTGCCCTAGCGAGAGGCCCTAGTGAGTCCCCTTTGTGTAGACACGCCAGCACACCTCGACAAGCCGCTACCCGTGAAAAAAGAGGTCGCTCGGCTTCAAGTTGTGTGTGGCGGCTCGAATGAAGGAAGGCTGTCTTGCGTTGAGTTGCTGGAATGCAATGCGTGTGAGCCTACCCACTAGGTCAAGTCCTTACGTGACTGGCCTGGCTTGCTGTACGGTTATTCATGACTAATCGGCTTGCGTGAATCCCACCCCACCACTGCGCGCTAGACTAGGGGTTGACAGTGCACAAAACGAAGCTGTCGCACAGCTAGCTGTAAAGTGCTGCGGCATTTCACCTATCAGTTCGGTGGAACGCAAGCCCGCACAGCCTAGATCAGGAGTCGCACTGGGGAGATATTTTGGTGAGAGGAGATTTCGAAGAGTGACCCGTCCTTCCACTCGAGGCCATGCCTCCTGAGTGAGACGCAACGACAAGGAGCTTCTGTTCAGTGACTTTTGCTGGAAGCGTTTTTCTACGTGCAGAGGGAGGCAGGCATCTGGATCTTCTCTGCCTTCCCTCCGCCTACCCACCCCACGCTCCCCCCCTCCCGCGTAGGACGGCTTCCTAGAGCCTCTAGGAGGCCTTTCCCTGATTTCCCTGCCAATCTATGTGAAGCACGCGAGGATCAAGCACAACTCCCCTGACTGAAAGACCTCACAGAACCGAGGAGAGGATGGGAGTAGGAGAGAGGTGCTCTCGGTGGGGGACTGTGTCCACTCGGGGAGGCTTGAGGGCGTCCTCATCGGTCTAGAGCTCGTCTTGTGATGGGCTCCTCCGCTTCTTCCTCGTCTCAAGTGCAACCTCCTCGCCCTCTGCAAGGCCTTTTAATTAAACAGTGAAGGCGGCTTCTTGCGCGCCTAGTTATTCGCGAATCCTAGGCAGGCCTGTTGTAAGGGACGCCGTGTAGGCGCTGGCGGTATAAGCGCTATTAATGCCAGAGAAAATACGAACCCCACATGCCTGTCCCTCTGACACTTGGCACCGACAAAAGAAGAGTCTTTAAGGGTGTATTTTGCGCCATCTTCCTGGAGTCATCCACCCAAACACCACCTAGGTCCCTCTCAAGGCAGGGGCATCCCCCCGAGGCGGGCAAGAGTGCCCCTTTGTCTAGAGGCACCCGCTGCGACCTCTGAAAGTGGATTTAGAGGATCTTCCGTCTTTCTTTTGCGCTTTTTTTTCAAGGAGTATTTTTGCTTGCGCCTTCATGGTTAGACGGAAGAGAGAGAGAGAGAGAGACAGTCAGAGAGGGATCGCCTCTGCAGCGCTGCCCCCTCCGCCCGAGGCTTGCACCACCATTGAAACACTGGCCCCCCCTTTCAAACTTGCATGTATACTGCAGATCCGCGTCTCCTGTTGGCATTTCAGACACCGCAATGCCCTTCCCCGTTCCCCTTTGATGCATGTGGTGCATTCTGCCGGCCTTAGAGTCATCGTCCCCTGTGTCGTGTCAAGACACTCCTCCCGCCGCCTCTTTTTACCGCTCCCTGCAGAGCGCGTGCATGAGCTTCGCCAGCAGGCTGTCTACGCACATTAGGGGGCCCCCTACGTCCACGAGCACTCGGTGCTGCCTTTATGCGCAGCCACTGTGGGGCCCCTGGGATTCCAGGAGACGATGGAAGCGTCGACTTGGCATCTGCAGATTTTCACCCCCCACACGCGCTGGCTATGGCCGAGCTCACGGGAGCCTTCGTGATTCCTGAAGAGGCAATCCTAGGCGGTGCACACCGAAAGCTCCCCGATGAGCAAGTCCGACAACAACACCAGCAACGGAATCAAGAGCAGAAAGAGCAACAGCGAGAGCAGCAGCACCAACAGCATCAACAACAGAATCAAGGGCAGAAAGAAAAGAATCAAGGGCAGAAAGAACAACAGAATCAAGAGCGAGAGCAGCAACAAGAGCCTCAACAGCAGAATCAAGAGCAGAAAGAGAAGCACCAGCAACAGGTCCAGGAGCGAGAGCAGCAACAAGAGCACCAACAACAGGATCAAGAGCAGAAGGAGGAACAGGAAGAGCAGCAGCACCACCAGCAGAATCAAGAGCAGAAAGAGAAACAGCACCAGCGACAGAATCGAGAGCAGAAAGAACAACAGCAACAACAGGACCAGGAGCGAGAGCAGCAACAAGCGCACCAACAACAGAACCAAGAGCAGAAAGAAAAACACCAACAAGAGCACAAGTGGCACCCACAGGCTTGCATGAGTACCACCACGACAGATTTCCAAGAACGCAGCGTGTCTCTCTGGCTCCAGGATAGACTCCCCGAAGACGTTGCATCGCAAGCGATGGAAGGCAGCGCTGTTTGTGAGAGACCGTTTCCCGAGGTTGGCAGCGTCTGTACGCTGGGGGGGCCCCCCTTCTGCACCAACGCGCGTGCCACGGCGCGCCACAGGGGCCCCCTCCCCGACCCCCTAAGAGCTCGCAGATTATTTCTGTCACAGAATAAGCACGCCTTCCGCGTGACAGCATCGCCATCAGGAGCATCGAGCTCCCCCCCTGCCAGACAACGCAAGAGAGAGCCTCGCTCGGAGAGCCTCTCTGGAGACTCGCCCGCACCGACGCGAAGGGGGCCCCAACACCCCAGCAGTGGAGTAGGTGGTGCCTCGGGGGCCCCTCAGGCTTCCCTTGCGGAGGCGAGATTGAAGGCAGCAGCAGGAGCAGCCGCCTCCTCCTCTAGAAGGCTTCGAGCGCAGGAGAGGGGCCCCCAGGGGCCTCTTGGCGAAGCCCACGAAACGAATCGACGCGTGCGTTTCTGGTGGCTTCGCACTGCGCAGTCCCAGTCCTCGGCGGCGGAGACACCCCACACTTTGCCAAACACACCGGGGGGGCCCTTTTTCCCCCCGCCTCTTGGGGGCCCCTCAGCGGCTCCCTTCTTCGGGATGAACAACAAGTGCCAGCGACTTCCAGGCTCCCGAGCGGCGCTGCTCCCTAAACCAGCACGGATTTCCTCCGCAGTTCCCTGCAGCAGTCGAAAGGCGGGGGCAGTCCTCGAAAGGGCATCCTCGGAAAGAGGCACTGGAAGGGTCACATGCGCGTATGCGGCTTCACGGAAGCCCCCTTTGGCCAGACGCGCCTGTAGCACATGCATCAAGTTCCCACGAGCGCTCCAGCTGTCGCTTCCTGCACCCCTGGCGACTATCCCACTCGAGGGCGGGGCTGCGCTCGAAGCCGCAGAGGGGGCTGCCAGTGACTCCTCCCCCAGCGTGGGAGCAACCGTGCCGCAGCACGACGCGACTGGTGATGTGAGCCTACAAGGAGATCCGAGGAGGAGCAGCTGTGTCTCCCTAAACAGCCTTTCTAGGGGGTCTGGAGGCGCCTTCGCGAACCGCAGTCCGCTGGTGCACCCGCAGTTGAGTGGAGAGAGGGAGCGCCCTTTTCTGCATGCGCGCGAGGGGCCCCCTCGGAAGGACCCCCTGGCAGTGCAAGGCGTATCCCTCGCCGCTACGCGTGCTGCTGCTGTTGCGAAGGCTGCCGCTGCCGTTGCCGCTGCTGCGCAAGCCGAAGTAGAAGCGGCAGCAGCGGCTGCGACCTGGGGAGACACTGGAGAGTACTACGGGGCTGGCTGCAGTGTCGCTTCTGCGGGTGGACACCGGAGGGAGCAGCTAATGCTGGTTCTGCGACTGTTACTCCTCCTGCCTCCCGAGCTCCAGCACGCAGTGCAGGCCAGACTCTTTATGCTGCAGCAGCGACAGCGGCATCGGCAGCCTCTACGGGAGCCGAACGCGCGGTGGACACATCGGGCAGCAACAACAGCGAGCCTCCCCGGCGTGTCCGTGCTATCGTCTGGGCCCCTCGTCGAAGACTTCTCGAAGGATGTCAACCAGCAGCAGCAGCAGCAGCAGCAGCATTATCTGCAGCAGCCTGCCGCTGCCGATGCAGCCAGGGTCCTCGGTTTCGAGGGGCCTCCTCCAGAGGGCCCGTTCGAGAGGCAACGCAACAGCAGCAACAGCAGCAACAGCAACAGCAACAACAGCAGCATTGGCAGCAGCAACAGCAACAACAGCATTGGCAGCAGCAACAGCAACAGCATTGGCAGCATTGGCAGCAGCGGGCCCTTGGCGAGCGCTGCCAGCTTCCAGCAGCGTCGTGAGCGCGAGCAGCATCAGCATCAGCAGCATCAGCAGCAGCAGCAGGACCGCCAGGAGCAGCAAGTGTGGGAAGTCGATTCGACTGTAATGAGCCTTTATATGTCCGCAACGCTGCAAGCCTCTGCGATGCTCCAGCTGACACCAGGCAGGCACGCGGAGACGCGGCAAGCGGTGGATGCAGCAGCAGCAGCAGGGGTTAGAGGCGTGGATCTCTTTGCAAGCAACAGAGTCACCAGCAGCTGTACATGCGGGACTGCCGCCGTTGGTGCAATGCCTCTCTGCCCCGTTGTAGCAGCGTTGCCTGTTCACGAACAGAGCGGCTTGCTGCCGCGGGAGGTGCGGCCACAAAAATCCTCTTCGAAAGGGGAGGACGGAGCTGCCGATTGCGTGTGCGCGAGCTGTGGAGGGGCATTGCAGGCTTCCTGCTGCAGCCGCTGGGGCTTTGCTGCCACACAGCATGCCGTTTCACATGCGTTTACGGAGGTGTCTGGAAGTTCCCGGAGAGCTTGCGGGCCGCATTGTGGGGTGATGATTGGCTGCAGACACTGCGAAAGCGGCGCGCCGGATGATGCCGCAAAGTACACGCCCCTCGGCAGCTGCCGTGCATGCATCAGCAGGCAACGTATGAGCTATGGGAGGCTGGAAAGTAGGCTGCACGGAAAGCAGCAGCATCTTTTCAGTGGGGGCAGTAGCCAGTCCTTCCCCAGCGCTGCCCGTGTGCTCTGCTGCTATTCATCGGCAGCCAGTCCCTTGAGCAGTGTCTCGAACACGGGGGGCAAGCGCGCTGGTGGGAGTGCGGAGCTCTGCAGAAGTCTGCATGCAGGATCTTGCACGAGGGCACAACTTGTGGGGCCCTCTCCCCCCCTGCAACAGCAGCCGCTGATGCGAGAGGAAGATGCTGGAGTGGCACCCGCATCGGCGCCCACGCATGACTCCTCGGATGAGAGAGCTCTGAGGAATTGCGGCTGGGTGTACTGCGGCTCTGTTCCCCCGGCAGTCAAATTGCCGATTCTTGGGGAGTGGGGGGGGCTTCGCCAGCGGCGTGTGCGGAAGAGGGTTGCAGCGCGTCCTTCTCAGCTGATGAGTCTGAGGATGAGGGCATCGAGCAGCAGCTGGAGCAGCAGCGGCAGAGGTCTGGGGTTGCTGCAGCTGCAGCTCTCCTCCCTTCCATCTCTGCTGATGACAGCCGACACTCCCGGAAGGTTCTGCAGCTCCAGCACGGATCTAGAAGCCTTCCCGGACTCGCAGCGCATGCGTTTGGGGCTTGCAGCCAGGATTCGGATGGATCCTTCGTTGAACTTGCCGCTCTCTTCTCACACAGATGACGGCAGGGTTCTCCGCAGCAGCCGCAGAAGCAAGGAGGCTCTGACAGATAAGGGGTATCCCGAACGGAAGGCAGAGAAGTTCACAGGCCCAACATGTGCAGAGGCAATAGACGCACGCCAGAGCTGTGCAGCCGCAGGTGCCGCCAGTGCTGGGAGCTGCACGGGAGGCAACAAGGAGGCGCGGGAAGCCTTGGAGGCACAGCCGCTGTCGGAGCTGTTTGCGCAGAAATTCGAGCGGCTGCCGTCTTCCCCAGGGGAAAGCTGCAGCTGCAAGAGTGTTCGCAGCAGCAGCCCCTTGTCTCCTGCGAGCCCGTCTCTGACCATGGATGGACTGTCTCCGCGCCAGGGAAGCGCCGAGTTCGTGGAGTTGCCGGATAATACACCAGACGTGGGAGAGACGGCAGGGGACGCTAGACTGCCGCCAACTCCCTGGGACGGCCGTCTGACTGCTTCGGTCGAATCCTTCCCCGCCTCTGTCAGTGGGGGTATTTTCTTTTCGGACTCGCATTCCATCTGGAGGGCAAGAACGCACAAGACTCCCGCCAGCACTTCGCCCTCCTGCTCAGAGCTTCCTCCCGCGCTTCACGATGAGGCTTTGGCTGGCGGCACAGCTGTTTCGCACGTGCCAGCACCCGCCGCTACGGTGCTGGCACTGCCGAGAGACGACAGAGATCCTCCCTCGACAAGGCCCTGCGGGGGACGAGGGGAGCCTCGAAACCACAGAAAAAGCGCAACGCAAGGTTTGCTGCAAAGGCTTCTCCTGGACGTGCCTCTTGGACCAGGAGGTGAGCAAGACGAAGAGGCACCGCCTCAGCAAGCACGACACCCCCAGTCCTGCCCTGACTTGCAGGGACTGCAGGGGCCCCCAGGATCGACAAAACGCTTGCTGGAGGAGCTCATGCAGAAGGTTCCGTGGACGTCTCGAGGCAGGGAGGGGTGTCTTTGCAACAAAACGAGAGCCGGCACTCTCCTGACTCTAGGCTGTAGCAAAGCCACCTCCTGTCTGATTCCAAGATCTTCCTTGAACCTCACTCTTCCAGGGCGAGGAGGCCAGCCTCTCTTCACCGAGGAGCCCCTTCAATGCTCCTCCCCGCCCGATGAGGCCACGATCCCCCGCTGCACTTCTTCTCCCGCTGCAGCGAGGGGTTTCCGCCGTCCGTGCGCCCCTTCGGCATCCTCCAGCACGCGAGGGGTTCTCCGTGGCGGTGTTCCTCTCAAGGCTTGGGAGGAGGAACCGAAGGGTGGTCAACAGGAAGTAGCTGGCACGGAGAGAGGGCTTCTCGATGAGCAGGCGCATCGTGGGGTAGCCTTCGAGGGGCAGCCCAAATGCAGGGGGCTCTCTGCGTTGCTCCAAGGCGGCGCGGAGGTACCAGAACAGACGGATCCGCATGCAACAGAAGCGACATCGGGAAAGGCCACAGCGGAGACTGGAGTGCCCTCCAACCGAGGGGACGCAAGCCTGCTGGCAGAAGGGGGGAACCCACATGGACTAGACTGGTGCAACAGTGGGGTGATAGCCGGTCTCAGCACTCGTGCCGCGAAGCTCCTTGGGCAGACCCCCAGTTGCCAGGCAGCTGTAACCTCGCGCGCGGCTCTCTTGGAGGCGTTGCAAAAGTATCCAGGTGACTGCCCTGAAGCGACGCGGAAAGCCGCGGAGTTTCTGGCAGAGATCGCAGTCTTGCCAAGCGACGAGTCTCGAGGAGCGCCATCAAGGAGGCTGGAATGCACCGAACCAACTGCGCCCCCTGATCCAGCCCAGATTGCGACGCTTTTTGATTTTTTAGGGGCCGACGTAGAGCACTGTCTCCGTGAAGGCCCCTCACAGGTTCTAGGTGCTGCCCTGGCAGCACAGGATGCCCTTGCGCTGGAGTACCAGAGCCTGTTAGATAAACTGCCCAGTGTTGAGTCTCCCGAAGGGCTCTCTCACGACATGCCTTCCACGACGGTTCATTCGACTTCAGAGATCTATGCGCAGGCGCTTAAGAAAGCCTGCCACTCCGCTTTGCAGAGGGCACTAAAAGCTTCAAGAGCCACGGCAGCACTGCAGCTCGCAGATGAAGAAAGAATCCGTCTTCTTTGTCGATATGAAGAGCAGATGCAGCGGCCGCTCCGCACGGAAGCGGAGACGCCACACTGTTCCCTCCTGTCCCACGATGCTGATACCCCCCCCAAAGAGACCCTCCGCAGCCGCTTTACAAGAGATCGCAAGGCCTCCTCCAATCGTCCTCCAGCCACCATGGTGGTAGAGCCTACACGACCCATGGAAAACGGTCAATCTTCCTGTCCTAGTCGGAGAGACTTGCTAAGTTGCAGTTCAAGGCCAAACCCAGTGCAGAAGACACCGTCTGCTCCGGAGTTTTTGTTGCCAAGTGACGACGCCTGCAGAATTCGAGATCGCGTGGCCTCTCCCAGCTGCTTGGAAAACGCCACCCAAGAGGCTGCGGCACTCAAGGCTTCCCGCAGGAGTCGGCTTTCGGGTGAAACGCACCAGAAATCCAATGAGGCGGAAGGGCCTCAAGCCACTTTCTCTCAGCTGCAGTTAACGGGGGTAAGGCATGATAAGGGAATTAAAGAGACATACAAGCGTGGTGTCCTGTGTATGGGCATATCCTGTGGGTTGCTTGCGGCTTCGCATAGGGAGGAGCGAAAGCCTGAAAGCACTTAGAATCAATGGTTCTAGTGAGTACTAGCTGCGTGGGTGCGTAAGCACGTCTGTCTTGCAGGACGCCGTGGAGGATTTTGAAGCCAATTTGCAACTGGTTTCGGCCTTCTTGAATGAATTCTCCACTTGGGAGTTCAGGTCGCCAACAGGTGGCGACCCAGAAAAACGTTTTCTCGAAGAGCTCCAGCAGGAGTTCGCGAGCATCACGCAAGGTAAGTACCCCACTGGAAAACCATTTGGCAAGCAGCAGCAGCAACACCAGCACCAACAGGGCGTGGCATCTCGGGTGCAAATACCCTCTAAAATCCAAGGAAGGGTCTTGCGGATGGTCCGCCTTAAAGAAGGAAAAGCAAATGGGCGCGTTGTATGTGTTCAGGTGGTGCCGAGGTGTCACTGCAGACTTTTCTATCGCAGCAGCGACACGCTGCGCTCCAGAGTCTCCCCAAAGACAGGGTAGCTATCACGGCATAGAAAGCTGAAAGCGGCGTAAATCCCTTGTGCCCAGTCTGCTAATTAGAGATAGCACCTTTTTTTGACTTCAATCAGGGTTATAAGCTTCCAGGAGAACGGCAGCCTGATGCCTCCCTCGAAGAACTTGTTTACTTTTATCCTCAGTCTTCCCCCGAACAGATCAGGGCTTTACTGCAGACGGTTGCACAGCAAGCAGCAGCACGCCTGCCGCCTGTGGAGACTTTGCTTCAGAAACAGGTACAGTGTGTGGTTCATTGGATCCCAACATGGGGCAATGGGGGCTAGTGGATATAGTATGAGGAATAGCAAAAGGAGCTGTGCGCAACATATTCTGCATGCTCAAGAAGACGGAGAACTGCGGTTCAAAAGAAGCTAAACGTCGAACGCGAGCTTCGAATAGTCTCGAGCTGCCACTGGCAGCTTTCTCACACTATCGAGCAGTAGTGGAGCATGTGTGGCTCAGGTTACCACGCGTGTAGATCTATTGTTGAGACAGCCCCCAAGGAACGTGGACAATGCAGGACCCTGCGAGAACAGCCAAGTAGGTAGCTGGTCAGAAGACGCGAAGAATAGCCCATCTTCAAATACATGCGAAGCGAAACCATCGGTGCACTTGGGCCATAGTTGGTCCTCTCCAGCTGAAAGATCTGTATCTCCAGAAAGTGCAGTAATCCCCACTCTCGAGAAGTTAGAGGCGCTAGTAGACGCGAAGTTGGAAGAACTCAAGAAGTCATGCGCCGATTATCTTAGGGAGGCAGCGCAGACCCTCGAAGACGTCATGCAAGTAAATGTCGTGCGCCTCCCACAGTAAGTCACTAGCTTGCTAAATGCACACACGTACAGAACCCCCTATGTAGTTGGATTGCTATGCCCTCGCTTTTTGAGCATTGTACGCTCACCTCTGCAGCGCATGGAGCAGGCAGCGCTCGGCACGCATTTGCTTTTGGTACATCAGTGCCTTGTTTGGTTTTGTTTTATCGATTCGAGGCCCACCACAGCCCCAAAGAATTCGGTGTTGCCTTGTGCGAATCGCCACTGCGATCTTGTTGGCACTGTCCGTCACGGATGCAGCACTTTTTTGGTTTTGCATAGTGCCAACTCCCGTCGTCTGCTACATCTGGGGGCTAAAAACCCCGGCAGCCTGAACGGCAGCGGCACTAATACAAGACGATGCACGTCATGGCATGCTGCAGCACCCTTTGCCACTCATCAACCAGCCTACTCCATCTACCCCAACAAACTCCCCCTCAACTGATCTCCTAGAAAGTACCAAACTGAGTATTCTTTGCATGGAAGCTGCTTGGGAACATCGGCACCAGAGATCTTTGCCTTGGGGCAGCATTTACTATCTGTTACATGCATGGGAAGGCCATCGCAAGCCCAGCAGGAAAGAAGACCAGTGCACACGCCGCTGTGTAGCATGCCAGCCTACACGTAAGCATCTTTTACTCCACTAGTTATATTTAGCCGAGCTACAACTTGACTAACTGGTTTGTCACTCTCATATTTTATTTACTGCAGAAAAGCGTTGGCTCGATTTAATACGACGCACTGTTATGTGCGCACTAACTGTGAATGCACGGAGTGCTCAGGGGGTGCAGCTACGCGCATCCTAGATCCTTCACTTCCCTCATGTCGAAACTTGGAGGGGTACGGGCAGGGGAAGGAGAGAGACTCTTTAGGAAAGGCACTCAATAATTTTGGGGGGGTTGAGTTAAGCTGAGAGTGTGGGTGTCCCTTCAAAGAGTGTAAATGTAGCGTTACACGCAGCATGCATCAGGCGGGGTAAAGCAACTGTACTAACTCACTTGCGATGGATAACTCTCCAAAATAAGCGAAAGCATGCTAGAAGCCTCCTAGCCGAACAAGAGATATTGCCGGGGCTGTCAGGCAGTATAATATTCTCTCGGCCTTTTATTCGCTTCCAGTTGCCCACACCACGGGCTGCCGCGTTCCTCTCTAGCGAAAGCAACTGCATATAGCCATGCAAAGACAGTGTAATAGAACACTGCAGCGACTGAGCTAACATGCATTGCTGTACTACAAGGATGCTAAGGCAAAACGGCAGGAGCCTGAGTAACAGGGCAGCAGGGGAGAGTGCTGCCTAGTGACGGTAAACATCTCTGCATAGACCTACCCGGTGGTACGTTACTCTATCCCTTAAGTTATGAATAAAAGAAGAAGCGGGCAGAGGGCGACAAGGATGGAAGCTAGAGTGGTTGGTGACCGCAACGCCCCTTGAAACCATGTACCTTGCTAAGTCTCTTTTCACGAAGGCACTACGGAACATGATATCAGCCCACACATAGCCCACTTCCACCTCCACAGGAACGAAGTACACCCTCTTCCCTAGGAGAACTCTCTTCAGGACCGCAGCAGAAGTGCTAGTGCTGCTGTTGTTGGTGTCAGTCGAAGAGCCTTCTGTTGCTGTGTTTGTATCCCGTGCTCGACAGGATAGCAAAAATGCTGAGGACCCCTCTGTGGACGGTACATCCGGCAAAAGCTCGACCTTGTCGAGTCGGAGGCAGATGCAGTCTCGGGCACGCGTGGACGCGAGAAAAGGAGTCTGGGGGAGGAGGGGGAGGAGGGCGTGCAGAAGGGGGACGTGGTTTACATATATATATCCTAGAAACAGAACGAACATCGTGCAAACAGGTAAACCGTGCTGGTGGCCAGGTACCCCCGTACTCGCTTTTACTTACTGATGCATTGCTACTTTTGGGCAACCTATGCATGCGTGCCTGATCGTACCTTGTGGATCTACGGAGAAAACGATGCCCACGAGTGTTTTGCGCCTTGCGAGCACGCGCGAAGGAATGTCTGACTGCGTTCGAATTCTGTTAACCTGCACGGAAGCAAAACGAATGCCTTGCTCGCAGCTCGGTCTCGCCAGACGTAGTACCCTGAAGCGCAGGCCTCCAGTGAGTGAATGCGTACTCTGTGGTCAGATATGCTTCTCTTTACAAGGACAATAAGAAGGCAAAGGGCGAAATAGAGACAGGAAGAGATCCATCGCCTGTTATTGTCTACTTGATCCCTCAGCCGGTCCCATAGTGATGAAGCATGCTGCAGCTGTGCCGCGGCACTGTCGTTATCTGTATCTTCGGACAGCCCAATTTGTTCCGGGGATAGCATTTGTGTCAAAAAGCCGCATAGCGCGGCTATACACGATTCGGCAAGTTTGCTGATGCTCCGCAGCGTAACAAAAGTGGATTCCCAGAAGACCACGCCGAAGCTTTTACACTGTAGAAATAGACGATTAACAGGACACACTTATGCTCGCATTGATTAATTCAGGTTTATTATGATGAATACGTGGAATTTGAACATAAATAAGAGCACGACCACAACAGCGCGCGTGTACATACTCCATGTACACAAACTGCCCATCGCGATCATGGATCCGAGGGCTCGATTTGCATTTTTGCAGGTATGCGAAGTTAATGTGGAAGTAGGAGTACACCAGGTTTAAAAAGACATGATACTCTTTATTTTCTGCGTTTTCTTTCTTCTTAATGTAGGAAACACGTAATCTTTTCTATGGTATGAAGCCTCGATTTTTCTCTGTCGTTTCAGTACACTGGAATGCGCGCAGAAGGGCACAAGGCGCGAATAGACCCTGCAAGTTTACTACCTAGCAGGTGAGTGCTATTTGTATATCTGTTCTTTGATTTAGCTAATTTATCTTTTTCCTTTAGCTCGTTGCTTCATCCCTTAGACTTCCAAGATGACTGGCAAGCTGCAGTACCAATTCCAGTGGATATTTTCTACAAAGTTCCTGGTATGTTACCATCGTTCTGCTTGACTTTCAAGCATTTTTAAGAGCATGCAAATATTTTGCAACAGTGTATGGAGAAGGTGACCTCCGCGAAGCCCTGGAAAGGGCAAACGACGCTGCAAGTGCGTAGAAAACAAATGTTCGGTGGCCACGCGCATGCATGTTGCGCAACATATGACATATTTCAGTGCTATTTGCTGAGGTATTGTGAGACTTTGCGCTATCTTGACTCGGTGGAAATGCACTTGGCTACACAGCGCAAGAGAGAAGAGAGACGTGAACTGCAAGACAAGGTACGAAGCTTCGAGATATATCGCGGAAAGACAAAAGGGCTGGTACATCTGTCTTGTATTTAATGTAGGAATATATCCGTCAGCAAATAGCTTCAAGGCTAAATGCAGCTAGGAGACAAATCAGCAAAACACGCTCTTGAACTCTTTTTCGTAATCCCTGTGTCCCAATCTCTCGGAAGCCCACGCTGATTGAAGAGCGTCACAATTCGGAGTGCAACTTGCTGGACAGTGCCGCTAGAAGCTTTAGAAGTGACTATAACTGCTCAAGCTACAAGGTTCAAGCACGCTGCAGGTTCCATACGCTTTTAGCATCCTCCTTGCAAGGACAATGACGGCGTGCGCGAGAAACTTGCGTTGGCTGTTGGCCCATATAGGAAAGCACATCTTTGTTGCATGTGCGAAATTGAAAAATTTTAGAGAGTGCTGCCGTGTAAGCAAGAGTTGTGTTGTCCGGTCAGCAGTACACCTGGTGTAGTGCTCGGGCAAGGATGTATATTTGGAGGCAGTACGCCCTAGACCCAATGGAAAGTTACTCGCATTCCCATCCAGAGCTGACCCCCCCTGCGTATGCTCAGCTTACAAGGTTTGAACCTAGGGAGAGCCAACTGTCTTACTCTGCTGACAGTTTCAGCATTCGCACTTTGCTGGACATGACAACTTACGGCTCAGGAATACAACGGTCGCCTTTATAGCATGGCGCTAAGCCACCCAAAGAGCGAATCGCGCATTAAGACAACCGAAATAGGTCATTCGGCTGTTTAATTCTGGTCAGTTTGTGATCAAATCCAAGTGATGTTGTATCAGTTGGCGAAAAGTGCAATCTTGACCTGCTCCAACTGCACTTAATTTCGCTCTTTCGGCGTAATATACTATGCCCTACACGGTTTCCATTACCAGCAGTACCGAGTCTCTAATGGTATCCACAATATGCGTTGTATTCAACGAGTTCTCTTCGACTGTGAAGGCTGGATTGCTTATTGTAGTGGGCGATGCTCCACTGACAGGCTTTTGGATACAGCATAAAGAGTAAGTAGACAGTTGGTTAGTTGGCTATTACATTTGTATATCTTGTAACTGCAAAGTACTGTGGTTCAATACGAAAAGACGTTATGTTGTGTGTGGTGTGCCACTAGCTGCGAATGCTCGAAAGTGTTTACTGGGTGCAGCGACGAACACTGGCTGACTCTCTCCCTGCATGTCCGACTTTCTGGTGGCTGTGGGCAGGGGAAGGCGGGAGCCCTTCTGAACACTATATAACTTCGCTTCGAGTTTGCAATCATCTCGGAGTTACCACCCTCTCTTCAGAAACCCTAGATGGGATACTGCTGCTGCTATTTCCACATGGTTCGATGGAGCTATTTCATGCTCATCCACTAGCCCTCGATGGAGTGGTATATATGGCCTCCATACAACACTTGTTGCAAATATCTTGATATAGCGATAAATAAGATGCTTGGTGTGCAAAGGCCACATCATACACAAGCAGCTGCTCTACCAATGGCGCATCAGAAGTCTTCCCAAAGTGTCACGTCAGATGATCCCAGGACAAGCAGCGTCTCTGATGAAACAGTCAACCTCTGGGGCTCCTCACACAGGATGAAGTAATTCAGGCTTTAAAAGTAAACTGGCGCAACTCCCGCGCCTCTGAGTAGATAGGGAATTAGAACATGGATGCTGTTATGTCAATCGGCCATACTGTGCTGTGCAAGGTAGACGATATAAAAAAGCCCGAGGGAACGCGCCCTTCAAAGCAGCAACAGACAGCCCCCTGCAGCGCATCTGCTTCCATTGAATTGTAAAAGAATACTATCCGGAACTGCAAGTGCACAAAAGAGCCAACGATTTCAACCAACAAGACTGGAGCTAGCGGAAGCAAGCTGAACGACAAGCAAATAAGGCGCATAGGGGAAACAAAAATATTACACGCTGTGGCGCAGTGGAAGAGTTACAACGCATCGAGCTGCAATCAGGAACCCCAACTGTGAGTTTTTATGTTTTCAAGGTTCACATCAATGGTCGAGAATGTTCAGTGTTACTTGACACCCGACATGAAGAGGATCTGTTATTCGAGATGGCGGCATAGGAGTGCAATCTGCATGTTTCCTTGTTTCCACAGCTCCTGAGGCTCAGGCTTGATAATAGAAGATAGGATGCAAGTATTCGTAGGACCAGGGCAGCTAACATATTACTTCACATCAGAATCTTGTCTTATCAACAATTTACAAGACCTCTGTGTTGGAGCCAAGAACCATGGCAAATTCCTCGGTATGTCATTGGTTATTCAATGGAAGTAGCATATGCGGCCACAGACGCCCGCTGATGAGATTTTTGTGCGAGAATACGCCTTAAAGAATTAATTATTGGTTCTTTCAACAGCCCTCATTCCATCTTTGATGAGCAGAGTAGCGTCGGTGCCTGAACGAGGTGAGTGGAGCACTGATGCGTATAGCTCTTTATTACAGAATCCTATTGAGGATTTCGCCGTGGAAGCGCAGGACTACGCAAAGTTAAAGAGGCGGTCGCGGATATGCCAAAAAAACGGGTTCCCAGCAGACCAGCGCCCCGTATTGCTGATACGAGGATCAACCCAAGCGGTGCTCCGCAGTATCGAAAGCCCCCAAGGCATGCAATGAAACCAGAGCTGCATGTGAATGACTTGCTATAGGAAAGAAAATTGCGGTAATCGACCAGCGCTTTCAGAACAAAGCGGTGTTGGTGCGGTAACAGGAAGGACCTTGGTACACTGTACTTTAGCTCTAGCCCCTTGGCCAAGATCTCTGTGAAGCAGAAGTTTCCGAGGTCTCATATTCTTTTACGTACACGACAAGCACTGCGCATCAGCAGTCTGATCGGCATTCGACTTGGGGAGGGTCTGTATTTACCCAGATAACAGCCACAAAACGGCGCTTCATATTTTCACTCGCAAATACAAGGATACTTGTACGCCCTTTCGACGTGCTCGTGCTCCAGATGAGCTGTATAGGCAACTTAATCGGAACATTTATGCAATCACCAAGAAGAGAAGGACGGATGTCTATATAAACGACCGACACTACTTTACTGAAACGTGCAGGAGTATCGACAGCACCTATTCTGTGTGCCTCAGCTGTTACGGAACACACAGTGGCATGTGAGGGGGCACAAGTATTCGTTATCGTGAGAGTGGTTTTGTGTTCTGGGGTTCACATTCCGGCTGAAGGCGTTGAGTAAGGATCCTCAATGAATAATCAGGGGGAGGCCAATACTCCCTCACAAAGGTGTTGAGAAACTCTGAGCTCGAAGTCGTGGATTGAGGAGGCCGCAAGAACGCTCATTGGCGGCCTGACTACACGTGCGCGCCGTGAAGCGCAAAGTGTGCACACCCTACCACACAGTTAATCGCGATAATTATGAATCACATACAAAGTAGCCTGGAGAATTCTACCCATTAGTATTTGATCCTTGTGCTTCAAGAAAGAAGCGTACTGGTCCAGCTGTGTTGCTCCAAACGCAGCTGATTGCTAGGCTAAGTATTCAATATATTTCCAGATACTGTAATGCGGTTTTTTGGCTCTTTAGCTTCTTCCTCCAAACGCAGCCTCCGTCAGCTGCGTATCTTTTCTCTTACAGAATGGGTATGCACGATAGACGTGTAAGAATGCTAAGCTGCCTATCAGAGGCTCCTTTTGTGCATCCACATTTCTTATATAGCTTTATTCTTGCCATGGTTTATTGTTACCTGTGTTTCGGCTATGCATTCGCCACCTTGTTTCGGAGGACGGAGCGTATGCGTTGGTCCCTTCGCCCTGTAGCGTTTGAGGGTAAATGGACTGAGCAGTGATTCAAGACATTGAACAGTACGCAGCACAATTGCGAGGTCGGGGAAAAAATGCGAGGAGGGTTACTAGGATGGGCAAGGGCAGTGGCTTTTTGCCTTGCCAGTTGAGCAGTCCGCTGCACGGCCTGTGTTGCACCAATGAGCAAGAAATATACCGTATTTACGAGCCTTACTGTTCCAAGTTGTGACAGAGGTATTCCTAGCGCTAAATGCCATGGTATTTGAATTGAAAGTTTATGGTTAATCCTGCATCCTTGAAAGCTGCAAAGTACACAACGGAATTTTGGATTATCTGCGGGCGAGCTGCGCCAAAGGCAGCACCCTCTGTATTGAGAAAGTGGCAATGAAATCGTGAATTGCTAGAGCTGCTTTGATACTGGACATGCTTCCATTGACTGTATCTGAAGGAAGATAGGAGAAGGCCTTCTGTGTATTCCCGTGCAGTCACGAGCAAGTGGCCAGTAGAAGTTCTCGCCATCCACGGAGCCTGACCCATACAGCACAATACAATGAGTGCAGCTGGTCCCACAATAGTAGTGTGCCCACGCGGTCTTGTCTATGCTTTTATTCAAGGTGAAGTTTCAACATTCTTAACCTAGCAGCCAGGCTGAATCTGCTTCATTCCCTTGATACTGTGGCTTTATTGGTTGCGCGGCAGCTGGAGCCGCAACAACGGCAGCAATAGCGGCAGCCCTCCTTGGCTCTATTCTTGTCCTCCGCTCAACTTCATATATTTATAACAAAGAAATATATATGCGAGTTTCTTGGGGGGCCTCTTCTGGCCTGCCGACAGAAGATCTCGCCTTTCGCTACCACCATGGGCAACACCCCGTCTTCGGTGGCGCAGGGCCCGACTCTCGGGAATGAACTGACCTCTCTGCCTTCCCATCGTCTACATCGACGCCGCGACAACAGCTGTGCATACCTAGTTTCTGGCCCTCCATCACAGGACTTACCAGTACACGACTCTTACGTTCTGGACATGTCGACAGACACGGCACTTTGCTGCGGCTCACCTCCTCAAAATGGCATTGCTGCCTTCATATCAAGGTACACCGCAGCATATAAATATTCATCTTATTTCAGAGTGGCGTTAGCTCAAAAGAGACATGCAAACAGTCCTTTGATCTGAAACCAGCGTTTAGATCCTACTGGCGTATGCGTGTGCTGCAGGGAAGAGGCACTGATGAAGGCGCGATACTACAAAGACAGGAATCCAGAGCTGGCGAAGCAGGCATATTTGTTTGCTCTCAACTTCCAGTCTCCTAAGTTGTTCGGCAAACCACAACGGTTCGACCGTCCAAACACTCCGCCTAGTTGTGGGTGTGCCTTCGTCAGATGCACAATTCCCCAACCCGTCAGTTCTTGCTGGGCCTCGAGCCAGTCTGAGCCACAGCTGGCTGGAGGAGTGAAAGGGAAGGCGGAGACGCTGCGGAAGATGGGGAGTGCGGAGGCCGTGTCTACTGCCATCCCAAGTGGCACAGTTTCTCGCTTGCACACCGATGATCTGGATGAGCTGGTAGTACACAATCCCATGGCTCAAAGGCTGCACTTTGGGGATCTATCATCTAGGCCTACAGGGAAGGAGGAGCTTGGGCAGCTTGAGGACAATGATTTCAAGGCTGAGGTACATGCGGAACTCGCCGAGCTTCATCTCATGTGCGGAGAGCCCCTGGATGCCATTGAGTGCTATAAAAACGCTGCTGCACTTGCGCCGTATCAGCTAGCGTACTCCTACAGAAGAGGAGTCGTATTACAGCAGCTGGGGGAGCGCGAGAGGGCCATCTCTTGCTTCCGCGGAATCTTGGAAAATGACTCAACCTACAAGCCCGCAATCTTCAACTTGGGTGTCTGCCTGGCAGAAGACCCACATACACGCGCGGAAGCCCTGGGGACTTTCGAGCACTTGCTCGCTATTGATCCTAACAATGAGAGCGTCAGTTGTAGAAGCGCTACAATATATCTTTTGTTCCCCTGTCTCGTCGGGTTACTACAACATACATAGCTCTCAACATAGGAAGGCTGGCCTGAAGGGATGATATCCCCAGGACTTCTCAAGTGCAGTCTCTCCTTGTTGTATTGTACACCTCCGTACCACTCTCTCTTACAGGCACTGCACACTTGGCTTCTTCAAAATGCTGCTGCTGATGGTGATTAGTCCAGTTTTTGTTCGTTAAATGCTTTCTTTGATTTAAGGCCTAATTTTGCATGATTATTATTGATTGTAAGGGCTTCCTGTTTGCTCTTTGCATCTATATCACTTTGTTCTACATTGTGCCTCTGCGATGCAGGCCCTGGATATGATTGCTGACATCCACGAGAAGGACGGTCGCATGGCAGAGGCGTTTGCTGTAAAGCAGCGAGTTGTTACTCTTGACCCTTCGAACTTCAGGGCAGCCAGGGACCTGTCCAGACTAGAGTCAACGCTTGCGGATAGGGGAGAAGTGCCTGGATATATCACTCTCAACTGATGTCAGCACTTTATTATCATTGTCATAGGCCTCTAAAGCTGCGCACAAGGATAGGGAAATTCGTACGCTAGTCACTTCTAGTGACACCACCGCGCTGGGTCCTGCTTGTTTGCTGGGTGGTCTCTCTCGTCCCTTCCCTGCTCGTAGACGGGAAGATCCCCTTCAGCAAGCTTAGCACGAGTTTCGGATGTTGTTTTGAATTCGTCTCACCTTGGGAAAGTTGAGCTACAATGTAAATGGAACCACAGCAGATTGACTATGTGTTTTGTGCCAGAATATGCGAATTCAACTTCTGCCTCCGACATTTTTAATATGCACTTGGGGCTTTAAAATAATTTTGTTTGCATTGCAGAGTCGTCGACACGAATCAAACCTCGAGAATCCTTTACCCCTTGAATTCATCCCAGATGCCCTTATGGCATTGACATTGTACATTTCCTAAACACTCCCGATAGTCAACTGTCTCTTTCGCTTTCCGAAGGCAGTATGGCCTAGATGACGGCGTCATCAGTGAGCCAAGCTGTATCAGTATTTTGTGCAATAGCAATTAGTGCACACGGAGCTGATAGGTTGGATTCTTTGTTCTCCAGCTGTTTCTTAGAGGGATGCAAAACGCGCAAGTTCCTTTGTAAGAAGGATGGGTTAGCCAAATGGTAAGAAACGATTCGTTTTTTCTCTCTGGGCCACCACCTTGATTGTAGAATTGTACGGGTGTATCGCAGCCCAATCGTTTAGCGAAAGATGTTTCTGATCAAATTCCTTGTAGAGGGACTAACACGATGCCGTGCTTCCCATCGCTTATTAGAAATATGAATGTGCTGACTGGGAGGGAAATTACTGTGGGTACTCACCGAACTTCATGGCTTTGTGAATAAAGTTCCTGCAGATCAGTACTACTTACATAAAATGTTATATAAAATGGTCTTACCGTCCATCGAAGTTCTCTGTCGGGAAACCGCTAGCTTAAGACTCAGTATAAACTTCATAAAAACTTATTTAGTGCCTTCCATAAGATTTCTACCATTCCCCTCCCCACTCCGTCAACTCTCACACCATAAATGGGGAGGGACAGCTGGGGTGCTCGATGTTTGCACCGTCGCAGAACTTCCGAATGCCCACGGCTAGTTGCGCACAGCGTGTAGTGCACACCCACACAACGTTGCGTCTTCTTGTGTCGAGCCAACGCTACTCTGTGTTAGATAGGATAAGTGGGCAGACACGGAAGCTGGTCAATTATGTTAAACATTTTTTTAAAAGGCAAGTGGTGCACGAGATTGCGTTGAGCCTGGCCCCATACAAGCTGACCGTTGATTCCATCCTAGCGCCATGGGAATGGAGGTTGTGCTGTGTTGCAATGCGGATACATTTGTGCATAGCGAGAAAACCGAACAAAGAAGCAGTACGGCGCTCCTCTGAGAAATTCCTCGAAGACACCCCTTGGCATAAGGCCATAAAACGGCGTGAGGGAGTAATTAGTATATTCTACAGTAAAGATCGACCTTCTTGCCTCCATCACTTGGCTTTCCTGCATTATGGGGCAACAGGTAACTGGGGTGCAGGTTGATGCACCCCATTAGCATTTGTACTCAGTTGCACAAACTAGCTTGGCGCAAACATAGACATACATTTCATTCGTAAATAACCAGGTTAAATAAACTCTGCATAAAGTAAAATGTGCGAAGAGCAAAATCGTAGAGTCGATATTCGGCTGTAGAGAACACTGCCTACGCTTTTCATGGCTTGCTACAGGCAGGGAGATGACACCAATGAATGCTCCAAATGAATACTTTGACGCAATCACGGGCTGCCAGCTTGCTTTTAGGACGGGTATGAGGAGCCTCAGGGACGAAGCAGCCGGATCGGAAGGAATGGGGGACAGTGATCTACCACAATCGTAGAGCCTAATTAGCCTATAAAATCAAGAAAGAAATTATTATGGAAGAAGAGGCATATCTCAAGTAATGCAAACGTGATGCAGAACAACAGCATCAAATGCAGCCGTTGGATTCGTTGTGTACACATGTACTCGTAGCATATGAGGTTCATTCAGGGTCAAGTTAAAATCGCGTGAAGAGCGGGAAATCCCCCCCAAGAAAACATATTCGTAATATCGCTTATTCTCAGCCTTTTGTTATTTTAATTATTTCAATGAATTCTTTTTTGGGCTATTTGAGCGTTTCTTCCTCTGTGCACCTTCTGGGGGGCCGTTCCTTGGAGAGACCAGCTTCCGTTCACTGGATTTATCCTAAACGGTGCCCCTCCAAAAGGACCAAAACAACACATACCACAGGTAAGCGCATACAGTTGTATGCTATTTGCCTGCCAGAGGTTAATGAGCGGGGCCAGCGAGTGTTTCTTACGGTGTTTCGCGAAAGGACTTTCATGGAAGGATAAGCGCCTCGGATCCTAGGGAGATGTAAGACGTTACACGAGGAAGGAGCTCCAAAGCCCCAGCCTACGTCTAGTGCTATTTTACACAAGCTTAGCATCGAGGGAGCCTCCTTGTAAGGAAGAACAGTGTTATCACTCAGCAGCGGAGTCTCTCGTCCATGGGGCACAGACACACTCAGAGGGATTCTGACTATTCCTGATACTAGCGCCGGTATCGTCTCTCTACTGTGCAATACAAATCAGCTTCAGGTGTGCGTATTGTATCCGGCCTTGGAAAGAAACTGGCCCCCGTGCCTCATTTCTCTTCTTTATCTAAATTCAGCGCGCCTGCACCACATCTTCCGTCCCTCTTACAACAGCACGCTGCACAATACGAACTCCACGAGCCACGAAGTGTCATCTCCCCATGCCGCCATAGCGAAGAAGCGCCTACCCGAGGCGATGCCCCCAGGCAGCTGCTTGGGGTTATTCCTGGCTGCCCTGTTGGTTTACTGTTCACATCCCAATGCCACAGCTTCAGCAGCGTGCCTGCTGCTTCCCTCAAAGAGAACTTCCTCTCTTTCTTTCCTGACCTCTTTTTCGCACACATCAGACCGCTGCAGCGGCATCCCTGCATTCCGTTGCAGCACAAGTGGTGCTTCTGCACCGTCATGGTCACGCGGCAGAGCAGGGCACCCTTACAGCCATGCCTGTGGGCCTCCTTTTGCCAGCTGTTTTATATCACCCTCGCAGAAGCTAGAGAAGAGCCTTGGAAGGCACCGGAGGAACTGGAGTGTCTCCCTATTGTCTCCTACGCCATCCGCTTACGCAAGTGCCACATCGGCAACATCCAGTGCTGCAACGTCAGCGAACCCTGCAACAGCGTCAGATGGGCTATGGGATGAATGCAGCAATCCACTTGTTGGTCAAGCCGACCGGTTCGTCCTCTTCGGAGACCTCCACGTCAGTGATGCGACGTTAGACACCTGTCTCGAGGCACTGGCCTTTGTACAGAAAACCTGCAAACGCCATAGCAGTGTCGTGCCCCTCCCCTCTGCAAACAAAGTGCATCGAGAAGCTGCAAAGCGTCGCTGCAAGGAAGCGACCACGAAAATCCCATCTTCAAGGGGAAAGGCTCAACTGACGGCCAGCAGCACGCCGGCAGTCGCAGTTTTCCTAGGCGACTTTTGGCACTCCCGGGTAGAGCGGCACCTCCACTGGGGCGTTCTGAGGCCTGTCCTCGAATTTTGGAGACAATGGGATATCCCCGTGAGCTCACTCACATCCACCCTTTGGTGGCGATTTGTGCGCTTGACCTTTGCCTAAGTTCTTGGAAGTTGAATGAAGCCCGCATTTTTCGTGCTTTTTTGCGAGGCGTCTCTCGTTCGCACGCACTAAAAACAAGTAGAGCGGTGCCAGAAGTCACGTTATGCAGCAGTGTAGGCATATATAGCTATGACGTGCGCGTGTCATGCACCCTGGACAGACGCTGCTCCTGCCAGGAAATCACGACCAACTGCACTACGAGGAGGGGCGTGATCTGTTGCAACCCTTGGAGATAGCCGTTTCCCAGAGCCCTATGATACTGGCATTCCGAAGGCCCACCCTCATCAACAAGGAGCTTCTCTTCCTGCCGCATATCCGTGGTGCCTCGAAGCTACAGCAGATCATGGCTCACGCCAAACAGGTAACGGATGAGCGACATGCTAAGGGCTAGGTTCTTTGGCCTCTGCTACATCCTTCCTTTACGTGATCGCGTATAGCCACTAACGTGCTGCTGTAGCGGCTTCACCACGACAACTCCTTGTCTTTTCTTCTACGCTTTAGCTTGCGATAGTGAAGCTGGAGCGGCTGCTCTCGGCAAGGTGCAAGCATTCTTCCAGCAGCATCTGTCTTGTTGAATGAGGTGTGGGGTCCGTAGAGGGTGTACGGTTATGTGGTTCCGTGGGCTCTTGGAACTCTGCGTGTATGATTGTGTGTGTGTATGTGTATGCGTGTGTGTGTTTATGATTGTGTGTGTTTGTGATTGTGTGTGTATGGGTGTGTGTTTATGATTGTGTATGTGTGTGTGTTTATGATTGTGTATGTGTGTGTGTTTATGATTGTGTGTGTCTGTGGTTGTGTGTGTGTATGTATGTGTGTTGTTGGCTGTCAGTGCCAAACTCTGCGCGCCATGTTTGGCCACTTGAGTATCCGGGGAGCTACGGTAAACCCTTACTCCGAAGAGGCAGGTGCCCTGATGAACGAGGGGATAGACCTTGAGCAGCTACCTAATGTGCCTCTGTACTCTGGTCATATTCACACGGCGCAGCTGCTCGGGAAACAGGCACGATACGTGGGTTCGCTCTACCAGGTACGTCGCAGTAAAGGGGAGGTTATGACCTGGACAAAGAGAAGAACACAACTGTTGCGGCTTTGTTGGTGGTTGCTTCACACTGTCGTAGCTGCTGTGATGCTCATGCAGACATCGCTGTCGGAGGCATACCAGCGAAAGTGCATCCACACCATTTCAAGATCCGCAAACTTCGAGGTTGTGGAGATCGAGGAATCTCTAGTCGGTCCGCGGCACTTCCCAGTCAAGGACCCAATGCTCCTTCCCCCGCCACATGCGCTCCGCAGGGGGGACAGAGTGGTGTTACTGCCCAAGACCACCTCAACAGCAGCGCCTTTGCCGTCCTCAGCTGAGGCTAGGGAAAGTGTGGTGCCTCCTGCCCTTGGTGGCTATTTAGCAGACCACTGTACTGCAACAGCACAGGCAGAATTGCATCGCGACTCGGTTCCTGTTGCGAGGCATTCACAGGCGTCAGCGCCTGAAATGTTTGCTCGCCCTAAGAGCCTCAACTCGAGCAACTGCATTGAGTCCAGCCTGCGCCCCGAGTCAAGTTGGATTGCGGGGACCACGTTCGAAAAACACCTCCTTGGTCGAAGCAACGAATTAGATGCAAAACAACTCTTGCGACTCTCAGAGGCCTACAGGCACGCCGGTAAGATTCGCTCTACCAGATCAATGCCCACCACAAACAAGCGTGAGCAAGCCGGAGAGGGCGGGCATATAAAACACCAGACTCCCACGGCTCTCAAAAATGCATGTGATATGGGGTATGACCTCACTTTGCCTCGCACCTCAGGTATCATCTTTGACTGCCGCGTGACTCCGACTGCCTCTTCCTGCGTAGTCTCCCGGCCGGAGGAGTCTCTTGAAGAAAGGGACGGTCGGAAGGACACAGCGCCGCTTGCCGCAGACAAAGCCAGTCCAACAACGGAGGCAGCTCTGGATGCATGCACTTCGTCTATGCCCCTCTCGAGGGCCTCTGAAGCGCCAGATCAACCTGTGCCAGCCTCTGTTGCGAATGCCTCCTTTCTTCCACCCAAAATCCATGCAAAGTCCTCTTTTGAGCTGCTCATGCACCACGGGCTCCTACCCGTAGAAAGTTATCCTCCTCTGGAGGCACTGCGCTTCTTCTGCTCCCAAGCCCCCAAGGATATTTCCCCAGCCATCAGCCAACAAATCCGTAGGATGGATATCGCATTTCTTTCTATAACACACCGTTGGCTTCCATTCGCCCCCTATGGCGATAGGGCAAAGGACCCAACACCAGGAACTACCCACACGATAAAACTGAGATCCGCTGGAAGAGGAGCGGACTGCTGCCCAGGTTAAATGCAGCCTGCAAAGGCAAGCCATTATCACCTGCGATGCACTTTCTGTTTGCTGCGCTTTTGTTCTGGGAATGCTGCAGTGGCAGCCGCCGAGAACTTGCTGCAGGAGCAGCTGGACGGCATTGGCGCGAACGCTGCTGATGGGTCTCACAAGACTTCAGCACCTCCCGCAGCTTTCAGCGTAGGGTGGCCATACGCGGGTGCAAACCTGGTGCTACATCATGCGCGCATCGAGTCCTATGGGCTCTACAGGTGTGAATGAGAGGTTACGAGGCATTAGTTGGTGCTTACGATATTGGTATATACATCGGACGCTTAGCTGATTATTTCATGGGAATGGCCTTTCCGTTGCACGGCGAGGCTTCCCGCTCCAGCACGTCTACTGACTGGCACTCTCAGATTGAGGCCGTTGGGTTCGGAGCTTTACCATTCAGGATTGCCCGTGCATGGCACTTGCAGTTTGGACGGTTTTCGTGCAGCAACGAAGTTCGTTTTGAACTGAAAAGACGCGGGTTGGTGCTTCTTGAGGGGAAGAAGAAGGATTCGACACGCGGCAAAAGACCAGGCGAATTGTTCACAACGAACGGCGCCGGTCGGCTTCTTCAGCAGGCTGTTTGCCACTGTAGCTATTTCGAAGCACTCTCTCTGCAAACAAGTCTTTGTTGAACGGGCAGGCATTGGGCAGATCTCTGGCGAAAGCTGGTCTCTGGAGTGTGTGTGTGTGTGTACATCTGGCACGTCCTATCCATAGTTAGCCTGTATGACATGCAAAGGTGGTATAAATCCCCAGCTCGACAATGTCTCTGAAGTTGGTCCCTTTCAAAGGAATGTGTGCTTATGATTCCAGCACAGCGGCTTTAAATCGAGGCCCCGAGTACCGCAAGCCTGCACGCGAATAAGGGCTGTGTTTGTATACGTCCAGGCAAAACGACAATAATGCAGGCAGTCGTTTGGGCGCTTGCTGGCGATGGCGCAGCGGGAGGCTTCACACCAATTGCAGGGCGAACCAAGGTGACCTGAAGGTCGTGTGGAATTTCGAGCAGAAAGGCTCGGACTTTCTTTTGCTTCAAGAGAACGATTGCGCTGCCTCCCCCTGGGCAGCCGCCTCCAAGTGTGATTCTGTATATGTACGCATTCGGCTGCTCAGGTGACCGGTGTCGTGTGCGATGACGTCCCTACTACCCCCAGTCCAAGCGATGCGGCTTCAGAGTCTCTTTCGCAAGAGGAAGCTGCCGAGGAGCCAGCGCCTAGCCACAAAACTGAAGAGCGATTTGCATCTGTCGAGATAGAGGGTCAGTCTTCAAGCTGGTCAGGGACTAGATCACCGGGAGTTCTTGTTGTGTGGGTTTATCAAGGCTGTTACCAAGCCATAAGAACAGATTCAGGTGCTTGCTGCGAAAAGTTCTGTTTTGCTGCTGCCAATAACAAACAAGTCCCGATGTATTCTTCATATTGCCTTCGCCTTCCTGATAACATCTTCATGCGGATTGATCCTTTCAGGTGACTTAAATGGGGAGTCCTTTATACTGAGACGAAAACGGTGGCGCTCGGGGCGCTCCGAGCTGTCTCTGCGTATCGGTGGCAGAGACGCAACTGGCCAAAGTGTTGTAGACACGCAGCGCGAGGTAAGCCTCTGCAGCTTCAGTGCCGCCAGAGAGCCCTTAGCAGTAGGTGCAAGAACAGCGAAAAATTGGTTCTTACGCAGATGCTCCGAAGGTCCCGGCTCTGAATGCGAATGCAGCTGGAGGCCCTCTTCGGGGGCAGGCTAAAGGCTTGGAGTCAATTTCTCTACCTCGCGTCACAAGGCGCTGATGGACTTCTGCGCACCTCAGAAGCCACGTTCTCGGTGGGTTTGGCGTTGCCCTTGCACGTTCTGTCTCATGCGTTAAGGCTTCTCTGACACCCTTAGCATCTATACTGTGCCCTCCAAACTCTAGAAGGCGTCCTGTGGGCCGGCATAGAACCTGTGGGAGCAACAAGGATTGAAGCATACCTGGCTGGTGTGAAGAGTAGGCTTCCACTGAGTTTTGCGGATGCAGGGCTGACGCCTTGCACATAACTTGTCACGCTGAATGTAGTGCGATGCAGACCCTTTTAGCGAGCTGTGTGACTTGGTCTCTCCAGATGCTAATGACACTGCTTGTGCCGCTCGATATTTGGACGCGAGCGACAGCTGCCGCGCGTTTGAAGCAGAGGGCCCTCTGCAAGGCAGCTGAGGCACTGGATCTTGTGGCTGCAGTCAGGTAAGCAACTGTCGTCCCTTAAGATGAACCCTGAGAGATAATACATACAAACGCACTGTGATGCCCCCTGTCTCTTTGCTTGGTTTGCTCAGAGAAAGAGATCTGCAGCGGCTAGTGCGCAAAAACTTGCATGGGTTGCCAGCTTTTCCAGGGAAATCAGCAGCACTTACGAATGCGTGTCTATCTGAGGTCCCAGCTGGCGACTGCAGTGAGAAGACCTTCCCTGCTCCCCCAAATGACATCGATGAGGTTTCAGATGCCGCCAGTTCTCAATGGCTTGAGAAGACATCATACGGGGACTCCACAGAGACACAATTTAGGGAGGCGCGGAGGCTGCAGAGGCTAATCACGCTCTTGCGCTCGCGATCAGCCTTTTACAGGTATGTACCGGGCATTTAGGGCCCCCCAAATCGAATACGCTAGTAGTGTCTTGCAGTGAACGCAACTATTTGGTTCAACTATTTCCGACTTCGAGCGTGGTATCTATCAGGTCTCAACAAGCCACATTGGAAGCGGCCGAAGAGCTTTTGGGGCCTCAAGGAATTCAGCGACATCTACTTGCGTGAGCTGCCCGTGGCTCCAGGACCTATGCGTATACGTTCAGCGAGCAGAAAGTCACGCATTGAATGCTTCTGAGGATGCGCGAATGCGAGAGCAACCCTCCTAAGCTGCCAAAGCCTAACCGCGTCCCCCCACAAAAAGCACCAGGCCGGTCCTCGCTAGGGTTGCCTGCTTCAGATGCAAGTGCAGTCCCACCCGCTCGCTTGCTCCAGTTTGTTTAAAAAGACGCAATTATCAAGAGACTGTGAGAGCTTTGATTATGCGCAGGGCCGCGCTACGCCAGCTTGAGGAACAGACAAACATCTACCTGGAAGAGGCCAGCGGCGGACTCCTACGGCTCGATTTTGCGGCATCCAAAACGGCTCGCCTATCGAAGGTACTCAGTATACGCGGATCTGACGGCGCCTTCAGGCAAGCAAGCACGGTATTGCCACTGAGGTGCCGGTGCCCACTTAAGTCACAAAAATCCCAGCGTCTGGCTGCGCACCAAACGCTGAAAGACTTGCGTTCTGCGGCTCAGAGAAAGGACCATCCAGCAAGCCTCTAGTGGGCAACGCCAGCTACTTGGGTTGTGCCTATTCCTAGCGTTTGTTGTTACAATCAAGCGACGCTCTGGCCTGCGTTGTAATGTTTTGCTTCTCGACGAGCCGTTCTTGTCTCTCGACCCAATAAACACGTAGGCTCTCATCTTTCGCACCTCAAGGACGCCGGTCTGTGTACGCATTGGTGCAAGCACGGGGCATGTGCTTAAATCGTAGAACGATTACGATCGTGCGTACACCCTTAATGTGATGCGCTTTACACCTTGCCTGATGTGGGCGCCGCAGGCAGCGCATGCTGAAGCTGCTTAGAAGCCTTGTTAATGAGCCAAGGAGCTCCCAGCTAGCCGAGTTTGAGAGTTTATTTCTCGCTCAACACGTAAGCTGATGGACCCCCGAGCCGACGCACTATATACTGTTTGGTAGCTGATGAAGTGGGCTTTCCCACGCATGTCTACATAGGACCCAACAAATGCAAGGCTCTTCAAAAGCCACCATGGTAGTGCCGTTGCCGTTGGATCGCAGGCGTACAGCCTAAGCTAGAAAATCTCTTCCTTCCTTAATGGTGTGAAGTGTCAAAAATGGGCATGTGCTGCGTATAGGGTCTGCCCCTCTACAAGAATCGGCACGTTCTCGATGCTGTAGATACTATCGGCATCCGGGGCAGATCTAAACACCGTGCTATTAGCACTTCAGTCTTTCTGAAGCGCCCGACAACTCAGTAGAGTTAGACGCAAACTATCGCCATGTATTGCATCCCACAAGTAGACAAGCTGACCTTGTCAGTGGCTGGAATCCTCTACAGACCCCCGCTACCCACCCATTCAACGCTGCGCACTGCTGCGCATCGGGGAAGCGAAGCAGCCAATACCTTTTGCTCGTGCTAGTAACCCAAAGGCCGTTTTAAGCTTCACGGCAAAGTGGTTGTAGCGTCAGAGCCAGCGATCGTTTGTAAAAACATTCCGCGAATTTCTGCTGCTTCCTCAGCCACTAGCAGCAAATGTAGAGTCGACTCGCCACTGATATCGCTTCCTGAAACGCAAGTAAAATACTTCACGGATGCACAGAGAAATTAGCTAGCTATTGCAACGGCTTAAACGAAAGGCATGCGGGCATCAACATCAATCTATCGCTCTACGCGGACGGACTACTCGTCCCTCGCCTTTGACTCCTGGAACGTCCTCGAGGCCACAATGAGCGTTTCGTGAACTACATCTGCAGGCAACCTTCAGCCTCCAAAGCCAGTACCGTGTGTTGGGCTGGCTTTGGGGTAGCTTTCTCTACGGCTCTAAAAAACCCCCCGAAATACTGCAAGGCACGACGCACCATGCGGCTGGCCTATGTATGCTGCTGGTGTCTCGGCCGCGCCAACCACCGAGATCGCTACCCATGCGCCTGGGCGCTGAGAAAGCAGCCAAGTGCTGAATTACACCCACGCAACACGAGTAACACTTGTCTTCGCGCAAACAATGCAGATGGAACGGCCTCGTCATGAGCAGTACAGCCATCCAATCCAAGCTACAACTGTGAAAAAGGGGGCCAGTGTGCTGCTGCGTTTCGATTCGCTGCAGCTCCTCACCACAAGGGCTCGGCGGCAGACATCACAGCTGTCGAGTGAAGAAGACCGCCACATATACTTGCCACGTGAATCTGAAAGGCACCCACACCGACCGTCCCGAGAGAAAAAGACCCCAATTAGTGTCGCTTGCTTGTCTTGAACGAACCCCATCCCGTATAACGAACTGCTCCCATGAGGCTACCCAACACGCAGCTCGTGGTTCCATTTTCTTCAAGCAAACCGAACGTAAGTCGCGTAAATGAGGCTCCCGAAGAATATAATCTGTTTCGCTCACTTCTTGAGGATCCGTCAGTCGATTGGCCTCCCGCAGCCATGCGCATTCCTCCTGCGAGGCGCAAAAGAACGACTCCTGTGGACCTCAGCCGATACAGTCATACGCCACTCTCATGTGCGCCATGTATGTCTACATGCCCTCTCCGTCACTAGCGCCGAACTACAAGATGCGCGGAGCAGCCGGGAACCCTCAAGGGGTCCCTCTCACTCCCCTCCCCTCCCCTCCCCTTCCCACGCCTCCTGCACTAAAACGATGCATCCCGGTAGAATAACCCTAAACCGTCCACACGCACCGCCAGGCGAACGCCTCTATTGAGCCTTACCACGCTCGCTGGCAGATCCATTGCAACACATCCTAGATACTCGGAAACAGCGGAAACCAAGGCCTCTGCAGGCGGCAACTCCCTGAAGGGAGGAGGAGCCGCTAGTTGCAAGGCTTCCTCAGTGAGATCTTCATGCTCTAAGGCAGCCGGTGTCGCCTTATCCCGTTGCTGCATCTTTCGCGCCCGCCCCTGCCTTTGTCTTTCATGCAGCAGTTGAAGCGCTCGAAGGTAATCTGAGCGAAGCGGCGGCATTTGACGAGAGGCACCGAGGGAACCCCCCGATTCGCTGCTGCTGCTTCGCCTTGAGCTCACGCTGGCGCTATCGGCTTTTGCTGCCCTTTGGCTAGCCCGCAAGGACCTGGCTCTGCACTCTGCTCTTCTGTGCATTCTTTTTCGGACCACGATTTTTGCTACACCTTCTTCGCTTTGGTGCGGTGCAGGGGGTTTTGAGGTCGCAGCAGCAGCAGCAGCAGCAAACAACTCCCCCCAGTCCGGCAGTAGGAGGCGGCGCGGCATGTGAGACACGGGAAGGTCAGGAGTCAATAGGAACTCCTCCTCCCGTCCTGCTGTCTCTGCAGCAGCAGCAGCAGCAGTAGCCGCCGCTTCGGCAGCAGCCTCAGCCGCCTCCTGAGTCATAGTCGTAACGCCTCCACGGTACGCCGACAAGCGGCACTGCAGGTGAACGAGGTGACACGTCGCATTGAGGCTTCCTCCTTCCCGGAGAAGCGTCTGCACTTGCTGCGCAATCTTACGCCGAGCCTCCAAGTTTCCCGCCTCACTTTGGGGAGCTGCTGCACACGCACCATTATCGCGGACTGCCGCAACTTTCCTAGGGCCTAAGGCAAAGCTCGACGAAACGAGCTCGGGAGGCGCACGTACAGTGGAGGCAGTGCTAAGGGCACAAAACGAGAGCTGGCTGGTATTGGGTAGCGGCGGAAGGCGCGTGGCAGTCATGTCTGAAAGGGAATATCCCGCTGCCAGCATGCTTCGGCTTACGAGCTGCGGCGATAAGCAGGTCCAGAGGCTGAAGCGATCCCAGGCTGCGTTGCAGCTGCTCGTACAAGCGCGACGGCGGGAGGCAGCAAGGGGTGCGACTACTTATTGTCCACGGAAGCTGCTGAGACTCACGGCTTAAGGTGCGCTGTCTTGGTGGCCTCTGATGGCGAAGAACAGCAGGCTGCTGCACGTCCACCTTGAGGTAACGAGCCCCCGGGGGCAGCGCTGCGAGGACCACCATCGAAATTGGGAAGCATTATGCGAAGCCGCGTGCAGCCGCAAGCTTCCCGCGGCACAGCGTAGCACAGCCTCCTCCGGGCATGGGAGGCTACACTGCGGAGGAGCAGCAGCAGCAGAGGAAGGCCCTCAAGAAAGCGGCACGGCTCAAAGCCTTACCTTTCCGCGTGAAGTGGGGAGGCCGCATCCACGTGTCGAGCTCGAGCACCTGCGCGGTGAAGCGGTCCAGCTAAAAACCCACAGTGCCGCAAACACCAAGAGAGGCGAGAATTAGAGGCACCTGAAAAGGATCTGAAAGGGCGCCTCCACACCCTGCCGATCAAAACGCGTCCACTCCCCCTCAAAGGCTCGCAAAGGCAGCTCGAAAGGCGTGGGTGCCGTAGCACAGGATACACGGATGCCGCACACCTGCTCCCGATGAGGGAGGAGGCCACCAGCAGAGGCAAGTGACGGCAAACCCTAGGAAAAACGAGGGGTCTCCATCCGCGCTGTCTACCTCCCGCAAGGGCATAGAAGGACACGATAAAAGACACACACAAATCGCACTCGGTGAAGCAGAGGCTGTGTGGCGGAAGCGCACAAGGGCTCTGGCCCCTCCTCAAAAAACAGTTACTACGGCCCGAGAGACGTAGAGCTTTGCGTGAGTACCCGTGTACATGCGTTTGTGTGTATATGTATGTGTATGTGTGTCTCCATATCTGAGTGTAGGTGTGTTCAAAGATGCATGTGTGTGCGTGTGTAAATGCGTGTTTTCTTACAGGTGTGCATGTGTATGCAGGCATGTGTTTGTAAACATGTATGTATATATATATATATACTCATGCACGTTCATATGCATAATTTAGGGTATTGTAAGAGACTCCATACCTTGAGAATCATCACCCCATCATTCTGCAAGGCTACCGAATTCCCATCGCCTCCGCTATCTCCCATCACCGGACAGACACTGTGAGGTTTGTCTGCCAGCGATAACCCGGATGGTGGTACTGTTGCTCCCCCAGCGCATGGTGCTGAGCCGCCAGGGCCCCTCCAAGAGAGAGCAGAACCCTGCAGCTGCTTGAGCAACAGCTGCTGCAGTGGCAGATGAAGGAAGGCGTCGAGACGAACGCTTCTTAGGCAAAGAGAGCAGTTGTTCTTTGCCACCTGCAGAAAGCTACACAGGGGTCTCAAAGCCTGCACCTCCAGCCGTCACCCCCAGCTGTGCTTAGGTACTCTGCGGCTAAAATTACTCAGCACAGAAAGATTTATGTGCTGCCTTACAATAGAAATGATCTCTTCCAACGCCGAAGATGCAGCTTTATTAGGAGGGTCTTTAGAGCCATCCGAAGCCACAACGAACACCTGCACGCACGCGAAAGGCACAAAATACCCGTTTTGCAGTTTTAAAAACGTTTTAGGACCACACAGCTCGCTAATGTGTGTTTGTTTCTGCAAGCCTTGTGTGTGCTGTGTTTTGTGTGTGCTGTATTTTATGTGTCGATGCAAATTTGGGGGAAAAACCAGCTTTAGAAGCCGTGTTCTCAAGCTATGTGCTACGGCCTGCACCCTAGGGGCCCTCGCTGGCTGCTTGCCGCCTGTGTGTCACGAACGAATGCGACTTGGTGCGGAAAGAGTCTTTTTAGGGGGCATTTCCATCAGCCTTCGCTGCTTCTAATCGCTGGTGGGGTCACTCCTGTGGGACGTACTTGCTGGTTAAAGGGATGCCGACTTAGTGCGTGTGCGAAGAGACGCAAGAGGGGGCCTTTGTCTCCTACGCGCAGGCAGAAGCGCGCCTTGGGAAACGGCGCGGAAGGGGGAGGGCCCGTGCCGTGACTTCTAAACAGCATTGGCTCGTAAATGTCTGTTCCTGTGAAGGGAGGCGGATGCAAAATGCGTCCTAGGGAGAGGCCTGCAAAAAAGGGCGAGGCGGTAAGCCGTGCTGTGCTTCATCGAGGCCTCATGCCTGGCGAGGCCGTTATTTGACGTTTGCAAGTAGCGGAGGCAGATGTGCAGAGTGCCGAAGAGGGAGAGCACGGAATCGATCTTCCGGTACGGGTCGACGAGCGCGCAGAGGTGGAGGAGCATTCAAAATGCTTAGCTTTAGAAATGCAAAGGAGAGGAAAGGCGTCAAAACAGAGAAGGAAGCGGCAGAATCGACAGGGGCCTGCCTGTGCGCTGAATTCGAGTAATGCCGTTCCGGGAGCGCAGAAGGTCGGCAACAGGAGGACTTCTTTGCGTTCGGAAATAAAGCAGAAATCGTCTGTCAGCCTAGCTTAGTGAAATTCTCAAAAAAAAGGCGCCGTGCCTCCCCGCGAACGGGGAGCGAGCGGGGGGGCCCCCCGCCACCTCCGAGTTTAGGGGGCCCCCGTCCCCAGGAAGAGGCCCTGACCGGGAAGCCGCTCACACTGCTGGAATATGAGCCATAGTTCCTGAAGACTAAGACGCAATGGTGTAACGGGCGGAAAAAGGCATCTGATGGTGACGAGAACCTCTCCTGTACTTGCGCTGCCGCACATGCAGCGCACGCGGGGACAAGGCGAGCTGCGCGGGTTGCTAGCTTTCTCGGAAAGAGACCCTCTTTCGGGTAGCCAAGAATCATTCGGGGTAGCCGCTGTTCACTGGTGTCGGACTCGCCAATAAGCTTCTTTGCGGGCAGGCTTGACGAAGTGTCGCCCCCATCAGAGGCCCTCACAGACCTTTTCCCAGGAACCATTCTAGCCCTCCAAGAGGCCAAGGTAGAGCGCCTTGCTCATACGTTTGAGCGCCCTTTGAGCAAGAAAGGGGGCTTGCTGCCACGGACTGCAGACGCGCAGGAGTTTCTTCTTTTGCGCATACACGGCCCTTGTTGGTGGTGGCATGCATCCTCCCGTGGAAGGCTTGGGAGTTGGCGACAACACGAGAGGAGTAGACGGCTCTGTTCTTGCATGAGTGTATGTATGTGTATGTGTATGTGTGTGTATGTGTATGTGTACATGTGTGTATGTGTATGTGTACATGTGTGTATGTGTATGTATGTATGTGTGTATGCGTATGTATGTGTGTGTATGTGTATGTGTGTGTCAGCGTAATTTGTAAGTAAGCTATGCACTATCCAGGCTCCCACGAGGGGCGGCCCTGATGCAGGATTGTGTGGTTCGGGTTTTTGCGGCGGTAAGAGACTCCTCCTGCACGTGCCGGCTCTTTGCTGAGGGGCCTTATTAGACGAAATGCTGGCAGGATGGTGGTGTACGTACAGCCCGTTGCCCCACTTCCCATGCCTGCTGGCGGCCGCGTCTTTTTTTTCCCACGCTCGACGTGCCGAGGGTTCCTCAGTGGCGTTCGCGATGTTCACCACAGCTCTCACACCAGCCCCAGTCATTCGGTTAGCGTCAGCAGGAGTAAAGTGCATGATGGCACAAGTATCGGCAGCAGCATGCATAAGGCTTCGACGTGTGGAAGATTTCACGGATCCCATGGAACCAGGAGGCCCCGTACTGCGCGTTCTACGCTGGCCGTTCTTGGCAGAGGCAGCGCTGTGGCAGCTACTGCTGTTGCCGTCGTGAGTGTAGCTGGATGGGCTGTGCAGCAGATGTTTCCGGAGCGATCTCGAACATGGCCTGTGCTGCGCTGTGCGAATGCGGCTGCTGCGCTTGCTGCCCTGAGCGTAGACTACAAATTGTTGGGTAAGGCGTTGCACGGTTGCTGCGAAAAGCGGGGGGAGGCTGAAACAGAAAAAATGAAGGCGCGTCTTTTGAGGCTTTCTGGCTCGAATTTAGCTGACAGTGCGAAAAGGGAGGGAGGCTGAAACAGAAAAAATAAAGGCGCGTCTTTTGGGGCTTTCTAGCTCGAATTTAGCTGAAGATCGTGTTCCTTTTTCTGTTCCGGCGTTGCCTCTCCATGTGCATCTCCTGTGCGGCTTTGGAGTAGAAAGAAAGCCCCTCACGGTAGCTTCGGTGCTGCCGTCTCTCGCTTTCCCTAGGTGCCTTGCTTGGCTAGCTAGCTAGCTGCTTGCCTTTGTTGAGTATTATGCTGGGGTCTTCTCCTTTTGGTGACTGTTATCTGATGGTGACGTGTTCGGATGCTGCATGCGTTTTCAGGATGGTGGGACATGCGTGCCTGCCACAGGAGGAGTGCGCGTCGCCTCGTGAAGCTGGCGGAAAGAAACCGTGGAGTGTACGTGAAGCTGGGTCAGCATGCAAGTGCCATGGAATATCTGCTGCCGGTGGAGTACACCCAGCAGTTGCAGCAGCTGCAGCGCAACATGCCTCCTTCCTCTATGGCGCAAGTTGAGGAAGTCCTCAAACAGGAGCTCAAGCTCGACCGGCTGGATGCGGTATTTCAAGAATTCGAAGAGGCTCCTGTGGGTGCCGGTAGGCTTGCCCATATAGCTGGACTTGCGACACACACACACACACACATGTGTATCCCCTTGGTTCTTCTTGCCTTCAAAAAGCGTGCTAATAGGGTCTCTTCTTCCGCAGCGTCTTTCCCTGCAAAGATGCCGCCCTTTGTGCTGCCTCTCCCTCGGTTGGCAATCCCATGTGTGAGGTGCTGGCTGCTGCTGCTGCTGCTCTGTTTTGAGAGTCCATGTGCTGCTCGAGTGGGTTCACGGAACTGTCTCTTCGTGCGGGATGAGGGCTTACGCCGTGCGGCAGAAGCCTTGCGGTCCGCTTGCGTGGAAGGGAGTCTTCTCAGTGCGTGCTACAGAGCAGCCTTGCCCGGGGAAGAAGCACATGGATCACACTGCAACTGCATGCATTGTGTTTCCTGCGTGTGGACAGCCTCACTAGCTCAGGTACACTACGCAGTGCTGACAAACGGCGAGCCCGTTGCTGTCAAAGTGCAACACGCGGATGTGCGGGCGCTCGCCGAGGCAGACACCCGAGTTGTAGAGATCCTCACAAAGGTGGCGTCCAGGATCTTTCCAGAAGTCAGGTGATATGCTGCAGGCGCATGCAAGCCGCGATGACTTCTTACATCGCGCGTAGCAGTGGTGTGACTGCTGTTGGTGTTAGATTCACTGCGCCTGCGAGCAGATGGGACCGAGGACAGGACATATGCACACATACACATATACATACATACATATACACATATACATACATACATACATACATAGATACATAGACACATACATACATACATACATACATCCATACATACATACAGAGAGAGACAGGGGTGTAGGGAGAGACAGGAGGGCACTGAAAAAACACGAAGAGGAGGAGCAATTAGACTTGGTTTGAGATGTTAATGTTTTTTGGTCCAGGGTTGCACGTGGGGTTCTTTACATACATGGGGGGTGAAGACAGGAGGTCCAGTGTATACGACACGCATATGCGTATACCAAAGCATCACGCAGGGTGACAGGCAGTGAATATATTTCTTGATCGCCTTAGCTTTCGCGCAGCCTTGTGGGAAGCGTTTGGCTATTGCGAGGGGGTCCATTGAGTATACCGTCCTGTTGGCTTCTCCGGTGTTTCATCCCGTTTACGAATTTTTTCCCTCAGAGGGCCAGTGGCGAGCAGAGGCACGCAGCTGCAAGTCTGACGCGCCTTTCTGCATGCGTGCAGGTTCGAGTGGCTTGTCGAGTTGCTTCGGGAAAACCTTCCGGCTGAGCTGGATTTTAGGAAGGAGGCGGCAAATGCTCGGAGGTGCCGCCTGCTATTGCAGGAAGGTTCTTCTACCTTTGAATTCTCGCTGCCCCGAGCATCAGTGGTCCGCTCAGTGCTCACCCAACTTGCAGCTTGGGCAGTATCTCGTCTGTGGCTTTTGGATCCGCAAAAGGATGCCTCCAAGGAGAAGACTGGAAAAGTGCCGCCGAAGGGTAAAGGCTCTACCCGAGCGGTGTTATTCTCTTCTCCAGACGCTGAGTCGCACGCAACGGCATCACTGCAAAGCCACCAGAGGCCCCTTTCACCCACCGCCGAAACGCAGCATCCGGAAGGCGCTACCCCACAAGCTCCCGTCTCGCATTACGAGGTGGAGTTGTACGTTCCCCGCGTCTACAACAACTTGACAACCTCCAGAGTACTGGTGATGGAGCGCTGCGAAGGGGTCCCTGTAGACGACCTCCGAGGTCTTGTGGCGCAAGGTACGGGGAAAGTTGCAGCAACGCGGGGATGGTGGTGATCTTGCCTCTCTTGAGCGCACAAAACCTCTCGGAAAAAAGCATTCGAGGTATGTGACGGGGTGCTGCCCGCCCCCTGCCTTGTTGCGTTTGCAGGAATACATCCACTGGCAGTCTCGGCTGCCTTGTCTGAGCTCTACGGTCGATTGATCTTCGACCTTGGATTTGTGCATGCTGACCCGCATCCTGGGAACGTCATTGTGCATCTTGAAGGGTGCCCCCTTCAGAACAAGGACGCTGAACAACAGCGGCGATCACTGCGGCTTTTGCTGCCCTCCCTCACCAGGGGGGGGGCATCAGCTTTCTCGCAAAATATAAACTCGAGGCCAGCGGAGACTAGGAAGCGTCTGCGTCTAAGCCTGCTGGACCACGGCTTGTACTGCTCGCTCACACACCCCTTCAGGCGCACCTACGCCCGCTTATGGCTGGCCATGCAGCGGGGAGACATTGGAGCCGTGACAGCTTGCGCCAATGAGTTTGGCGTTAGCAAACTGGCGGGCTTGCTGGCCGTTATTCTCAGCTTAAGGAGCGAGGAGAGGTGCGCATTTTTAACTCCTCGTCAGAAGGACCCCGATTTGCCAGACTGCCTTGCCGAAAACACCCTGTATTCTGTGGTGTGCATTTATTCTGCAGTATCAATTCAGGCCTGCAGCTTTCGCGGAAGTCACCCGAGTAAGGTTCTTTTCCCTGTTCCTGGCACTCTCTCAGCAACAAGTCTCTGTCGATTTCGACCTCAAACTTTTACACGAGCGCCTCCGCTGTGCACGTCCAATATGAGCAGAGAAGCTGAACTGTTGCGGAGATCCTTTTCCGCATATTTTTCCCGCATCACGAACGTCCTGCAAGAGGTTCCACACGAGCTTATTCTCCTCATCAAGACCAATGACCTGGTCAGCCTTGCTGCATCTCCTTGTTCACGATAGGCCAACACGTACACCTGTACTTAGTCGTGTTAGATATCCCAGGCTATTTGCATTATATACACAAGTATTTATGTATTCATCCACGGCAGCACCGAAACCAGCGGCTCCTGATGGGTTTGCTGCAGCTGAGGGCCATACAAGTGCGACTAGGCATCGACGAGGCGCTCGTCCTTGTGCCGTTATTGCACCGCGCAACAAACTTCGTTGGCACATCCGAACTGCAAGAACTTGAACGGCTCCATGTACCTATTCTTCAGGTTTGGCTGCCATCGCTATTCTAGAACTGCGCGCCTAAGCTCATCATAGGGTGTCACGCCAATAGTTCGCGCCTGAACGCAGCCGTGTACATGCTCTGGCAGTACGAAGGGGAGGGTTGAGACGGCGCGATTTTGGCAGCCACACACACTCAGTAAAGCTCTCTGTAACTTGGACGGTAGATGATGCACCAGATGTTGGTTCTCACATGCTGTCTGCACAGGTTCTTCTTGCACGGTGGCGGCTATGGAGCACTACAGTGCGTTGGCGATGGGCTCAGCAGCTTCTGGAGGTGCGATCCATGAACTGGGCTTCCTCCGCGGACATCGCTGCAATTGACCGTCTCTGTGGCTTGTTTTAGCGGGAGATGAAAGCTTTGTGAACTCAGATTTTATGGGTTTGAGGCGATGAATCTAGCCGTCTCATCGTCTCCAGCCTGCAAGCCAGTGGCCAGTGAATGGGTCATCAAATGAGACAAACCGAATTCTAGCTGCGTAATTGCTATCAAACGTGCGTATCTTATGGTGGAAAGACGCTATGTTTCTTATGAGCACCCCACAAATGTTCTCATCGAACGTAACACTCGAGAGTGTACCGCCACGATAAGCCACCTCAGTGCCATTGCATCCTACAGAGAATAAGGCGTAGGGGAGTGGTGCCAGGCAGAGATCTACGTATAATACTACTGTTCAAAACCTCTTTAATTAGCTGTTTCTTGTATGGTACTATTTAGCGTGAAGGCGCTAACAAAACTGCACTACTACGTAACTATCGTGCAAGGCAGAGGGTGCAAAGAGAGCCAAACTAGCGGGTTCGTTTTCTTGCACTCTCGTCCATACAGGCATTACATGAAATGAGCTGGAATGCATTCCGGGCAGCTGTGAAGACTCTAGTTTTTGAGTGGTTCCCGAATTTGTAAGCGAGACCTTTAAGGGTCCCCATTATTTTTTAAAAGGATCCGTCATTAGACCTGTATTCGTGAAGTTTCCTTATGCTCAATTCTTGGAGAATAGCGAACACACTGCATCACTTTCTATTCTCAAGTGGTAACAGCCATTTCTGGGCAATACTCTGAAAACACGAGAACAGGAAATGTAAGAGCAATGGCTGAGTGGCATACAATCCACTACACGCACTAGGGAAGCTTACATGTACGAGAATTGTACACGTTTCGGCAGCTAGTGTCCACTTAGCGCTCTCTCCTTGTATGCTTGGGACCTCATTATCGCCAAGGAGCTTTGGGGATCTGTATTATCGCGTTATCCTGGAACAAGCATCAACAGACCATTTTGTGCACAAACACTTCTTTCCTACTCACATTGCAATTAGGCGTGCCCCTTTTGATTGTGACTCACGAAACCAGTGCCCGTTATGCTGCGACCTTTCGCTTGGCCAGTGAGTAGCGCAGCAAAAACCACCTATCAGTTCGGTGAAGGCTGTGCCGCTGAACGATTGCTGGACTTCAAAGTGTTTCTTCAGTGGTGATGTTGCCTTCTACATGCTCCCCAAACTCCTAAAACAGACTTTATATGGAGCCAGGTGTGTTATGCGAGGTCAGGGATCATTTTGAGGAGCTGACTATCTAGCACGAGAACAAAAGGCTGGGACTGACACGTGTGTCAAGCTGAGACGCCTTACACATAGTACTTAGATGACGACGATAGAGGGGCAAAGGCAGCACAGCGCTCAATAAGTACAGGTGGCTCCATATTCATGCTACTCGGTAGGCGCCAACGAACCTTATTTACTCAATCTCATCCAGGAAACAATGGCTGTCACCACCACAGAACACCTCGAAATTCTAAAAATTTACGCTGCTTTCTAAGCGCTGCGACTTTTGTGGTTGCTAGGTCGGAAAGGTTGTTTCTCTTCACAATTTTCTCCACTCCGCTGTCGGCCACGGCATCGGCGCAGTTTCTGTATTTTTGTAGTAGGCTTATAGGCTGGCATATCCCTCTCTAAGGCTTCATAAAAGGAACCTGTTTGCCTTTTATAATGCTAAATATAGACTGTGGACTCCCTTGTCATAAAAACGAGCTCACCATGCGCACGGGCTTTGGGTGTTTTCTAGTGCACGTAAATTTCGCCGCTTTAGGAATTATGCATGATAGAGTCTCTAACCCACAACTATATGAGTATGCTTCGTATTGAGAAGCAGGAAAAAGATGCTTTCTTGTATGATATTTATCCTGTATTGTTCTGCATGACAGCCTCACTGCTTAAAAACCGCCAGCGTAAGCTACCGATCTAGAGGCTCAACTTGGATTTTATTACTTAAAGGCACTCTTCATCTGAGACTTGTGACTCGGCTACAGGCAGTGGATTTCCAAGTAATCTTATGTAGCTGGGGAGACCCCCTCGGAGACTGGTGTACATATAATGTATGCAGACGTAGGCAACACACTGTTGGGCCCTGCCTGCATAGGTGAAATTCATGTACTACATGGCGAACATGCTTACAGTGTAGGCACGTTGTCACCTGTAAATAAAGTACACAACCAAGTGCACGTTATGCACGCCATCACTGGAAGCAGAGCTGCAACGCGTGGATGCACGAATACATTGAACCCGCTTTTCTTACATTGGCTGCATGCCGCCATGATATGCTTGTCCGCTTTTGCCGGTGACAAAACAGCAAGGAACGTGCCATATGTTAGCTTTAGCCCACAGAAAACACCCTACGACCTGGAATCCGTTTCCCTTTCCGACACATCATGTGTGTATATATTCAGAGGCACGAAATGGAGTTCAGGGTGTGTGTCCAATGTAATGCTATCGGCATGCAAATGCCGTGAAATAAAGACTGTGCCAGTGGTGCACGAATACCCAGTAAACCTAGTTGCGAGGAACTTTTGGTTGGCCTCAGCTTCATGGGTTTGCATTTTCTCTGATCTCCACGAGAAGCAACTACATGAGCCCGCATCTGTCCTGTTGTAGTAAGTGACGCTGTGGCTGAGAGTCTTATGTCCAAAAGGAACCACTAGTAGATGTTTGTGTGAGGTGCATTGGAAAAACTTAGCAAGGCGTAGAGTAGATGCGTTACCACCCCGATTGTAGCTGCTTATCAAGCATTGCCGTTGCGCTGTGATTTCCCCATAGTCTTAACTGAGTGATATTTATATCCAAGGTGCCTTAAGGTCACTGCAGTTTTACCACCTAGTAAAATCAAGTGCGCCCCTAGAATGGGGTCGACCTTCTGCATGCCGTAACAGAGACGCTTTTTGATTTGCCTCGTTTCGCTTATTAGAAGCGAATGCATTTCCCTTACTCAGCTAACGTATTAGTCTGTTTTCTGCATCATGAAGCTTTGCCTTGCTCAAAAACTTGTTCGGGGTACCCACATTTCCGCATCTGTTACTACCAACTTGCAGCAGATCCAGCAGCGGGATCTCCCCGCTTCGATGCATAGAAGTGGCAGCACTGTGAAACAAACACGCTAGTTTTTGAGCTATTGTGGTAGGGAGAGGCTCATGAACTGATATCCAGCTGGCATGGTCCAAGGAAGCCACTGCACGGGATCTCCTACATAAGTTTGCATAGTCCGAAGCCCCCACTCCGTCCTTCAGTGAGCATTCAAAGACGCATGCATGCTTTCTATTGCGAGCTATAGGTAGGCACTTTCTATCAAAGCTAGTTGCATTTGCTTTGGCTGCGCATACATGCTATTTGTCGCAGTACTGGCTCATTATGGTAAGAACCAATGCTGCTTGCCTTTGCGTTGTAGGTTGCTAAACGTAACTAGCTGTGAATGTCAGGACTGCTTAGAATGTGCAGCGATGCGCAGCCTGGCTGGCCCTCTTCCATCAGCAAAAGCCTTGAGCGTGTAGGGCAGGGAGAAAAAATGCTCTTTTGTAGAGCACTCAATAGCCTTCTTCTGATTTCAATAAAAAATTAGGCACAAAGCGGCTTTCTACGGAGAGTTGCGTTACATTAGTGGAATTCGCTTTAGGTGTGCTGGGTGTATACATGCGTGCTCAGGCAAGCGCTCTGTTCAGGCTTGAAAGGGTGTGTAGCCAACCATGTACTTGGAGTATCCTATGTACTTTTAGCCAGTCAGGCTTCTCATTAAGCTAGGAAAAAGGCAAGCTTTGCATTTTAGGATCCACATGTTGTTTGGCTATGCCCGAATAAAGTCATGTAGTAACTTTACGAGAATCTTCGTGTCGGTCACCCATGTTCCTGTCATCATTCTGTCTGGTTGCACCTGAAGAGCCGTTGCACACAATGAGATGTCTCTCTTGCCAAGTCTAGCACTCTGCCCCAGGGAGATACGATGTTCCTGACCGTTCTCCTCTGATGCACATCGTGGTGCTCACTTCCTCTCAACTATCGCATACACACTTTCCTGATCATGGATACTATCGCGGCTTCTAGATTAATCCTTCCAGTAGTTCACACATTGAGAGGCATTCGACGGGACACAGCTTATTTTGACAGTCTCGTCCTTGCATATTCATCAGTCGTTTGTATGTGCTATACGTGATCTGGTATTGCCTCAATGTAGTTGACTTGAGACTGTTGCAGGGATCATCCTGTTACTGTGGGCTCTTATTATTTTTGATATCAGGAGGTATACATTTTAAAGGTTCTTGCTTTGGGTTCTTTCGGACTGTAACTTGTCAACCGCAGAGGTCGTTCTTCGTTTTTCACTGCATTTTCTGTGGCTCTGATAGATCTTACTAAGTTTAACAGGCCTTGCCGAGCTTCCTCCATTTAGCTCTTTTGCACCCCGAGCAAGTTTTCACCACTCTGACAAAGAAGACGTTGAGTTTCTCTGTAATTCCTTGATATTTCCTACTCGGAAAGCACTTGAGCTGATGGGGTAGTGCTGGTGAGGTGCTACCGACCTTGGCAAGGCAGGCTTGCTGGCTTCCACATGGCAGTATTCCCGTCTAATAGATCCTAAGATCAGGGGACCGCTGTCTAAGATCAGCCCTTGTTGGGGGTTTTACGAGGGTCAGAATGTGTCAACAGTTGCCGAATATGGCTGTTCAGAAGTTCACTGACCCCAAATTTATCTCAACACTTATCACTACCGTGTACAACCGTAAAGAAGGTTATTTGTTTCCCGTCGAGTTTGTAACACCATGAACTCTCTTGCTCTTTATTTAGCGCTCACGAGTGAAATGTGCCGGTAGTGAATAACTCTATTGGGTCCCTATAAACCTTGCGTGTTCTACTGTGTCTGTGGTGATGCCTGGAAGAGGTATACTCCTACAAGGTTGTCACTTTTTAGGAATGGGTGATGAGTAGTTGGGCTGCGCCAAAGTAAACCATGCAATGCTCTAAGCTCAGCGTGTTTGAAGAAAATCCGAAGGTTCCACATATGCCAGTCGATGAATCTGAGTCAAGACGATAAGGAGCATCCTCTATTTATTGTTGAGGAAGTTAATGCATACCGACGCATTTTCAGCCGCCAAAGCCTTTGTAGCCTTCTACCAAAGATCCGAAGGCAGCTTTTGAGAGTTAGAATCAAGGAGGAAACAACACAGTTCAAGAGAATCTTAGTTGTCTGCCTGTCAAGTCATGAGAAATATTGTTTCGATGCCGTGTGTGCGACATTTTCTAGGGTTGGACGCAGCTGAGAGAGGGGATGAACCGCCTGCTGCTGGGCTAAACATTTACATAGTGCCAAGCGTCTCTAGCGCCGTCCCTACGTCTGCTTTTGTGGGGAATTAATCACTTAGTTGAGGCGGATGTAGGCTTCCGTGTGTGCCACTGTTACAGCATAGGAATGGCTGATCCACATAGGGGATGCATGCTTACAATGCTGGACTGTTGCCCGCCCAACACTGCGAAGAGCACAATACGTTGCACGCACGACCAGCTGACCTTGCTTGCACTGTTAGAGGGCGAATAGTGTAGCTCAGGAAGGTATTAAAAGGCGAGAAAGCCCCACAAGCTCACTCGCACCATGAATACACACGTGAAGGCTAAGTGGTCAGTCTCAGGTGTACCAGCTTGTACTCCAGCTTGCTGCTGCAAAGGCTCCGCATTGCTTATGAAGCGAGATACTTGATTTTCCTAGACAGAAGCGCCACAAAGGCAGACGTCGGTGGTTTCGAAGCATAACGCAAACGGGTAAATTAGTTTTCTCTTTCGCATCGGGGGTAGCTGAGAGTAGGAGCCGTCGTTGGTTACAGGGTCCGATACTTGTGGCGCCCCCCACCATGTCTCTAGAATCCACACAGATTGCTTCTTTAACAGGAAATCAAGTAAGAGAGACTGTTTGACGCTTTGAAAACGGGGAAATGGCGAAGACGCTTTTGTTTTCTTTTTTCAGAGCTCCGCCTGCGGCCGACACACCCCCAACCCCAGCAACACTGGGGACTCATGTGTAGGCCCCGAAGCATACGACTTGACAGAAGGGGTTGCGTTCCCTTCGCAGTCTTCTGCCTTATAAACCACTACGATTGCATACGATGTACCTCAGCACGCTTATTATCCGGTCCCGAGCGCCAAAAACGAGCATAGGAGGCGGAGGCGAGAATTCCAAGAACATCTCCAACTGTGGCTTGTTTTGGATACCCCTGTTTCTGCTCCTCTGAGGCCGTACATGTAGCTTAGCTCCGCTGCATTTGGCTGTTTCGAGGTGAATGCTTCTTCTAAGCTGTGTGGCCCTGCTCGTCTTCCGAGGACTCCCCGCCCACTCCATAGCGTCTGCTGTATCTGCGCGCGCAATACCTACATTTCTGCACGCTCACAGACCCCCGCTCTGCCCTCCTACCAGCACGTTCCTCCGCCATTACGTTGCTGTTGCCTTCCAGCAACCTCCAGGTGGGTCCTGTGTGATTCCCTTGAAGCAAAGACAGCAGCCATACCGCCTTCACGAGAAAATGACGATTATCAAAGCAACAGGGCTTGACGGAGAGTCTAAATTGAAAGGCGCTAAAACCGAGATAGCTGCCGAACCTGCTCCAGCAAAGAGGAAGCATAAAGGTGAGCGTGTGGTAAGACTTCAGGTATGCAAGCCGTTCGTTCTTGTAGCAACGGATCTCTCCACTTTTTTGAATTTCTTGATGAATTGGAGCTGCAGAATCTTATCCCTGTGTAGAGTGTTGACCTTTCCGAGGCTGCGCAGAGACTCCAGTGAAGGTGGAGGAGAAGGCCAAAGACGAGGAGCTGATGCGTGAGGCCCAGAGCAGCAGCGAAGCCGATAAAGCAACCAAAGGGGCAGCAAAAGAAGACGTGGAAAAGAGCACTTCTCCTGCAAAAAAGAAACGGGCTGCTCCCAAGGCTCGGGCCAAGGTTGCTTGTGGGAAAAAGAATTCAGCCGCGGGAGGCGCGCCACAGGGCCTCCTAAAGCCTGACGAAGAGTTTGCTGCTCTGGCAGCACTGGCACTGAAGAGCCGGAAGTTTGTAGGGGCACACATTTCGGCAGCAGGAGGAGTTCAGAACGCCCTCGTCAGTTGCTTCAACGTGAAGGGTAAGAGGCGTTTTCTCGGCTGCTTCTGCGTGCTTTTGACGTACAGGGCGCTGTTGGTTAGCACTGTATTGAACGCCAGAGCATGTCAGAGGAATCGTTTGGAATAAAGTTCAGCATCTGAAGTTTTGTGCTTGGCAACGCACAGTAATAGGCCTCTTTGTGTGGGGTGTACAGCTCATGCTTCAGGATGTAGAATTTGCGGTCTTCTTTGTTTGTTTGACCGCGTGCAGGGCAAGCCTTCGCCCTGTTTCTGAAGTGCCAGAGGAAATGGGTATCTCCTCCTCTGGTGAGACACACCTGCTGGGAAAGGTGTAGCTCTAAGCACTAGAAGAGCTGAGGGTCCTGCAACACGTCATAGAGGGACTCACAAGGCCTTAAACGTTGCCTATGTTTTTGGCGTTATTCAAGTGTTTGCATTCAGGCTGAGTCGGCCATTAGCGGCTTTAAGGAGCGATGTGATCAGCTGGAGATGGACAAGTCCATGCAAGTGCTACCTCACGGCAGCTATCTTATTAATGTTGCCAATCCCGGTAAGGCCTTCTACGATTCTACTTGCTGTCTTTTTAACAACTCTTGGTGCACTGGATATGCGGAGCTGTACTTATTGCTATATATATGTATATATATGTATATATTTAGGGGCGTGTGAGAGCGTTTTTCAACAACTTTGAGGGACCTCTTGAACCGTTTCAAGTAATTGAAGCAGCTTCGTCTCGTTTTGGGGGGTCGGTCTCAAAACGACTGCATACATACCCTAGAAGGTTTTGCGTGTTTCTTCTGGCGGGTGGTGGCATGCAGACAAGACGAAGCAAGAGAATGCTTACAATGCCCTTCTGGACGATTTGCAGCGTTGTGAAGCACTGGGCATAAAACTGTACAACATCCATCCAGGTGTGCTTCGCGGCGTTGAGGCTGCACTGATTGCACTCTCCCCTGCGCCGCAATTGCCGTGTTGTAAAGTAATGTCTAATGTCCGTATGCAGGATTCTGCCTCTTTGCGATGTGGCTTTGCTGAACTGTTTTGGCCGCCGTGTAGCGCCATACAGTTTGAGCAGAAAATACGACGTTGTCGCACGCATGCGGACCCTGCCGCTCTCTCGCTCCATAGGCAAACGACTCGCCCCTCACAGTGCCTTGTACTTTCAGCCGTCGACCACAGTTTGTGAATGTGTGAATGCGGGGCCTGCATGCGAGCAGAGCCTCGCGTTGCAGATCACAGCATCCCGACGGTCCAGGGTGTTTTGTGTTTTCAGGATCCACCGTAGGGGAATGTACCAAGGAAGAAGGCATTCGCAACATCGCTGTACGGCCGATTCCACACTTGCAGAGCCTCGAGGGCCTGAACTCTTGAGCAGTGCTGCTGTTCCGCATTGGGATAAAAAAAGCCTGTGTCTTCTTAAGTGGTGTAGCCGTCCGCCGTTCTCTGCAGAGGGCTTGTCGCGGCGTGCAGCGTCGCTGCACGCTTGATGCGACACTTAAGGGGCATCAAGGGCTTTAAGCGCTTTGAGCAGTGCTGTTTTGATGCGGGTAAAACCGTCAGCTTTGCGCTTGCGACTGGCCTCAGGCAGCAGTGAACAGGGCCCACAGAGACACAGCTTTCGTAGTTGTGGTCTTGGAAAATATGGCGGGACAAAAGAATGTCGTTGGCAGCAAATTCGAGGACCTGCGAGATATCATCAATCTGGTTGAGAACAAGGAGCGAGTAGGCTATATTCAAGCAGCTCGATAGCCGTGGCGTCGATGCCAGTTGGTACCACGGATGCTGGGCTGGCTCATTGCCTGCTGTTGTTTCTCAGGTGGGAGTCTGTCTCGATACGTGCCATCTCTTTGCGGCAGGTACGGGGATTCTTCCGCAGTGCCCCTATGTGCTTCTTGCTGCTTCGAGCGCATGCGCAGAGGTGCAGTATGTGCACAACGAACAGATTTGCACAACCAACAGGATAGAAACAACGTTGATTCGAGCTTATTCGGGCGACGGGGGTCTCCCCGGAGTTTCCTACATGTATTTATACATACACGGAAAGATGCACCGATGCGTATGCATATAGAGGTATATTTTGATTTGCCTGTGGCAGTGCATGAGGATTATGAGAGTCTGCTGTCATACGGCATTCGGCACGATTAGGCAAAACAAGTGCTTTGGATCTGTGGCGTTGTGGGGGCCGCACCGCTGTAGCTTCTGCTGCCAAAGTGTTCATCCTGATGCACTGAAATGGTCGCAACTGTTGGCGCTCTACAGGCTACGACATCCGGACTGCTGAGAAGTTCGAAAAGGTGATGGAAGAGTTCGATGCCATCGTAGGCTACAAGTACCTTAAGGGAATGCACATCAACGACTCCAAGTCCGAGCTGCGTTCAGGACTGGACAGGTACTGCATGCATAGGGTTGGGGCTTTTATTCACGTCAGTCTCCCTTACACCGAGGGCCCGCTGCACTGGCTTAATGTGCCTACTAATCGAAAGTACTTCAGGACTTCATATTCATCCTTGCCTTCCACACAAATATTATTTGTATACTCTCATCTTAGTGCGTCTCCCTATGTCCTACTTTTGCGTCTGCATTCACCTCCCTCTCCCATACATATGTACATGTCAACGTACTTCATGCGACAGCTGCTAACGCGAGTACCCGTCAGTCGTCAGTCGGTGTGGACTGTCTCGAAGCTGGCTGTTGCCTAAACACTTCCGCACAGGCTACTTTTGCAGTAGAATGAAATTCATGCTATTATAAGAGCCCTTCGTTTCCCTTCTCAAGCTCCTTTTCTCAAGTTGTGTCCTGGTCGCTGCATTGGTGCTGCCGTCGCTGCCGACACGTCACACCCCAAACTCACCTCCTGTTGTCTTCACGCAGTGGCAGCAGCAAGCACGCTGCTTCGAACACTATACCGTAGCTTTTGATGCGTTTCTTGCGTTGATCTGTCTCAGACATGAGCTTCTTGGCAAGGGTCACCTGGGACTTGAGCCCTTTAAGTATATTATGCAGCACCCTACGCGATTTAAGGATATGCCCTTGGTGCTAGAAACACCAGACCCCACCGAGGGCAGCATCTGGAAAAAAGAGATCAAACAAATGTACAGCTTTTTAGACGTTAAAGAAGATAAATGACTTTCTTTCTCTTGCAATGCCCTGAAGGCTTTTGGTTAGGCGTCTGCGGCCAAACATGACGCTTTCAGGCACATCCGGCAGCTCGAGTATGCATCAAACCGTTGAGCAAACTACTAGTGAGCATTCATACTATGCACCCGCGCGCGCAACTGCAGCCAGGTAGACAATGGATATCACGTACATGGGAGACGCGCCTTGCGCATCACGCATGGGCATACGTATTCACAGACGAGCCCACATCCATGTATGGAAGTAAGAGGTGCACAAAAGCCACGGCAGCATGCAGTGGGATTTCGGTAACTTTCGTGGATGACCGCAAACATTAAACACTTCCGAGGAGGCATTCCTGACACGCCTCCGACCCCAAAAGGAGAGGATATGCGTGCACAAAATCCAATGGCCGGCTCGGCAGACCGCCTCCTTCCGGGAGAGCTCAATAGAAGCACGTGCGTAGCCACGCGCGCCTCCCATGTTCCCTGCAAGTCAGTAGTTTGGCTCTATGTAACCGAAGAGCTCCTTCAATGGAAAGGTTGCGCAGAGAGGCTTTGTAACAACTCTTTCCGTGGTGCAGCAATTTTGACGGGTGGGCAGGCGGGCTGGACAGGCCTCGCCCGCCGCTTGTCCGTTGTTACACTGCGAGCTGCACTCCCGCGGGAGCGCCACACAGAGGACCTCTAGCTAGACAACTCCATCACTATGACGATTAACCAAGGCAGCTAGCTGCTAGGCGGGGTGAGCGTGCCTGCGGCTGCAATCTATGCTGCCCGCAAACGGTGGGAACCCTCAGGATCGATTTGGGTGGCCCTTGTGGCGTTTGCCCTTGTCTACAGCTATGCACACAACGAGGGTGCCTCTGGCCGTTCTAGTTCGGCCGGGAAAGCTAATCAAATCACCCATGAGGTGGGGGTGTACGTGCGCCCCGCATGTGCCTCTCCAGAACTACACCTAACGCATATTCGTCGTGGCTGCACCAAGGCCTCTAAGTGGGATGCAAAGAGAAAAGGACGACCGTATTGGTCAGCTGAGGTGTTTTGAGTTTATGTCGACTTGGAAAATGTAGCACGTGGCATTGGCGGCCTCAGCTGTGCAGCTGCCCACTCCGCTGTCTGACCACCTCTCCTGTGTGCAGACTTTGGGGGGGAGGGGGGGTTCAGCAGACGCCGCATCAACAGCTGCACACACCCACAGCTGCTGCTGCCGTCGTTACCACCACTGCTGTAGCTGCTGCTGATCAGACCGAGGCGCTGAGAACGCACTGGCGAGCGATGACGTCGAGTTCCTTCTGTCCCACCTTGGTCAAGCGCCTTCCGCTGCAAAGCACGAATAGCACAAAGTCGGCAAGCGCAGCTGCACTGGAAGCGGCGCAACAACAAGGAGCTCCAGGCGCACCCGACGAACCCCACACTGAAAGTACAAAGCGTAGTAAGATGCAGCAGCATACACCCTCTGCAAGTACCTATCTGGGCGAGACTCGACAAGCCCCATGGCCTCGAACTGCTGGAGGATGTGTCGAATGATCTTGCCGCTGGCCTGCGAAAAAACCGCGCATACGCATGCGATCCAGAGTCACCTGCTGCCCACCAGCAGGCAGCCAATGCAACGAAAGACGTGTGTATTGCTCAGCTGGTGCCAAGTTGCGAAATGCCCATTCCATCCCTTTCCGAATACGCATGCAGCAAGGCCCGCAGCAGTAAGGAGGCCCTCTACAGAGCAGTCCCCACAAAAGCACACCAAGAAGCCCCTCTAAGTCTGGCAAAAGGCAGAGCGGCAGGGAGAGGAGAAGGCGGGAAAGAAAGGGAGGGGACGCCGAGCAGTCAGGCATGCATAGAACTACGGCGAAGGGATCTGCGAACCTTGCTGGTGTGGCCAGGGCTGCACTTTTTGCCGGTTTTGCATGAGAAGAACTTTCTAAATGCCCCAACTCCGCAGCTTGGGCGAAGGTAGAGGTGCCGCAGGATGGCAGCAGCTCGACAGTACAGCCAGTCGGGATCTTGGGGAGCGAGGGTCTTCCCCTGCGCGAAGGATCAACCAATACGCGCGTCAATCATGACGTGGACGCGCGCGGCAATTCAGCTGTACGACCAAAGGACGGGGAGACAGAGATAGAAAGAGAGAGAAAGAGATGGCCGCATGCGCGGCCTTTGGAAGAGACACACGCAGATCGATCGTCCCTCAGGAGTCACAGCCCCAACACGCCGATCCGCCAGTTCGACAGCTCGTCGAAGACGCCTCAGTACAAGAGGACGGCAAGATGGAAAGATGCATCTAAGAGCGTGAGGCCGAGGGCGTTGAAGAAGGGTGTTTCTGGAATATGCCATTCAGAGGCTGCCTACGTATCCAGTCTTCACCAAATCCACCCACATGGGCACCTGAAACTTGCCCCTCTTCTTGAGATGGTTGGCATATGCCTGGATGAAGGTCTGAGCCAACACGTCCTTCACAGTATAAACCGGGGAAGACCCGAGCGCGAACTCCTCTAGAAAGGCCTCCATCTGCAAAACAGAAAAAAGCGTAGCAACACGAGCAGCTGGTTGAGCCACACAATCCCCGACAGGAACGCGCAAGTCGTCAACGCAAGGAGCTTAAAAATCAGGAGACGGCGGCCTTCCAGGTGTCTTCATGAAGGGCGAGACTGCTGTACATACAACACTGCCCAATCCCGAGGCCACTCTCACGGGGAGTGGCATTCCGTGAAAGCAGCCAGTGCGTGCACTTCCATCAAGGCTCAGGCATCACCCCCAAAGGCTACTCCCAGAGCAACAAGCCACCCCAAAAGGCTCTACCCAGCGTCTATTACTCCCTTGCCATCGGCTGCTTGCCCCTGCAGCGTCCATCACGGGGCCTCTGGAGAGAGGCTTCGAATTCCCCTCCCCAGAGTTGTCCGTTGCACCTCCGACACCCCACAGAACACCCCACGGCACCAAGGCATGCAAGAGACGTCCCTAGTTGTAAACTTGCAGAAGACGAACGAAGAGCCTCTTTGCAAAACCATCACTGCACAAGATCAAGGGCCCTCTCCACGCCCGCACCCCCCATCCCCCCTCGCTGGCACCAGGTCGTTTATCCCGCGAAGCAAATAATCTAAACTGCAAATCCGAAGTTATTAATTATTTGCAAAGAAGAAAAAAGCACGCAAGGCATGCCGTTCATGACCCCACGCAGTTGGAGCTACCAGAGGAGCCGCTGCAGCGCACCCCAAGGAAGTAGGCCCATCGTACTTACTTTGAGAGAACCCTTTGGATAGCCAAGGAGATTCTAAAGCGCAAAAACAAGAAGTGGCTACTTTGGATGAGGGCTGCTGCCCTTGCTGGTGTTTTGCTGCTGCCCCTCGTGTAGTAGGGGCGGCCGCCCCCCACAGCCAAACGCAGCCCCTTGTGACAGCGTGCGACTTTTCGCGCTGAGGCGTCCTGCAGCACCCTGTTAACTGGTATGAATATATACAGTTTACCGATGTGCAGAAAGTATTCGCGCGCTGCATTGATTTATTAATAATTGTACTTTGTTTAATGGGGCTCTGGGACCGTCTTTGCTTCCTTTTTTAGACAACAGCCGCAGGGCGCCGCATCTGTCTGGCTCGCATGGTAGAGGGAATACACCGCTAGTGGAAGAGGGTTCTTCTGGGTGGCGTCGCCTCTGCTGCAGTACACGACCGCTTCTCTGTTTATTGTTAACTGGATTAATCTATGCTCGTTCCATTAAGGCATTTCCTCTCCTATATTTATTCACAGAAACTATGGTGCCCTCCTAGCAGGCCCACCAAGGCATCGAGTGGTCGCCCGCGCGCAAAGTCTCGTGGCTCACTGGCTGACTTGCCGCTCTGACCCCCTCAGTGTATCGACAGAAGCGTTTTCGTGCTCAGGTCGGGTAGTGAAAAGGGCATCTAGGGGCCTCTGGAGTCGCAAGAAACCGGAAGTTCGGCCGCCGATGGGTGTGCGGAGACGAGGACGGCAGCGCGGACAAATCCAATAGAATAGCACTGAGCACTGTTTACCCATCATTTTAGCCTTGAAAAGATTTTGGTGCATTCCTTGTTCTCAGCCCGTGTGCTTGGAGAGCAACAGCTGGCGTCATAGCCGATCGCACGCAGCTGATGTGACCATTGGTCCCTCCTTTTGGATGCCCACACAGGATGCCTTATTCGCTTTCCCGCAGCAAAAAACGCAGTTCCTGTGGCTTTTCTCGAATCTTTCGTAGCTATCTATCTCTAGGTTCAGGCCGCAGCGGCGGAGAGAGAAACTCGCACAGCCGAGGAGCTACCACTACTCAGCCTTCTTCCCTTGGTGCACCTTTCAGCAGGAATAACCGGCAGACACACACGCGAATTTCCATCATGAATACGCCTAGCGCCTCACACTCTAGAAGCACAGAAAGTAGCGGTACCTGCGATGCAGTTTCTTCGAACGAGAGAATCACCCCCGAAAATGTTGTTCTCCCATACCTTTTCAGGAGGCATCAGAGCATGGGTTCTCCCTTCGTACCCGGTAGAATCACCTTTCCTCCCCCGACAACAAAAGCGCTTCCAGCCGTGTGGAGCTGGCAGATGGGGGAAGCAGAATGGGTGCCCTTTGATGCGCAACTCATGGAAATGCTTGAGGATTTGTGGAGAGCGATGCATAGAGAGCTAGGAGTTACCCAACAAGACGAAGAGCCCGAGCTACTTACACAAGCGCATGTACGGACCGAAGAGCCAGAGCAACAGTCACATAACGCTGTTCAAGCGCCTTCAAGGTCTAGGTACCTTGTCACAAATCCGAGACCACATGCTGTACAGCCCCATCCGTCCGTAGCCCACAAAGTGTTTGTGTTTTTGGCTCCGTGGCACTACTGCATAGACGTCGAAACTATGACACAGCAGAATACAACTACACGCACTGTTCGGCCGATCAGAAGGGCTGTTGAAACTGCAGGCTTGTGGTATGCTAAAGGTTCAAATGGATACGCAAAGAGGTAGGCAGGACTCCAGAGCAGAGAGTACATCAGAGAGGCTTGACGGAAGCGCTCTAGCAGAGAAAGTCTGAAACCCCTTCCTCTGTTGTGCTCCTTTGTTCGCTTTGCGAGGGGCTCATGGGGGGTGACTTTGCCTGTAGAGCACCTCAGCGCTTCGGGCATATCGCGAAAAGCGCCAGCAGGCCTTTTGGGCGACCACTGATGCGGCACAATGCACCCTTCCCCCTCCTTCGTGAATTGTTTTCCAGGGCGGCTGTTGCGGCAAAATAGAACGGCCCAACTTGTTGCTCCTTGGATACACTCTCCATAAAGGTTCCTTGTACGCTGTTCTCGTTCCTGCCGTTCCTCCCCCCACAGGTTTCATCCGCAGGTAGAGGCACATCTGGAAGCGCTGCTGCAGGGATCTCTACTCGGCGTGCAAGACCGGCATGCATTTGTGTTTGCGTGGCAAGATAACGAAACGGGTGCTCTACACTTTACCGACGTGCTAACCATGAGAGATTCAATGGACCCCGGCAGCTCGAGAGAGGCAAGCGACACACCGACCCCTACTCCTGCCCCGTATATAAAGGCCTCTGCCTGCAATTTTAGCGGGCAAAGGTAGCAAGAAGACAGTTAGAAGCCTCCCCAACGCCCTAGACAATTGTAATCCAGGAACCTCATTGGCTGACGCCACCGGATAGCGAGGATGAAACACTTATTGCTGGGGGGAGGGGGGCCTTCGCTGCAGACACTGGCTCCAATGAACGCATCAGTGTGTTTATGTAGCTACAATACATTTGATCATTCGTGTCAATGTCTCTTTTCAGGTCGCACGCATGGAGGTCTCGCCGCCATCCGGGGCCTCTCCACCAGTAGCAGAAGATCCTGCTGGCACTGCTACGGCTATGGGCGCATTCCCCTTGCCTTCTCTCTCTGTAGGAACCCCTGAAGAAGGAGAGGCGTACTGCGCTGGCTACAATGAGCCGCTTCAGGCAGAGGACTTCCAACAGGCACTTACCATGGTTGAAGGCGAGGGTGTGACCTGGCTGTGTGGCGGCTTTCCGGCCTAAACCTCAAGCTCTCGGGGCTATTTACCTATCCCTTCCCTGGTAGTTCCTGCCTTTTATCTTCTTGCGTGCCTCTAGTGGCGACACTCTCGCAAGCGTCTTTTTGTGTGTGCTTTGCGCTGCAGGAGTCCCAGAGGACTGCTGTGCTATCTGCCTGGACAGCTTTGCGCTCAGAAGGGGCATGCCACCGCATAACACAGTAGCAGAATCACGGGATCAGCAGCAACGCGAGAACGGCTGCTCTCAGATTGAAGGCAACGACAACAGCGGCCAGACTCTACAGGTGGCGGCATGTGATCTTCCACAGGGCTGTTGTGACACGGAAGGCCCTCCTGCGACCAGCATGAGCAGCAGCACCGACGCCAGATATCATTGGCGTGCTAGCAGCAACATCACTGATATCAGCCGAAAAAATAGCGAGAGCAGGAAGAGGAACCAAAACGAAGCGGACGGCGCTGACAGCGAGGTGGTCGTGAGGCTGAAGAAATGTTCGCACCACTTCCACTCCGAGTGTATTCGCATGTACATGAGAAGCTGCAGCAGAGGAGGATTTTACTGCCCCACTTGCAATGTGCTACAGCTCCCTGGCAATGGCCCTTCGCCTCCAGGTTGGTCTTTGGCTGCTCTTCCTGTGCCTACAACTCAAAGTGTCGGAAGCGCTCTTCAAGCCCTTGAGTTCGTCCTCCCCGGGCACAAACTTTGCAACGGTTGCCTGTTGACTACATGGCGCTTTTCCCTACGGCCTTGCTCGTCTAACGTTTACTGCTGCTGTGGCCCGCTGCTGCGGCTTTGCGGTGTACCTTGCTCCAGGAAAAATGTGCTGGAAGATCTCCAACCGCAGCTTATTGTCCGGGCATTCATCACAAGGTGCGGATACTGCTGAATTTGATCTTGTGCTTGCTGCCACTCTTGCACGTCTCCTCCGCTTCCTGCTTGTACTGTCGATTCTTGTTTTACAGCTGCTGATGCGGTTGCGAGAGTGGCGGCTGTGCTTTTTTGCCGCCGGAGAACTGCTTTCTCGCTTTTGCCTCTGTACCGCGCACTGAGCGTACGGTGTGTATTCGCTTTCGCGTTTCCTTCAGGGACGATAATCATCAACTACTATATTGCTGGAGGCATTCAGACGGAAAGGCACGCACAGCCCAAGGCGTCGTTTACTGGAGCTAGGAGGCGGGCCTATCTGCCGGACTGCTTACGGGGGCGGCAGCTGCTGCAACTCCTTATAGAGGCGTTTGTCAAGGTAGGTGGCGCGTTGCTCCCTACCACGCCACTGCGTGAACTGCTGCAATGCAGATATACCAAAAGGCTTAACGTGCCACCATGAGCCAAAATTAATGACAAGTTGCACATTTTTCAGCCTTCTAGCGCCTCTTGAGTCTCACATTTTGCGGGTGCATCCACCCATTCTATGCGTTCTGCCGCGGTTGTTGCTGGAACAGGGCCACATCTTCACTGTCGGTCACAGCGTCACTTCCGGCAACTCGAATGTTGTTATTTGGAATGGTATACACCACAAGACCAGTGCTTCCGGGGGTCAGTCGATTTCTTGCCCCCTTTCCCTTCCCAGTCGGCGTGGAGCTTGCCTCGCACTCCCCCCCGCCTGCCCAGTCGCAGAAGCAGAGCGGCACCCATTGAGTAAAATTACTGCAGTGAGCTGCGTGCTGGAGCTGTGGCGATACGTATGTTGCGTTGTTCGTCCCAGAGACTAGCTCCACCAGCTAAAACGCGTCTGCTTCACTATTTTCAATGAGTCGTTTTCTCAGGGATATTACATTATGGATACCCAGACGAAACGTTTCTCTCGAGATTGGAAGAGGAACTCAGGGCACGTGGTTTTCCGCTGGAAGGAACGGAGCCAACCAAAAGGTCGGCGTGCGCGTCCACTCAATCCTCGTCACAAAGTTTGTCGTGCCTCCATGCCCACGTCTTCCCAGCACTCTTTAATTGTGCCATCACATTCTGCAGTTGCCATCGCGGGATGGTGTAGAGCGTACTGCATTGTGCATGCGGCGGAAATGACCCTAGGATGCCAACGCCTGTGCAGTTGCAGACTCGTTTGTTCTCTGTCATATGCCTTTTCCGACATCTGTTCCGCCGCAGAAACGCCTCCAGCTCACCTGAAGACTTCAAGGTGCTCTAAGCGTGGCAGCAACCTGAGCACCTAGCGAGACGTTACCCGTACAGACGTACCGTCGCCTACTACGCCAACATCGCGTGGTAAAACACCGAAGGTCAGCACGAGAGGAAGCCGTTGGCTCCTGCTGGTCTTTTAATTCACGCAATATACAGCCCTCGTGTGCCTAGAGGCACTAAAGTAGCCCGCTCATTAACTAGGCAGTCTGCCGCTCTAGCGGGTACCAGCGTAACCCTTGCCCCCAATTTGGAGGAGACGAACATGTATCTCCGAAATGAGAAATGGGCGACAGACTTTTTTTTCCCCAGGCAGGAACACGTCAAGCAGCTTTCAATCGTGGGTGCGCAGAACGCGGTTACCCAGCGAGCTTGTACTTCTGGATGGTTTTTGCGAAAAGAACCACCATACAAACAACCTTCCCCCCTGCCTCGCAGGCTTTAGGCGACGCACAGCCAATGATTAACCTCCACCAGGAAAGCCACGCCCATGTAACGTCATTATAGTGCCGTTCAACTTGCCATGAAAGCACACAAGAGCCCACCCAGCCACCGGCAAAATGCATGCTTTTCAACGATTGCTACTTCGAACTAGCCTGCTAGTCGCAACGCCGCATGTACTGCGAATGCACTAGATCTCAAACGGAATGTTGCAGGGCTCCGACGGTTTGGCTAGATCAAATCGCAGCACAAGACGAAGACCGACTCGCGCTTCGGTGGCATTCCGCCTCAGGCCAACCCTTTAATGCCCGGCAGTTTTTGTCCGCACCCTATAGAACCAAGGACCCATAGAGGGAGTCCGTGGCATTGCAAAGTGCGTGTTCCATTGTTGTGAATCGGTGAGAACACTATGCAGAGTGGCTGCACCCCGAAAGGCTTCCGGCCGTGTTTAACACATGCATGAGATATATGCCACCCCAACACAACCGGGCAAGCAAGCGCCTGCAGGTTTCTCGTGATGTGCCGGGTAGGCCCCACAATGGTAGAACCTCCTAGATCAACCTAAAATGTTATGCTCTTACGGCCAGAGGCAGCGGCACCCGCACAAACGACGCTTCTTTCTCAGGTGTACCTCTAAGCCATGGGGGACCTCGACCTACGGCAGCTTAGGACCCCATGTCATAGGATCATTCCGTGCAATAAAACCACTTCCTACAGCCCCAATTTATGCCTGGTATGGAAATTTGGGAAAACAGAGAGACAATAAGAGGGATTGCTTCCTTCTGTCTCTTCTTAGGCTGCACGGAGCGCCATGGTTGATCGGGGTGCAGGGTGGCCAACACTTCGGCTACCGCTCAGTGGGGCGATGCGTCAGGAGTCTTTTAGTAGTCGAGGGCTGATTGCTATGTGCTGATATATTCTTGATTGATTATTTGTATCATGATTTAAAATTATTTTCCAAACTTAATATGTATGGAACGGTGAATTTATACTGCCTCTCCATCCCCGCCTCACCTGAGCTGCTCTTCGTGTAGCTGCTGGGAAGTGGAGAAAGAGGGTCGCACTGTGTTACTGTACAACTTGATTGCATGCTGCTGCCCTGGTTTTGGTATTATTTGTATATAGGAATGCAGCAGTGAAACAGTAAGTATCCCTAGTACAATATTTGCGTGGATGCGGCACGAAATGTACCCTATTTAATACAAACGCAGATTATGCCCAACAAGCCTACTTCCAACCTGCTCTCACTTGCACTGCCAATGGATTTCTGTTTGATTCTGGCTGTAAGCTACACCCTGTTGAATACTGCAAAATAGACCTTGAGAGTCTTTCTCTCTCTCTCTCTCTCTCTCTCTCTCTCTCTCTCTCTCTCTCTCTCTCTCTCTCTCTCTCTCTCTCTCCCTCAATGGTTTAGAAGCTTTGGCGCCTCGCAGCTCATCTGGTTTCGTGAAAAACTGTTCCTGCAGACCTATTCCTGTTACTCGTAGACAGGACTCCCCCTCACACGCCGATGATCCGGCGAGGGAGAACGCTGCCGCTGTGGGGAAGGCGCCCCTGAGCGACCGCAGGTGCTCCGTGTTGGCTGTTCCTCCCTGTAGCGGCACGGAGGTAGCACAGCAAGCATAGCTGGGTAGGCGAAAGCAACCCAAAATGCTGAAACGAGTGAAGGAGAGGAGAGAAAATTGCAAGTAGGCAGAGGCATAGATAGGCAAGGAAGGCGACCGGAATGAGAAAGGGGGAAAGGGGACTGTGGTGGTCTTTGCAATTTAGGTCAGTCGCATCTCATTATCCCAGGGGAATGTGGCTAAAGGCCACTCTGAAACGATTTCAGAAACAGCCTTACCGCAGAGTCCGTCGGAGGCCCTCAGCCGCTTGTACCTCCTCTGGCGTTGGAGGGATATACACACCCTACAGGAGCCGACACAGCGTCAAGATATGGAGTGCCGCATTCCTCCTCGTGTTGCTTTGAAGCGCCCCCCGTATTTCGCATCTTTCACTGCCTGGGCCGCTACTTTTTTGCAAAGGAGGAATGCATTCCCATGTTCAATGAGGGAGTGTCACAAGCCCGCATACGAGGGGCCATTTAAAGGCCCCGGTACACCCATGCACACCACGCAACGTGGTGGAAGATATGCCATTGTTGACGCGGGCAAAACGAAATCCAAGGCTGCAACTAAACTTCCTCGGAGTCAATACGTGTGCAGAGAAAGAGAGGTCCCTCTACCTCATACCGCTGACTGAGCCGCTCTCACGCATGCCTACAGCGAAATTGCCAGTCTCTTACCCCCGCTCGTGACTTCCACTGCCCCAGCCGTGTGTCCCACATCGGCCCCTGAGGCCTCCGCCTCTGGGGAGAAGGACTCCGCACTGCAAATCTGCAGCGTGGAAACTCGAGCGCAAGCATCGAACACGAGCACGCTGCTGCGGAGACCCCCAAAAGATCCACCCAAGCCTTAAGACTACTCGAAGAGAGCAGCCCTCCAGAGCACCCCGTGGGCAACAACAATGCGCTACACGTTAAAGGGTGGTGGGGTACAACAGTCTCTAACCTGTCGTGTGTCCAGCTTCTTGGGCTTCGGCTGCGCCTTCTGGGCCTGACGGCCCTGAGGGAAATCTCGCAACGAAAAGCACACCGCAGTCATTGCGAGAGACGGCGAGAGAGGCAGCGAGGGAGTGCGACGGCTCCAAAGGCCGTGTGGCACGGCCCAAAGAGCCAGAAAAGGTGTCTCTGTGGGGTAATAACAATGATCCGAAGGCTAGTAGCGGGGAGTTCTCCCAGCCAAAGGGCAATGGGATACGCGCTTAGAACGGCCCCCAAAGGGCTCTTAGATGGTCTACATATATATATATGTATGTATATATATATGTATCTATATGTACGTTTTTATATGTTTATGTATTTTTTATATCGATTCACGGACTCTCGGGTGTACGCCCTGATGTCATGTGCGGCGAAGAGTGGGTTGGCTCGCTGGGATGGCGGGGACTTCCTTAAGGCTCTGAAGCAGCGTAAAGGCAGAACAGGAAAGCTCTAGTACAATGGTGCCGAAAGAAAAGGGCACAGGCCAAAGGCGTGAGCAGAAGACGCTGAGGAGGAGGTGCCTGCAGCATGCACGCTAAAAGAGTCTGCATGCTGCCCGCGATAGAAAAGCGGCAAAACACCGGAAAGGCCAGCGTTCGTTGAGCAGAAGATGCGGGGGCACAAGGAAAGGGGGAGAAAAGGCAAGAGGCAAGAGCTGCGGCTCCCGTCGTGAGGGGGGTAAACAACGCGCAGACACCCAATACAAGGATCTACAAGAAACAGCCAGAGCTCAGAGACACGCAGAAAAAGCCACCTACCCACCCACATCCATACGCACACACATAGATACATAGATACACACATACGTACACACACACATACACATACACATACACACACCACCTCGACAAGGAAGGAGGGAGGACGCAAGGCAGAGCAAGCAGGGAGCTACAGAGATGAGGTTATAAAAGAGCGAGCGGCATGAAGCACGGCGCGTGAAAAGACTAAATGTGCTCCCTGATAGATCAAAAAAAGCGAGAGGGGTCTTAACGCCGGGAGAGGCTCATATGGACATCTAGAGCACTGCACTGGACGAAAAAAACAAGAGACTCAGAGACTCTGCCTAGACAGAAAGAGGAGGCCTGCTTCGAGTGGAAGATAGTAAGCTCGCTGAGCGTCTCGGAAGTGCCAGGAAGATATTTTAAAACAGCCAGGCGGCTAGCTGGGCAAGGTGCGCAGGACAGAAGCCCTCGACAAGGCAGGCAGTGCTTGACTGTGCCAGTTGAGGAAGCGAAGCAGGCCGCAGAGGACATACACCTGGGATGAAGCTGCACTCGCAAGCAGCAACAGCATGCGCAAACAAGGGGGCAAATGTAAGCAACAGGACCAGCCATACGAGCAGTTGCGGCAGGAGAGGAGACACGACCGGCAACAACAACAAAAAAGGGGCCAGTTGTAACGTTCAAAGACGCACCGGAAGAAGAGTGCCTTCCGCTTTTGCTGCCACTGCTGCTGTGTCTCCTCCTACTCCTGCTGCCACTGCTGCTGTGTCTCCTCCTGCTGCCACTGCTGCTGCTGCGTTTCCTGCTTCTGTGGGTATGACTGCTGCTTGTAAGCCTCGAGCGGTATGTGTGGGATGCAGGCAAGGCGCGCCTGTCTCCTTGACTTCTGCTGCTGTTGCTGCTATTTCTGCTGCTGCTGCTGTTGCTGCTGCTGCGCCCCCAGCCGTGTAGGCGTCTCCTGGGGGTGTGCCTTGGCCTTGACACTCCCCCACTGCCCCTGCTGTGGGAACTTTCGCGACTGCGGCTCCTGTTGTTGCTTCTTCTCGTCAGCTTCGAGCTGTGGCTAGCTGCTCTGGAGTCGGCGTTCCTGGGAGGCCGGTAGGCGTTTGAGAGCTGTGCAGAGGCCCTCTGCATGCGGGGAGGCGTAATGAGAATTACGTCATCTGAGGCAGAGCTGGGGGAGGGGCTGCAAGCGCTCATGCTTCGAATTGGATCTTTCGAGCCGTTCTTGCCGTTGGTGTGGCTGCTGCTTTCCAAGACGTCTGCGGAGACGCTGTGGCCACTGACGCAGCCGCCGCACTTTGCCGCATCATCGGGGGGGCCTCTTTGAGGGCTGGGGGGCCCCTTCGACGCGTCTACGCTGAGCTTTCCCTCCAGCGGGAGCTGCTGGGGAGAGCCGCGGTCGGGCACTTCAGGAGATGCCGCCATGCACTTTTGCAAATCGAAAACGTCTGTCCTTGGCGAGGCGTCTAGGCTGTGTGCAGGGGGTGCACGTCTTGCAAGGGACGCCTGAGATCTCTGCGCACCTACGGCCAGGCTGTCTAGAGCCTCGAAAACGCAAGAGATTGAGGCCTTCCTCGAGAGACATAGAGAGATAGAGAGAGAGAGAGAGAGAGAGAGATGGGGAGAGAGATGGGGAGAGAGAGGCGGAGCAAGGGGCCTCAAGAGGCCCCCATGCCCATGGGAGGCAGGAGCAAGGAGCCTCAGGTGGCGAAAAGCGCTAAGAGTTAATTGTGGCTGCGTCGGATGCAAGTGCTGCGTGTGCTGCATGCAGAGTTCCTCAGGAAATCGCCACTCAGGAAGGCCTCGACGTAGAAAGTGACCCCCTCCAGCAAAGTGGCGGACGTAGATCAGCCCCCACTCACCTACAAATAAGAAAAAAAAAGAAAAGGAACCGGTTCTAGACACGTATGACGCACTCCCTCCCTTTTCTCAGTCGCTTCTCTATGGCCTAGGGGGCCCCTCCGGGGTGGCGAGACAGGGGCCCCCCGCCTCCGTGGACTACAGCGGGTATCCCGTAAAACGGATTTAGCAGCACGACTTCCGCATTTCTCCCTTTAGATGTGCTTTAAACTCAATCTTGGCGGGGCCCAATACCAAATTTGCATGTTTGGGAAAGACAGAAGAGATGCACCAGTGATGAGAGTTCTCGGTTCTGTTCTTTTCGCCCGACGGGGAGACACCTGGGGGCCCTTCCAGGAAAAACGAGGCTCTCAGGAGGCTAAACGCGCACTCTCAGGTTCTGCGGCCTATTTTTGCATGCGTAGGCTGAGGCGACAGCAGCCGACAGCAAGGCGCAACGCTGCAAGTCGGGAGAGCAGCAGCGCAGAGAGCTGGAGGAAAATACGATACCAGAGAGAAAGGAGGAGGAGGAGGCTTCTCACAGGATTGCAAGTTGGAAGCTCAGTGACTCACTGCGGATGTTCAGCTCGATGCACTTTTACGGGGCCCTCAGGCTGTTGCTGTGCCTGTACTTTCTGACTGCAGCTGCAGCTGCGGCTGCAGCTGGACGTTGGACTGCATTGGCTGCCTTTGCCGCTCATGGCAAAGCGAGACAGCAGCTCTCCGACGGCGAGGACCAGCGACTGGGAAGCGGCCCCTCCAAGCCGTTGCATTTGTTACGGTGGATTATGTCACGAGACTGCAGCAAGCGGAGATTCGTGGATTTTTACAGCATTGGCTCTGCTGTTGCTGCCGCTTGCCTTTTTTATCAGTGGCGATACAGGCAGCGGGAAATCTGGGAGCTGCTTCCAGTCCTGCTGTTGCTCCTACACGTGTTGCGTCGGCTTGCGGAGCAGCTGGCCATAGTCGCCTCCGACGACGCCTCGCGCATGCACCGTTTTGCATACGTCTTGGGCTGCACGTGAGGCGCCTTGCCGCTGCTCTTCGCAGCCTTGCACGGGGATGGTGCACCTGCTGCTGCTGCGTGTATCGACACTCGATAGGCTCCTGTTGCCCTGATGGCTTCAACCCTGCGCTGAGGTCTGCTTAGCTGCTTGATGGTTGGGTGTATGTCGACGTTTCCAGCGCTCTTGGAGATGGGCTTGAGTCGCAGCCTCCGTCCAGTGTCTTTTGCTGCAGCGCTTGGCACCAACTTTTTCCGCCTGCGTGCAGGTACTACGTTGCAACCCCCCTGGCGTTTTCCCCCGCTTCACAGGGACCGTCTTCCGTCTGCATGCTGCAACGGGGGGTCTCCATAGCGCTTTGGACTCTTGCCAACGCCTTGCAGGCAAGTACATTCCCCTGCAAAAGGCCGTTCAATACACGAGAGCCGTGGAGGTGAAGGGGGGAGGGGCAAAACTTGGTATATGGAGGCTGCCTCTGCAAGGGGAGGAAGTGGCAAGGTGCATGCAAAGATGCGTGTAGCGTCACGTGCAGACTCCTCTTGTAGCTACACCCGCGGCTGGAGTAGAGGGAGATGGGCGATGCAGCTGGTGCCTTTCCTGCTGCGCTACAGCTAGCCTGTCATGCGTCGCTCGCTGCGTTGAGGAGAGAGGGAGTTCGAGCCTTGGCCTTGGAGGACTCTAAGGAGATCCTGCATGCAGCGCTGAGTGCCGATACAGCCCGATCCAGAGAGCAGCAAAGGGACGGCGGCAACACCAAAAGCCGGAGCCACAACAACCAGTCCGCGGATTTAGCAAGACAGAGGGGGCCCTACAGAATTCCGAGGAGTCCCCTGTTTGCGCATGTCAGCTGTCCCCACTATCTGGCAGAGGTTCTTGTGTACTTGTCGCTCTTCCTCTTATCTCCGGATACCCATACGTGAGCCATGGAGGCGACGCTAGGCAGGCAGGGTCCTTTTAGTTGTTGCATCCCGCGTTCCGATCCGCAATTATGTATATATCTATATATATATATATACTGGCACTCCGATATAGATTACCGCAGGCTGGCTACTGGCTGAAGGCATTGCTAGCTGCGCGCACAGTATGAGGGCTAGATTGTGTGTTCTTTGAAGGAGAAGGGGTAAGGGAGGAGGCAGTCGACCTTTTTGCTTTTGCTGCGCGTAGCTTCTGCTGCTTTCTCTACGTACTGGTCTGCATGGCCACCAATGGTGAGTGAGAGAGACAGAGAGAGACAGAGAGAGATAGAGAGACACCAGGACCAGGAAAAAAGGCACAGGCAAATCAGAGGCAGCAGAGGGCAATCGAGGCATCAGGAGGGGCTGCGAAGGTTCGGGAGAGCACCAGAAGCATCGACTTCTCATGCTATGTAGGGCAGCGCATAAAGTCAACGACATTTAAAGCTGGCAAGATCACTAGAGGCATCTGGTGCCAGTAGGCGTCATCCGGGAGAAGCAGAACCCCCCGGGAGAAGCAGAACTAGGCACAGGATTTAGAGTTCTAATACACAAGTGGAAGTCGAACGGGCAGATGGCGATTCTATAAGCCCGGATATGAAAAGGGACAGCTCATCCATAGAGACAGGGTAGACAACACAGTACGAAGGCGCCTGCAGAGAGTTTAGTTCATGCATTCTCGCGTGTTTTCTTGATGCCCATGCGACTACAGCCCGGCAGAGTCACCAGTGGTATCTTAAGACTTTTGGGACCGCTTATCCTAAGTAAGGCATCTGGGGGAATGCTAGAGCAGCGAATTGCCGCCGTTGTTGCAAGGACGCACGCGTTTTTGTTTCCCTGCGCATCACAACACTGCCGCTGCGTGGTCGTCTCGGCAGTGTCTCATCGAGCCTTCTTCCTCCTTCGCTTCATTCGTTTGTAGCATGCGACGTAACCGGGGCTTTTTCTAGTCCGTTCTTTGATATACATGTTACAAGAAATACACCGATTAAATGATGCTCTTTAGCTTGTGCTGCCTTGTCTCTCTATTTCCTTGTTGCCCCCTCCTCCTCACTGAACTTATTTCTACTGCCTTCGGTAATAGGCGCCTCTTCGGTGGCACTGCACCATATTTCAGCCAGCGCGATGCTTGCCATTGAGTTCTAGGGAGATCTTTTAATTGCTTCTGATCCGCAGGGAGCGGCGCATGCTCTTCCCCTTCTTGTTTTAATGCCTTTCCCGATCCTCCAGCGTATTATCCCTCATCAGCATTCGAATTTTCTCCTTTCGGGGGGTCAGACGGCCAGCCTCTACAATAGCCTATAAACCTACTTTCCCCTGCAGCCTCCTTGACGCCTTGCACGCTCTCCCCGCAGCCCATCTAATCTTTTGTTCAAGGACCATGGCAAAAATTTACTTCTTGACTGTTTCTAGCACGAGCTGCAGAGGTCTTGGAGCTGCAGCGCTCCTGTGTGTACATCTGTGCAAGTCTTTTTTTTGATTATGCTGCAGGGGGGATATGTACACGCGCAACGGGCGGAAACCCGACTGAGAGCACACATGTTCCTTTCGAAATAAGTTTTAGTGTGTTCTTTTGTGTTTTGTCACTTTATTGGGATATATTGGTAAATTAGATTACAGGGTCATCCTTTCGAAGGGTGCCCCGCTCCCAAACATTCGCTGATGAACACACGCGGCCCGCCAGAAGCACCTATGTTCATAAACATCTAATAGAGGAGTAGGAATTTCTGCACCCTCCAGTCTCTCAGCGCTCCGCCCGATTTGCCGGACTCTCCTACAGAGCACTTACCTCAGTAATGCGGATACGGCTGCAGCGGGCAGCAATCCCAGGGTAGCGTCAGCGCTCTGGGATCTCTATTCGATCCTGCCCTGAGGTGGAGATACCCCCACTAGAGGGTTGCACTAGTCGACGTTTAACATTGCAAGCCATATCACTAAACTAAGCATGCTCTCTGTAGAGGCGCTACCTCTACTGCACAGCATCTCGATCACAGCACACGAAGCCAAGCATATCATACGAAACAACGTGGCCTGCTGCCTTGCGAGTCCGGCACTAACAAGGCAAAGCAGATCAGCTAACACGGAGTCAATATATATATATATATATATATATATATATATACGTACATGCATTTATGCGCCTGTCGAGATCCCGCTGATATCAAAGCAGAGCGCTTGTCGCAGATGCACCCGTGAGACGACTCGCTAGAACACGCTTGTTCCGTGGGCCTTTAGATAGTCTCAGGGCATTGGCACCTTCGTATGCAAAAAACGGTGCATAATGTGGGACTCAAGCAAATATTCGAACTCTAAGACGCTTTGCCACCTACTCAGCGGCAGTGGCGCAGGCGCAATTCTTCTCTGCCTTCTCAGCGTGAACTAGGTTAAGAGACCTCATCTACATTTCCCATAGCGAGATACTCGGATTCAGACTCACTACAAACTTGACAGAAAGTTTTGAGTAATGTTGTATCTAGAGAACCCAGCCCTTCCCCTCTCACCGCTTCGCCGAGTTCGGGCATGAGGGTAGAGAGGCAACTAGCGTGCGCGTTGCAGCACCTGCTAAGGACTAAGAACATACACTGCTGGTTGCACATGGCCTCTAGCACACACATACACACACGAGGTTTCTGTCGTATTTCATGCAGCTAGCAGAAGTCTGTAAAATTGCAATATTTCAGATATGCGGAGAAACAAAACAAGTAGACGATTCCTTACTAGTTCTTGGTTAAAGATAACCAGTGTGGTAGAAAAAATTCCAGTCCAGTTCAAGCACACACCCTCATGTTCCGTACCTACACGCCAAGACAGACGCCGTTCAAGGCAGCGAAAGATTTCTAGCCATGTCGACGCTTCCCTGGCAAGCAGAAGCGCCTAAACAGTGCAAGTGAAAGAAGCAACTGTGTGGATCAAAGGCTAAAGTAAACTTGACGGGAAGAAGGTCATACACATTAGCCAACGAAGAATGAGGACCAAACCAACACGACCGCAGTAGCGCTATGACTCGTTGCCATTAGAGGGCGGAAATACTTGAGTCTCCTGCTATCTGGAAACCGAAGACATGTATAATATGTAAATGGAAGGAAATTACAATAGTTTAGCAGTGCCTCCGCGCCTCATAGAGCAAAGTCCGCGTGCAAATCGAGACGGTATCGGCAACATGGTCTACTCGGAAGGGCCACTTGAGGCAATGGTATTTCAGGCATAGTATACAGTGAGGAAAAACATAACACTTTCCAAGGAGCTCTGAATACAGCGGCTATGGCAACTAGCACTAATGAGCAATCACAGGCGCATATTCTCTTGTGGCCAACGAAGCTCGCAGGTGCTCCTCCAACATCTATTGAGATGGGTGGTTCCCGCCCTTATTTACCAGGAAATCACGTTCAGCGCATCTTCAGTGCTCGATTCGTAGAATCCAGCACTTTTGTGACCCCTTTTAACTACTCTGCCTTTACAGGGGTTGCTTGGCTGAGACATAAAGCCCGCAGTTTACTGAGAGTTCTTTCTAGCAAATTCAGGAAGCCAGTATTGATGGTCCTTCGGCACCTCCAAGATTCACGGACATCACCAGAAACAGAGAGGCATTGATCCGTGAGAGTATGGCGACTGGCTTTAGCCACGTAGCTGCCAACTTCTTTATATGGTCAGCTTTTGGTGCGCCTTGTAAAGCCAACAGATCAACCAAGGCAAGTGCCACAGGCTTGAAACACGCAACTTACCGCTGCTGATCATTTGTTCTTTCTTGTCTCTCTTGAACTTTTGGACATACACTTACGAGCACTATCGAGCTGTTCATTGGACCCATCAACTGCTGATAGTGAAATCTGCCCCTGGACCCCCACGTCCAGGCCCAAGTTGCAGAGCGGCTGTTCACCAGTTTACCAGGGATGCAGGAGAGCAACAAGTAAATGACTGTTCTTTTGCCTGATCAACGAAACTCGGCACAAGGAAAAGCGTCGAGCCAAGCAGTGTGGTTTTTGTGATGGTCGGCAACAGCTATAGATCAGCGTGGCTGATGCAGCTGGCCTGGACAGATGCGTTAGTATACGTCTCAGTGGCCAAAAATGACTGTAACTTTCAAGCCTCGACACAAAGGCGTGCCATAACACGCTAACGAATTTCGGATCCCTATTTATGAAGATACTCCCAAGGAGGTCATAAAGGTTACAGATATGAGGTAACGATAGTTGAGCGACTTCCTGAACCGTGACAGAGCTTCGGTAAGGGTGAAATGGACAAATTTGCTTTGTCTGTAAACAGCGACGTCGCTGCTACCCTCAACCTGGACCTCAGGCAGTCTGAGAGTAAATCTTTTCAAAAGACCGGAAGCCTTTGCAAACGCTCTGGCATAGAAGAATCTTGCGGCTTTAGGTGCTGAATCTTGGCATGACAGTACCCGATCCTGTATTGTGAGCCCCATTCCAAGCCACCAGGAAGACCGTACGAGCTTTTCTAGTGTAGTAATGATCTCAAAATAACCAAAAACTCCGTGATTCTGTACTTTGCTCGAAACGGATGGAAGCTTGGACCCCCAGGCAACAAAGTCCGCGTTTTGTTTTAATCCACGACAGTTCTCAACGTGGTAGTACTTCGCTATGTTGCCATGTTACACTTAGCAGCAGCGGCGGATGCCTTAGGGTCAGAGGCGTAAGACTTAGGTAACCTCCATAGGAATCATGAGTCATTACAGACAAGAATGCCTGCGCTCCACGATGGTGAAACGCTGCTGAAGCCGGCGAAGCTATGTCTCAGTTCTTCCTACAACATTAGTACCACTAAACTCAGAATCAGAAAAGAAGTGAGTCACTGATGCATTTGCTCGTATATCTAAGGAACTGCAGGGTACTTCAAGCTTGATACAACAAAGCGCAGTGGTGTGCCAGTTTGCGCTAGATGCCATGTGCAACTAACGGCGAATGCACGGACTGCGTGGAGGGTCCAGCTTTGCACACCCTCTTTCGGGCTCTTCCTTCATGCCTGGGAATTTGCGGGCGAGGGGAGTGGAAGATGGCACATTTCGGGGAAGGATTCGTAGCAATTGTCTATCAACTTGTGTTTGAGTCTGGAGTTCTAGGTGTAAGTCCACAGCGACCTTGGAAGGAGCATAACATACCCAACGGGAATCAGCGGTATAGCCAAGCTCTGTAGTGTACGCCAGCATTGCCACCTGACTTTGCTAAGCTACCCTTTGTAGCTGAACCAAATCCGTTCTTTTTGCATAGCAGCCCATTTAACTCGACGAAATCCTTGTGTAAACATTTATAGTGTTTTGGGGCGCTTTGCGTGGGCAGGTACCAAAGCTCTTCTGCCCTCTGTAAACAACCCAATTGTGGTTGGCCTGAGCAATATCTTGAGGTTTGATTAGAAGGAAAACGCTGTGGGATTTACTCTGGCCCCGCACGATGGTCGATGGTATCCGCCGCTATGGGTGTCGTTGAGTTCAGTGCACACGGTAAAATGTTCGTTGAGAGCCTCCAAAGTCTCTACAGCTTTGATGCATAATACGCAGAAAGGAGAAATATCAGTTTATCAGATTTTTTTAGCCAAGGCGGCCGTTGTAGACTGTCCGCACATGCATGCAGCCCCCTTGTAATATGCTGTGCAGTGCAGCCTCACACTGAGATCGGCACCCGTTGCTGCAGCTCCCCCCGCTGCTGCTGCGAAAAGAAGCCCTCGGCGAGATTTTGGGCTCTCTCTGCAGGGACTATTTCGAGGATTTGGATCGTTCAAGGAGAGCCTTGCAGCGAAAATGGCAGTAAGCATTTCCTCCCGTACTACATGTTTTCCGCGCGGTGGCTGTGGGGTGCTGCTCCGGCAGTGGCCCCGCATGGCTTAGGAAATTCCGATGCAAGCTTTCCTTACAATGGTATACGTCGCTGTTTCTAATGGCATCTTTTCACGTGCCTACCTCTCGCTTGGTCAGGAGGGCAGCTCGCTGCGGCATGACGCGCAGCATGTGGGGGAACGGGACTGTGTATGGCCGTATGACGCCCCTGCAGAGGCTTCCCCGAAGTACAGGGTGTTTGTATAAATTGAGCTTCAAGATGTGACGACTTTGCGACGCAAAGAAGCAAATCATCACCAGGCAGATTCCTCCTCGGCTGCAACCTTGCCATCCCCATCGCAGCCACTGAGGCCCTTTGTGTATCGTGTTTTGTGTGCCCCGAAGGGGGAGGGGCAGGATGACATTGCTTTGTGTGCCTGCGTGATGATTCATGAGGAGAACTACATGTTTCTCGCAGCGCAGCACTGAGCTCTCTCGCCTGTTCGCCACGTGCAACGTGGTCCTCCCTCCGATCATGCATGTATGTGCACTGTCGTGTGCTTTCATGGGATTGTAGGATCGCTTCTCGGCCCGTTTCCTGAAGCCCGTTGAGGGCGTTCCTCTTACTGAGGGCGCAGAGAAGAAACAGAAGCGTGATGCGGCTCTGATTGAGAGTCAGCGGAAGTCCTTGAAGGCGTTGCGCACGGTGCGTGTGCTGCGTGATATTGTGGCAGCAGCATCGCGGTTTTTCGAGTTAGCAGCATCCTGTCAGGGAAGACTTTGCGTAGGACAATTACGACATCTGTATGTGTGCTTTGTTGTGGAATATGCCCCCTGCTCGATGCATGTGGTCGCAGAAAAGGGCTGCCACACGTCATGCTCTCAAGCTGCGTACGTACAAGTACATGAAGGAGTATAGGCGTGCGCGCGAGGATCTCATTAAGAACAAGCGGGAGGCTCGTGCTAAGGGTATGTTCAATGAGTTTTTCGAAAGTGGATAAGAGGAAGAAGTCCCAGCATGCCCTAGGGTTTTGTTTGCGCGCGGAAGCGCTTGCATTCGGGCTTAAGGATGATCTTGGAAAATCTGATTTAGCCTTATGGCTATATGAGGATTATTCGTTATCAGTTTCAATCGCTTGCTGATCGAGCCTCCTGTATCTTTCCACTGCGCCTCGGTAGTTTCCCCGTACACGTGATGAACTTGTGAGACGTATGCGCGCGTTTTGACGGCCTTGTTGCGAAACTCTTGTTGTGTCAACGGAGGACCTCTTGAGGAGCAGCTGTTGGTTGGGCAGGGGAGCGTGCGAGTTCTTCGTTGCCTTGTGTGTTAGCCCTCATGAGGCCTGTGAAGACCTTGTCCCTCATGGGGGGTTTTACCTTCAGTGGTTCGCTGCTCCCTTTTTCGCGTTGTTTGCGCACGTGTGTTGCTTTTCGGCAAAGTTTTATCGGACCTTACTTACCGATTGTTGCTCGTGTGTCTTTGTGTCTATTTCTTTAGGTGGTTTTTACAGGGAACCCGAGCCGAAGGTGGTGTTCTGCGTCCGTATCAAGGGTATCAACAAGCTTGCCCCTAAGCCCCGCATGATTCTGCAGTTGTTCCGTCTGCGCCAGCTGCACAATGGCGTCTTCATTCGTGTGAACAAAGCCACGCAGGAAATGCTGCAAGCAGTCCAGCCCTTCATCACCTACGGGTATCCCAGCCTGTCGACCGTCCGCAAACTGATCTACAAGCGCGGCTATGGTATGTGTGTGTCCATCTGGGGGCTCTTTGGGGTGTATATACAGCCCGTCACCTGACTGCATCGAAAGGCAAGCTGAACGTTACTACGTCGGGTACCGTCTACGCCGTGCAGCTCCAATTCGATTGCATAATTCTGGGGTCCGTCGTGACGCGTGCGCTTGTTTCTTACTTCAGCCAAGGTAGGCGAGCCTGGATCCAAGCAGCGCATTCGCCTGCAGAACAACGACATCATTGAGAAACACTTGGGCAAGTATGGCATTCATGGCATTGAGGATCTGGTTCATGAGATCTACACCTGTGGCCCCGCGTTCAAGCAGGCCAATGCTTTCCTCTGGACATTCAAGCTCTCTTCCCCACGGAAAGGCTTCAAGTGCAAACGCCATGGCTTCTGCGAGCCTCGTGCTGGTGAGTGGGGGGTCCTTAGTCAAGCATTTGCTGCTTTCATCGAAGCTGTCTGTCTGTGTGGCGCTCGGGAGGAGTGTACATATATATATATATATATGTATGTATACATATAGCGGCGGCTGAAGCTGTGGAAGGGGGGGGGAAGGGGAGAGAGAGAAAGGGCAGTGTTCTGAGTGTAACGAGGCAGCACTTTGATTGTAGGCCACTGTATGTTGCTACGGGTTGCCTCTTGCGTGTTTTGGGTGCTCTTTACTGGAGATGGCATTTCCCCCTGCGTTTATTCGTTTTCTGTTGTGCTTTCCTCGCAGGTGACTGGGGAAACCGCAAGCATCTTATCAACGAGCTCATTGAGCGGATGTGCTAAGGCGGCATTTGGAGGGGCAGCCTGGAGTGTGATAGCCTTCACATTAACTGCATTTCGGCAAATGGGCAAGCCGCAGAGCGAAGCGCCAAGCCGTGTTGGGGTGGGGGTATGTTGAAGCGCTGAGCTTTCGTTACCAAGCAGGGGTTGTAAATGAGCATTGCCGTATCAAGTGTGTCACCACGACTGGGGCACATTCTGTCGTAGTCTTGGGAGTGCTCCTCACACTTCCTCACCTGCGAGCACGAACCTGAAACCTGAGCACACTGCGCCTTATACATGCTCTCCGCGAGTCACGTGCGCTTGTCGGCATGCATTCGAAAAAAGCGGGGTAGCCGTATCTCATATCGGCTTTAGGGTCCCGCTGCATACGGTGTTGTCCAGGCATCTGTTAGGTGGACAGTGAAAGCTTGCTACAGATTCATAATCGCCAGGCTAGCTGGAGCGTAGTGTGGTGGGTAGCGCAAGGGCGGAGTATCGACGCCCTTTTTTGCCAGACAAAGGAGCCGCGCATCATCCTTGGAAAGTCCTCTGGCAGGCAGGTGGGCAGAGAGTACTACGCTGCCACCAACAAGCCGTTGGTGCCTCGTGGCTCCTGATATCGACGACGTATTCGAGCTGCACCGCGCGCGGCTTGCGAGGCACACATTCTTGCAACAAAGAGCAGGTAGGGCCTTAGGAGCCACGCGCACCCGCTTTCTATGCTACAGGGCATAAGTCACTTCGGGGGGCCCCCCTTTAAGGGGCCCCGTGCAGTTTGATGTTCTGCCAACGCAACGCGCAGAGCGGGCTCTCTAGTGGGGGCCTAGCGTGTAGGGCCTTAGGATAAGAAACAGCACTACATGTACACTACTGCAGTCTCATAGTGGCGGCCGAACTGTGGCTCCCGGGAAGCGAGCGGACTGCTACAAAGCCTCGGTAGCCGTTTGCCAGGAAACGCATGAGCAGCGCGGCTGTAGCGCCTTGCTGGTGGGGGGAGGGCTGGTAACTCAGTAACTGAATAACGAGTTCGAGGTGAAAAGTGGCAGTGGCGGCTCCCTTTGAACGAGGTCACCCGTATCGCGGCGAAAGCTAACAAGGTGTCGGACCGGATAGGGGCTGCACGCAGCCCTCCGACGCCTTGAACGAGCTGTGTGCCTTGCCTCGCTCAGACATTCTCCTCTTCCTCCCCTCCCCCGCTCAGAGCTACGCACAACTGGGAGGCTACAGATAGCTTTCACGGCCGCTGACACCCTCTCTCGCCTCTCCCTCATTGCTGAGTGCGCGTTTATGCCGAGGGGATATCGATCTCCCCGGAGTCAATTCGCTCTTGCATTTCACTGGGGTGCGATCCGTCAATGGTGCAGCCGATCGAGTGGCTGCACAGTCGCAATCAGACAGCTGCGCAGTCAGTCAGTGCACTTACTTCCTTCCAGACCAATGTGGTGTTTTTGTTGTGCAGCGGCGTTGTATACACTAGAGGAAGCTTGAAGGATGAATAAACGCGGCTGCTCACCACGTTCCAACAATCTCCTTGACAGTTCCGGAAAACTCGTGCGCAAGCGACTTGGGGCGCATGGTACGCGCGATCTGAAAGAGCTGCTGGAGGGAGAGGTTTCCGTTGTGCTTGATATTCTTTGTTTTCTTTCTGTCTCTTGGGGGCTCCTTGAGCTCTTTGATGATCAAAGAGGAGGCAGTGGGAACAACTTCGACGGTGGCCTGGCGGTTTTGAACCTTCAGGCACACCGTCACTTTCATGCCCTTCCACGACATTGTGGCCTTTGCAATGTCATCACCCACCTTCTTGGGAGCCATACCTGCAAATGTACATACACACAAAGTCACGCACGCACACACACACAAACATGCGGTTCATCTCTGAATACGCGCGAGGTTTGATGCGCGTCTGGGCAAATTCTCACGCAACCGATAGCCGCGGGAGATGCAGCGGGCAGGGGGACAGCGGGCTGTGCGAGAGTGCCAAGAGGGTTCCTGATGTGCCTTTGCATGACTACAACGTACCAAGGGGACCAAGCTTAGGTGCCAGGACTGAAGAGGCACCGACCTCACCGCCAGTCTGGCGGAGGTAGACTGCAAGGACAGGGATGACACCACATCAGCATAGAAGAGCAGCTATGGTCAGGAGTCGAGTTAGACTCTCATCTTCCTGGATGAATTGAAAGGGTTTGAGGGCCCTGGATAGGGCATCAATGACGAGAGTCCCCCGACTCAGGAGCCCCTTCACTATAGAGGCATGCGGAAGGGGAAGCGCACGACCCTTCCTGAAGCGCCAACTGTTTGCGTCGTGCGCTCTTAGATGATGAAACTCAAGCAAAATGTCACATAATCCGGGGGGCCATGGCTCGCAGGCTTGAAAGGAGCACGCGGGGAAACCATAGCTCTCGGTATGCTAGTGGCGTGGGGGTGGCGCACTATATTTGATTTCATTGGGGTCGAACTTCTTCGCCATCTTCGCTAGAGGGGGTTCCTGCCGGTAGTCTCCACCAAAACAGCTAGAAAAGAGGCGCCCCACAGCAAGAAATGCATGGGAAGTAAGCCATGCACAAGCGGAGCGCAGAGGCCACATTGGCTGCTGGGGGCTGGGGACTGACAGAAAGGCAGTGTGTGGGCAAGGATGGGGCTGGATGGACGAGATCGCACATTTCTGATGAAGTTTAATGCACACAACCTGCCGATTTTACGTCGAAATCAAGAATCAATGTTTTTATTTCAGAATTGTTTTGCTTGCTCATTCGGGGTTTACCGCCAGCGGCAACAGGCTACGCTCCTCTTGAAAACCGCGGCACCTGGAAAGCAGCAACCAGAGATGTGTTTCCTTCTATACGCGGGAACGCATGGAAGGAGGTATTATAAGATACAAAGTGACGGATTCAGTTAAACAGGCGGAGCTGTTTGTTTTGCTGTCCAGTTTAGATGGAGGCCCCTTCCAGTACAATGGCAAGTGATGTCTACCACGTACAGGAGAGGCCCACCTCTGTTGTAGTGACCAGGACAAGCATTACTCTACCTCTAAAGTAATCTTCAGCCGCACGGTCTCTTTCTGGGGGCCTTCAGAAGGAATCCGCTGACTAGGTTTTGACGATAACGCCATAGAGACCATGAGTATAGTGACCATAGCTAGTGTATTTCACTAACCTCCGCTTATACCATTTCGATCACACTTGGCATACTATAAACGAAGGACTAAATAAAATATTTGACTTGCGCACCCGGACTTCCGATATCTTGCTGCATACTGGCAAATCAACATTGCAAGACGCAGTGTTGTGTGCATGCGCGCTTGATGTCATGCGCAACTAGCTGTGAATACTCGAAGTGTTTAGAGGGTGCAGCTACGCTTACCCTAGGTGCCACCCTTTCCTTAGATAGGGAATACTTGGGGGTAAGGGCAAGACAAGCCGGAAGCCTTGGGTACGTAGCTTGATAACTTTCTTTCGCGTGTGTGTTGAGTGTAGAGTCAACTGTCCCCAAGGAAGCCTTGTATGGAGCGTCACAGTTGGTGACACCGCA